AGGAAAAAAAATTTTTAATTAAAAATAGAGAGGCAGGCTGGGCTGATGGCGCCTACGGAGCGCAACTACGAGCTAGTGTATAACGGGCTCTCTGAGCAGCATTTGATCAGATCAACAGACTTACCGTTCTGGGACATGGTTAGCGAGGCGGATAGAGCCTTCTAAGCGGGGTTCGGCCTTTAGTGTTGGAAGCAATTGCATTATTAATTCAAAGTGATGGTGAGTGTTGCATGTGGTATTGGACAATCCGTAGGTTTAGATCATCTGGCGATGATTCGCCATTCACTCATTTTGCTTGGCGCGTGTTCGTGATGATGCCGTGCTCATCTGTGACAGGTACCAGGCATGGGGTTCTTGTCGATCGGATGGATCGAGCTGGTGATTACTTCGTATCTTCGTCCTGTGCTTTGTAAGCTCCTCGACTCGTTCCTGACGTGCATGTGGGTGGATTTGCGCGGCGCTGGAGTGCGGCCGGTGGATAATACAAAAGAACAATGGACGGGCGAGGGAGAAGGACGTGAGTAAAAGTCGGTGAGATGATGGGCTTGAGGCTTGAGGGGTGCAAACGATGGGTGACGCTTCTTGCTTTTCTTTCTCCCTTGGTGATGTTCATGTAGCTCCGAACCACGGGCCGAACACCCAACATCCAGCAGCATGGTCACAATTGGACTAAACGGGTGCCTGGCAAATCAGAAGGGTACGAAGTAAGGATGGGCATGGGCCGTGGTGCAGGGAAAAGCCCGTGTTGCGGCGGGAAGGATCCGAGACGCGGGGAATGTCAAGGGTTGCAATAGGAAGCGTCGCGGCCAAAATGTGGAGGAGGGGGGAGGAGAGGACGGAGGGCCTGCCAGCCTCGGTTGTTACCTGTGAGCGATGGGGTGTATTGAACTAATGAGACAAGTGGTATTTTTGTGCCACTTCTAGAATATCGAATCTCGCTCTTGGTTCTTGATGCGAACTTTGCATGGATCCTAACCACCTATCATTGATCAGTCGATGGCACCCAACCTTGCCCCTGGAGGCGGAAGTCAGTTGTTAATGGCTTTCTCTCCTTTGGTCTTCTTATCCCTGCTCAATTCCGTTCCTCTACTCGTGGCTTATCTATCTCAACGTCACGCGGCTGCAACTGCAAAGCCCCAGCTACGTTGCCCTTTCGTACTACGAGAATTAAGCATGTTCTGATGGGTTATACTAGAGTAGATTACACGACATGAGCAAGGGGCAAGAGAGAGGAAACGCCCCGAAGGTATACGCATGTAGCAACTCGAGCAGAGAACCAAGCTGGATGAGTGCTTGTGCATTGAGAGTATCAACTCTGATGAACAGCTTTATGTGCCTGGACTGAGCGTGCTCCGTCTTGTTGATATCCGTGTTCAGTAGAGTATGATGAAGGGAAGCGAGGTTAATAGGTAACCCTCCAGGAAACGAGAGTCGACGGTTTACTACATCGTCGTCCGCGCTATACGAGAAGCGAGTTTCTGGCCCCCGCCCCGTTCAGATTGGTTGTCAACTAACCATCATCCATCGATAGACTTTGTACGAAAATGGCCCAAGATCTGAGATGTGCAGCTAACAGCAGATTGCGAGAAGGGGATCGCCTGAGGCCTGAGGACCGGAGAATCCACATCACATTCCAACATAAGCCCGGAGGGTTTGACTCTCCGTTCCTAATCTCCGATGCTTTCTCGACATGTTCACATCAAATCTCTCTATATATAATAACATTAGCTTCCTTCCTAGCCTAGAAAACTCCCGTTCCGCCCATGCAAATGACCCCAGACCCAAAAGCCATCAAATTATTCCTGCCTCTGCCAAATGCAAAATATGGGGGGTATTCCGGGGGCAAAAAAGATGCTGCTGCCATGCGGTAGGGGGCGCAACGTATTCGATCCAACAAAAACAGAAAATACATGAGATTCGTTTCCGAGTTCATACGTCATATACGTCCAGATACAATAAACCTTCCTCATCCCACCATATTGATGGGATCAAGTGAAAGAAAGAAAATAAAAGAAGGGGGCGGGGTGGGGCGAGGGAAACAGAATAACATCAACAACATCATGATCTCGTCGCTTGGGTTGCTGCTGGCTGGTCACCCAACGGCTCGATGACAATCTGCGGTATTCTGTTTAAGCGGAGACTGGGGAGTTGCGGCACACCATCCACACCGCGGCGAGAGGTCCGCCTCTCCCTTGTTTCGTCCTCATTGCCACCCTCTCCTGCCGCTTCCTCCGCACCTTCTTGGGCGGCGCGGGCCTCGGCGGGGTGAGGTCCGCCGGGATAGCCCGGAGGAGGCTCGGCGATGGGTGTTGTAGTGCCAGAATTATCACCATCCAGCGGCACATCCTCGTAACCGGGCGGCGAATATGGAGGCATCCCGGAATCGCCGACGTCAGCTTCCGCCATTGCAGAACCGGCCGAGCTCGCCCTAGACCTCCGCTGCTGAAGGCTAGGTGATGGGAGGTCGCTGTCTACCGTCAGGACGGACGTTCTCCTCCCCCTATCGTCGGGCGAACGGGCACCCGATCGATTCGATATCGAAATGCTAGCGGCGTCCGAGAGGAGGCCGACCCTCTCGCTTTCCGTACTGTTGGCCCGGATCCTCGTGCCATCGTGGCGGGCGACACCGATGTCCGCATACTGCACGCTCGACACGGTACGTTGGCGTTGATCTCTTATCCGGTTGTGATCCTCGCGGAGCACATTGACAACCGAGTTATTGTTGGCGGCGCGGGCCTGTGCGCGAATGGTCTGCAAGGCTACAACGTCGTTCCTCTCCCTCGCCTCGCGACGCAGTCTTCGCCGCTCTTCCCTCTCGGCGATCTCCTGGCGCCTCGCCTGCCGGATTTGATACATGGCCTCCATCTCCTCGTCGCGCAGGGCCTCCAGGTCCTCCTCTGTCGGCAGCTCCACGACGACGTCTACGCCGTCCCTCTCGCCTTCGCGGGCGATCACCCGCTCCGTGCTGGTAGGATCGGGTCGATACGGGGGTAACGTCATGACCGAACGGATCGATGTATTTCTGTCGGGTCCGGTTGTGCTATCGTTTCGTCTCCCAGAGCCCTGGCGCGCAGCGGAATGAGCAGCGGTGCCCCCTCGTCGGCCGGCAGTACCATTGGCATTCCCCTGGCCTCCGGAGGCGGTCTGAGTGGAAGGGTCCTCAGAACCGGCGGGATGATATGATGTTCCTGAAGGTGATAATCGCCAGTTGGACCAGAGGCGTTTCAGGAAGGGCGTAGGTATGTATTTCGGATGGCTATGACGCTTGCGGAGGGTACGGAGAGCTAAGAGAGCGGCCGTAGCAATGATTACGAGTCCCACAACGCACATTAAGACCTAGATGCAGAGATTTTACCACGTTAGCAGTCTGGGGACGTCGGCAAGGGCAGGCATGGGAATGTCTTAGGCCCGTGGCAAGAATGAGAGGGGGAGGGAGGGAGGGTGAGCACACAATTAGTGTAATTCTCGTCGCGTTGGTCGAATTTTTAGGATTTGTAGTTGATGGCGCTCGCCCATCGAGAGAGCGCCGGCTGGTATCCGGTAGGGGACGGTACTGGTACATCGTAGCCGCGGAGGGATATACGGAGAGGATCGCAGCTGGAAGGTGCGGCGAGGGCCGCCAGCAGGCCGAGCCAGCACGAAGCTGATGCTGCGCGAAAAAGGTGTCACGACTGGTAGGCGGTGAAAGCGACTAAGAGGGACATAGCAATGAAACGAGGGAGGAAAGGTATGCCGAGGATGGTCTAGTATTTTGGGCTTGCGAGATGGGAGGCTCCGTCGTCGTTCGTCGTCAGCCTACTTCGTGGGTCGCTTTCCTTCCTTCTTCCCCGGGTGACTGAGCGATTCGCTTTTCTCTTTTCTCCTTTCGTTAGAATCGAGATTGATCGAAGTCCTGCAGTAGTTGTGGGTGGCCCAATCGAGAGACTTGGCAGAGGCGATGCACTACGTGTACACTGAATCGAAGTGAGGCGGATTCAATTTAATTCCTCCACAGGCTTTGCACAACAGAACAGAAGGGTGGAATCGAAAAGTCTGAGGGAGAGATTCTAATTCGACTTGAGACGGATACGTAGTTTTTTTTTCCCTTTCTTTCTTATTCTCGGGCCTTCGTAAAAACGTGGAAAAAAAATGCTGGGATCCAGGGTGCAGGAGGGAAGGAAGAGGAGAGATGGACACGGGGAAGGCTTGAGGGATCAATGCCATTTGATTGATGTCAGCTTCTACATCCAGACACGGCAGACACGGACTGGAGCCAGTTGAGCGAATGGAACAAAACTAGGCTGTATGTGGAGGGTGAGCCGAGAGATCCCCCACCGAGCTCAGCCCAGTCGTCGCGTGGCTGAACTGGAACCCAATCAACAATGTCTCACAAGCAAGGGGCCAAGGATGGGGCTGAATGCAGGAGATGATCAATCAGGGCTCAACGTCGACTTGAAGAGAATGGTCATTAATCTTGTCCAACATCACTTCCAATAACCGATAATTCCCAAACATCACAGAGGACAGGAGATGATGCAATGAAATAGCTACAATTGGAGTAGCTAATGTGGAGCTCTTCTACCCACTCCAAGAGACGCTAGAACAGCGCTGAACGTTCAATCAGTGGCGATTGAGTTGAACCATTCCGGTTGCAACTATTAATATTCCCGCGAGACAAACATTCGCTGGCATATTGTCGATTAAGACAAGAAGACAATCCTCGCGAGCGTGGTCTCAGGTCAAGCATCAGATGCAGTTTTCATTCAAGGCAGAAAGGTTAAAGGATGCCAAGGCGAGGATCGATACACTGCTGACTTGTTGCCGGAGTGGCCGCGTGGATTTCGAGTGAGGGCTACTACACAACACATGCCGCCAAAGAAGGACTGGTGCAGAACAACTGCCAGACGTATATTTAAGAGCAGAGCCAGCATGAAAGTTAAGATACAGAAGAGTTGGGATGATGCCCTAATATTCTAACACAACACAAGATCCTACATGTAACATAGCCGCGATTAACTGGACTACTGCCTGAGAGCTCGAAGGAACCGGGGATTCTTGGTGACCGCAAGTGCTACCCAGCCACCAATCAAACAGAGGCCTCCCAGAGGCGTAACGGGGCCCAAAAACCTAAACCTCTCTGGATCGAGAACTAGCGCGTAGAGACTGCCGCTGAACATGGTGATGCCCGCCGTGAACAGAGAACTGGCGATGGGGTTGCCGCTTGCCGCCAGAAGGACACCGGCGTGGATGAGCTGCCAGGGTTAGAATTAACTCGGTTTAAAGTAAGGGTAAAGAAATAAGAACGGGAATGAGAGAAGTACCTGATAATGCGCAGCAGTCGACCAATTGGCGAGCCTCTGAGGGTCAGAGATGCGCGACTTGAGCCCGTGGGCTCCGAATGCACCGAGTCCAACTCCAGCAGCGCCCAAGGCGGCTCCGACTCTCCAAAAAGTGAGGGCGCTCATGTCGTCTTCTGAGGCGGCCTCGTTGCCGGAGGCGGCAGGGTCTATTTGAGGGAGGAGAGGTGTCGATTCGTCGTTGCTGGGCATCGGACGATTGAATGTTGAGGTTGTCTGGACTTCCGATGCTCCCGAAAATAACTCAATTGAAGGTTAAAAAGATGCCGTAGGGTCAGATCTAGCCAGACCTTTGGGTATTCTCACAACTAGTCCTTTTCAATAAGCCTAGGAAAGATCTCCTGGATCGTTACACTAGAGATAGAACAATGAATTGGCTGACCGAGGACAACACCACAACAATCAATTGAAGGAGCTTGGTTAGCAGAGGTCGGGTTTATAAGCAAGCTTAAGCTCACTGAGACAAGAATACACTACTTCGTACGGTACGTACAATTTTATCGAATTCAAACCATTCAATGACGATATGCGTGGTGGGTCTCCGAATGACTAAGATCAATCATCATATCCTCCATTACATCCCATCAATCCATCAATCCCCGATCGATGAAAGACCTCTCAAAATCTCAAAATCCGACACCCTGACTCGACCAACAACAAATTCTATCCCGTCCTTGACGTTTCATAAGGGGCATTGCATTTCGCCAGAGAGCTTCTGTACTCATAGAGGTGAAGCTTGTTTGTTCCGTCCCAATTGGAAGTTAGCTCAAATTCTATAGAGCCGGGTTGGCGACTTTACAGCACAGAGAACGCATCTGTATCACGAATTGTCCAGAATAGAAACTAATCATGATCCCATTCTTAGCCCAAGTCGATACCCCATTACCTGAATAAACTACTGAACCTAGATTCACCTCGAAAGGAAATATAAGCTACGCCTCTCACCACAGATTAAGGGCCAAAAACGCGGGGAGAACTATATACATACCACCTGCAACTCTTATCCAAACCTCTTCTCAATCTTCTTCAGCATACCGCCAACACCCCGCTCCAACCGCCCCGTCTGCTCCTCAAGCCGTGATTTGCTCGTGTACTTAGACGCTTGTTCCCCCTCACCTGGCTTGTACACTTGCTGGTGAACCGAATAATCCTGTCGTCCTGCTGTCGCCTGGGACGCACCGCTGGCCGGGTTGTACGGGCGATGCCCTGCAGGCGGGGGCGGAGGTGGCGGCGCAAACCCAGGCGAACCGGGGAATGCGTTGCCGTAAGGGCTGGAGAGTCCCGGAGATCCCAACCCGCCGTGCAAGGGCATCGTGGCTGATCGCTGCAGACCAGGGTGTGGGCCTCCTCTCGCTCCCGGGAGTCCGGGAGGACCAGGCAGCCCGGGACCGCCGGGCGGCGGCGGGGGCAACCCTGGAGAGAACGGCTGCTGGTGATTATCGTACGCCATGGCCATAGCTAAGGGGTTCACGGCCCCGTCATCTGGAGGAGGCGTCTTCTCGCGGTGCGTAAGGGTTTCGGGGGCCGCTGGCGCAGCGGGGTTATACGCCATCGGCGCAAAGTTTGCCGGCGCCTGCTCGACCTGCTTTCCCGCATTGCCCCGTGCGGATCCATCGAGGGCCACCTTTTCTAGCTGCTGTACGACGGAGCTCGCCTCGGATGGCGCCGGCTCGTCGAGGATCTCTACCTGCGCGGCTGGGAGAACACGCCTGATGCCGTTGACGAACTGAAGGGCGTCTGACTGCGTCCAAAAGTAAATGTCTAGCGAGTGAAGCTTGTAGTGGTATTTGTTCTCGTTTTTAGGATCGTACGTTGGGAGATGCCATTCATTTGCGTCGTTCGTTTCGCCGACCGTGAGCGAGACTAGAGTGTGTTGTTTGTACGAGTATCGTAGGTGGGCCTTATCCAGATCTAAAGAGAAGAGCAACAGCAATTAGATGACGGACTTCCCCTCTTCCGCGGTTTATATAACGAGCCGCGCAAGCAAATACAAAGCATAAATATTGCGCGATACACCCTCGCCTTGGGAGCGACTCTTAGAGTGCTAGGGGAGGGGCTTGCTTACGTCCTTCGAAAGCATCCTGGTCATCGGTTCCAGCATTGTTGGCAATTTCGACGCGCGCCCTTCTTTCGCTCGGATTCTCGAATAAGTAAACGTAAGATCCCTTGTCGAATCGGTGATGGGGCGGTTTCTGCGTCGGCGGGCCGTAAAAGTAGTGAATGTCGCCGTAGCTGCGCGGGCGCCGGGCCTCTTGTTAGCCGCTGCTAGTTCTGCCCCGAAGAGTTGCGCCAATTCCAACTTCGAATCCCCATATCGCAGCAACTGTCAGTCGTGAATAACTTACAGCGTGGCGATGTTCTCCTCGCCTGGGTTGGCCGCCATGCTCGTTGTAGTAGTCGCAATCGGTGTTGCGGGCTCTCACAAACAGATGGTGTACTTGGGAGGTCCCCCCGCTTCGAAATGGAAATGGGATCAAGGATTGATATCCGTTCAAGTCGTTTGAAAGAGGAAAAGAAGAAGAAGCTAGGCTTGCGCGAGCTCGCTACACGTATGATGAAATCACATTCGCCTAGTACGCGCTCTAATTAAGGAGAGAGGGCGGATGTGGTGAGGGAGCTCTCAGGGAGGCTGGATGGGATTAAATGGAAATAGTTTGCGGCTGCCTCCCCCGCGTAGCTTTTCTATGAATAGAATGGGACGTCTATCTGTATTACTTGCCCCTCAGGGCTCTGATGAGAGTATGCTTAGAGTGGTCCAGACCACCAACCACGTCCTAAGAGAGCATGCAGCTCTGCCGTGGTTGGAAAGTCGGGCGCTTAGAGATCGAAATACTCATTCCTTGAGAGCAAATTCAACCAACCAAATCGAGTTGAAGTTCTTGCTTGCTTGGCTTAGTTTGCCAGAGGTCAAAGGACGGAGACGTTGGAGGTACGTACCTGTGTACTCCTGCGAGGATTCAATTATTCTGTATCGCTTAGTCATCCACAACACCTCATCTTCAACAAGGGAAAGCCTTGAAATTTTTGGTTGCTGGAATATCGCGACCAAGCCTTGAACCGCGTGTTCAGTAGCCAGCCCGAGTTAACGCAAGCGACGACAACCCCCCCGAAACAATTGGATTGTCCAATTTCGTCGCCTTCGATCTAGACTATCCTCCACTTCCAGGGCGCATTGCCGACCGCCTCTCACTCGGTCGATTGACTTTGCTCTCGTGCCCATCTGGTGGCCCCATCTCCATCGGACTCTCTTCACCAAGCCTTTTTCCGCCTCACTACACGTCATAAAGGACATCCCCCAAAGGAAGCGACAAGATGGGCATCCACTCGATAGTCAACACCTGCTCCCACCTCCAAAACGCCTCCCGCGCCCGCCTCGGCCTAACCTCCATCCCCAACAACAAATACAACCTCCTCCTCGCCCTCGCCCTCCACCGCGCCGGCTACATCTCCAGCGTCACTCGCGGCGGCCCTACCCCCCCGGACCCGGAGACCATCAACTCCCAACCCCCCGAACCAGTCACCCACGCCAACGTCGCGACGAGGAGGCTCTGGCTCGGCCTTAAGTACTGGGATGGGAAGCCCGTCTTGTCCAACCTCCAGTGTGTGAGCAAGCCCAAGAGGCTGGTGACTATGAACTTGACGGGCCTCGAGAGGGTTGTAAGGGGGCTGCCGTCGCAGCAGTTCCCTGGTTTGACTTTGGGCGAGTCGCTTTTCCTGTCGACTGATTTGGGTGTTATGGAGGCGAGGGAGGCGATTGAGAGGCACCGAGGCGGACTTCTATTGTGTAGGGTGTCATAATGAATGGAAGATAGGGAGTGTACGAGCGGGAGGAAGAAAAGGAGCTGAGAAGCGGTGTTGCATCCTATGTTGAATGTTGAGGAGTGGATCTGGAGTTTAGCCCACTCAAGAGCCAGTATTTGGCATTTAGCCCTTCATCACCAATTTGTATATTATATTGTTAGACAAACCCATCCTTGAGAAAATACTTGGCAATCATAGACAGAACCGTGTATCACTTGGACGCTGGCAGGCTATCTATATGACGGAGAGTCATTGGATTTGTACTTGGGAGAGAGAGGGGTGATGCAGTTTCAATTTTAAACAACTATCTGTATCAAAAAATACCTATTCGAAAAGAAAACATTGAAACACATCTACACGAAATCCAGAAGATGCTGTCCTTACACCGGTGATGTCGTGTGGTGTGCGAATGTGTCGAGAAAAAAAAAAAAAGAAAGTAACCAGAAAGTATGAGAGAAAGCCAGAAAGGTATATGGGGAAACAAGACGAAAAACAGTTGAAGAAGAGAAAGGGAAAAGATGAAATAGAACACAAACGCCTTTTGCTCCATCAAGTGCGCCTCGCTTTTTTTTGTAGCTCTAAGGTATCAATATGAGGTTCCTCCACTTACTACATGTTTGCAAAAACCACGGAATCGATAACAATTTGCCTTCTAAATTTGCCGAATAAAATGGTCATCGCTTCCCCGGGTAACTTTATTTCCTCTCCGGGCTAAATGGGATTCCTGTCCATGCATATCGTGGGATATAACACCTTTACCACGTCTCCAGCTCGGCTTCGGTAGTGGAAATAGCTGCCACGGCATCGGCTTCAGGGGCAATCACGGGGCCGTCTTCAACGGCAGCGGCCTCGGATGGGGAAATGACATCCGTTTCGTCAGACACGGTAGGCTCGACCGCCTCGACCGCGTCGTCTGCTTCGATCGGAGCAACAGTTGGAGCAATCTCCGCAGTCTCAACGGGCTCTTCATTGATTTCGAGCTTCGCGACGTCAGAGGCAAGCTCGGCAACTGAAGTAGAATCCTCCTGGGTCAAGGGCTGTTCCACGGCCGGCTCTTCAGGCTCTTCAGGTTCCTGAGACTTCTCCACGGGCTCGATAGTCGGCTCAGCGACCTCCGCGTCCTTGGCGTCTGCGGCGGCAGCCGGTTCTGTAGGCTCCGCGGGAGCTGTCTTGCTAGCGGCCGCCTTTACAGCCTCGACCATCTCTTCCGTAATGGGCTCTGCAGCAGGTGGTTCCTTCGCCGCGCTGCCGGGAGTCGCTGTCCTTGAGGGGCTAACAGATCGAGAAGCTAGCCTCCTGTTGCTAGAGACGCTCCTGACTCGGTTCTCTCCCCGCTGCCCAGACCGGTCACCCTGCCGAGTAGGGGCGCGCTTAACCGGGGGTTTCCTCGGTGGAGTGACGGGAGCTTTCTCCGAGGTTTTCGACTTGGAACTCTGAGTTGGACGCATCATGCGAGCGAGGAAGCCTTCATCAACCTGCTTTTCCTTCTTGAGAGCAGGTTTCTCCGGAGTCGTCTTCTTAGGCGGGGGCCCCACACTAGGTCGGGGACGACCGATGGAGGAAGATTTCCGCCTGAGCGTGGAGGCGGCCGTTGAGGTGCTAGCCCGGCTTGAGGAACGAACGAGGGACTGTGCCGCTTGATGGCTACCAGCAGAGCCTGAGGAGAGACGTGCCGAGTTGATCTTGGAGCCTGATGCCGCGGTCTGTGCCATGAGGCTTGCGGGGAGCTTGACTGGCTTCGTCGGAGACTTGGGCTTGGGCTTAACGAAGCCGATGCCCGAAGTCAAGCTATTGGAGGGAGAAACATGGATCGGCGGCGGCTTTCTGGCGGCGGAGGATGGTGTAGCCTTCTGGGAGGGGGCCGCGGAAGCCGGTTTGGTGGGCGTGGCAGTTGCCGTCGTCTTCTTTGGAGCAACGAGTGCCGGGGAACGCGGGGCCTTCGCGACCCTGGGCTCGCGGAGAGAGGGGCTGGCGAGAGGCTTGACGACTGAGGGAGACTTTGCACCAGCTCTTGTGGGAGGCTTAGCAGCGGAGGAGACGGGAAGATGTGCGGGGCGAGGACGAGTGTCGGCCTTTGCGTCGGTGCTCGGCTTAGTTGGGGGGTCTCGGGCTTGTTTTGTGCCCGACTTGGGTGCCGTCTTTGGAGCCAATTTGACCTTTGGCTCTTGAGGCGGCCCCTGGGGAGAAGCGGAAGCAGCCGAAGCCCTGCTCACCGTGGTCGGGTGAGTCTCGGGGGCAAAGGAGATCGGGACCGGCTCTGTGCTGAATTCGATATGAATGCTCTTGACCGGCTCTTCAAGGGCTATGATGGACTCGGGCTTCTCGGGGACGCTGGTAGCAACCGTTTCGGCACCTTCGGTGGTTTCGTTACTTAGACGACGTCTTGAAACACTTGACTCGTCACTATGATCTCTCCGGAGGCCAACCCTACCGTCCTTTTCAATAGCGATAAAATTGGTCCGAACTTTCGAGAGCGGTTTCGCGTCTATATTGCCTAATGCTCAGGGACATGGTTAGCAACACACCTCAGTCGCCTTGAGAAGAAGAGTATGGCAGGGGACTAGAGCCGTTTGCAGAGTCGAAATATAAGGCATGAGAACTTGGGTCTTCTTACCAGAGGGGCCAGGGGTACGTCCACGCTCGGGAGGGCTTACGGCATCGCCCTTGTTTTCAAACATCGCCCGAAGGTTCCTGACTTGACTCATTTTGTCGGTGAATATATCAGAGGTTCTACGAGTTGACCTTGAAGGGGCTGAGAGGGTATGTCCTTGCGGACGCTTGGTTCTAGGGGCGGACTGAGGATGGTCGGATGGATGTATATTAGCGCTCGCAACTGCAGACGAGCGAGGTCAGTGTCGACCGAGGACAGTTAAAAAGGGCGTCTGTTTGGTGGTTGATGGGCGGCAGCGACAGCCACGGCGAAGTCGGGAGGGTGAGAGGAGTACTCGTATCGTGTCCGACGAAAAGACTGCATGCCGCGGATGGGCTGAGCAGGTGTATCAACTCCAGGCGGGGGGGACCAAGGAGTTGGGGACGTGGTCACGACATGCGACAGCACATAGAGGCGAGGTCAATAAGTTGCGATGAGATGAGGCTAGAGGCGGGGAGGGGGTATGAAAGGACAGATGCGAGGAAGGAGAGGAAAGGAAAAAAAAAAAAGCCAATGTGGCCTGGGATGTGCGCGTTGATGCCTTTAGCAAGGAGGATGGAGATCAGTTGTTGATGTGACGGGGTACCGTGGAGGACGGATACGGGAGCAAACGAGTGGCTCTTTCATTAAACAGACGAGGCAAGTGGCTGTTCTGGGTTGGGTACAAGTCACATTTGGAAACGAAACCGTGGAAAGTGGTACTTGTACACGCTCCTTCCCACGGAGAAATACAAGGACGAAGTACGAAGTTATTCTCGATGTTGTCGTAAACGTGAGATGGTGACGGATCAATTGATGGGTCCGTTTGATTCGGGTCCTTTAATTACATGGGACGTTTCCCCCTAAAACGGGCACTAGAGCCCTTCTGTAAATTTGATTGGGACCCCTGATTATTCCCAAACCGGAATGCTCTTGGGGGCCTTTTCGGGGTTGGAGCCTCCTTCCAGTTTCCAGTTTTCTTCGAGGTACTTCGCAATGTGTACTTTGACGATGCATGTAAGAAGTACTTATAGTAGAGAGACGATGTGGCCCAGTCGACTGTAGTAGTACCAGGTACAATGTGGTATTGAGCCTTTTAAGTTGTTTGAAGATGGTGGCCTTGAAGCATAAACATTGGCGTACTGGGGGTTTACGGAGGGTGTCAGGGGTTCTTCATGTGCAACAGGTCCTCTCGGCGTGAGCGGAAGATTAGCGTCAGGATGGTCAGGACATTCAGGACGGTCAAAGTATCCCCACAGGATGCGGAGCGTGTCCTGTCCAACAGAACTCAATGGCTCGGGCTTTGGACAGGTCGGGGCCGTGGACAACGAGCCTGCCTGTGTACTTCAGGAACTTCAGGAACGCCAAGTCAATTGATTAGTATGACCGTATGTACAAGTACTTGATCCCCTGGTCCTGGTCCCCTATTACGTCGGTGCACAATTAGGGTGCTGCAGTCTTACAAAGTACTTGTAACCAGTCTACTTCTCCTTCCTCGCCAACGTGTGGCCTGGCCATGCTCAACGAGCTACATACATGGATACTTTCAGAGGCAGGCATCAAACCGTTCAGGATAACGGCACACACTCATAGTGAGTGGGTGGGCGCTCAGTAGTGTGATAGTCGAAGACCAAAATAACATGAAGTGACCCCTCTGGCCCATTTCATTGTTGACAAGCTGTTATTAACTTGTTCATCCGATCTCTCTCTGCGTTTCTCGGCAACGGGTAGCGCCTCGCGCTCATGGTCCCACGAGATTGGGAGCCGTACCAAATACGGAGTAGCCCAGAGTCTCGTGAGATGCAGGATATTTATGTACGAAGTATGCGTAAACTACATGCAACTGAGGTCTGGTCTGTCTTGCCCCTGGTTACATATTTGATGCGTCTCGTGCAAAACCTGCACATGCAATGCACCACTGCATTTGATTAGGGGAATGAGTCTGCGTGGCAAACGCAGATGTCCTCGAAATGGACGTTCCCCTTAAACCTGGGCAACAGTAATTGCTGTTTTGAAGGGACCAGACTCGTACATGAATACTCTGTTCCCGTAACTATCTTGTTATCCACCATCGGATTCTTCGAGTATTAATATGCAATATTGGCAGGATCGACGCCCATCATAATACTCGTCAATGATGTATGGTACGAGGGGTATTTTCCGGAGGGATATTCGGGACGACGGATTTGGAAGAAGTCTCCGAGGTCAACATCGCTGGTGTGTACGATGTACGCCTGTGTGTCGTCTCACAATAACGATGCCACTCGTGCCATTGGGGAGAAAAAGAGGGGAAGGCCATTACAGACTTGTTCTTCTGCTGCCTTCGCGAATGCAACTGGAGCTCTCTGGCTCAAAAGTGATGCCGCAGTGGGCGATTCCTCTAGAACCCACACTACCTCGCTAGCCAGTGGAGACGACGAACTTGAAGATCAAGCATCCCATGTTTCGGCCCCAACTCGTGTATTCACTCTCGGCATTAGGGCAGGCAGGTTGACGAGGAGCAACCGCGGGACTGAGTAAATTAAACGTTATGTACGAAGGAGTTTCCCCTCCAAGATTGCCCGTGAAGGCATGAACCTGGTTTGAGACGTTTCTAGAAGGCGCTGTGTTTCCGCTGGTTGTGAGTGGATGTAACGTCAAATTACACATTATCCGAGGAACCAGTGACCAAGGTTAAAACCAAACCGCTGCTGGCTACTTCGTAGTTGCTCTCCCAGTTGACTTGACTTGATTGATTGTTGATGGTCTGTGGAAGTGGGAATTCGAGCCACAACGCTGTAAAGACTGCGCCGAGCCATCTTCGGAGGTATTTGATGCTTCAATGTTAGATACTGCTAGGTTCAATGGGCGATTTAAACATAAATCAATCCATTAATACAAGGGTTGTCGCAATGTCATTCTATAATCAATTGATATCAGTTGATTCTTGTCAAGTTGTAGAGGGGCTCTAGGCTCGAGAGCTTGGCCGATGGCCGGACCTGCGTTTTGCATCATCCGAACCGTTCTCCCGAAAATTATAAACTTTTTTACACCTTCCTCTTCTTCCCAGCTCCCACCCAAACCACCCCTTCACATCAGCATCCCAAACTCACAATGGCTGCCCGGACGCTTCGAATTGGTACGTATCCTTGAATTGAGCTCTATCCCGATCCAACAGAGCAGCAACGAGGCTTTTCGCCGCCGTGATCCCGCCAATGTCGTGTGACTGACTGAGGTCCTTGCCCCGATTTCGCAGGTCTCATCCCCGGCGATGGCATCGGCAAAGAGGTCATCCCCGCCGGCCGCCGTATCCTCGAGGCCCTCCCCGCCTCCCTCGGCCTCAAGTTCGACTTCGTAGACCTCAAAGCCGGCTTCGAGACCTTCGAGCAGACCGGCGCCGCCCTCCCCGACAAGACCGTCGAGGTCCTCAAGAAGGAGTGCGACGGCGCCCTCTTCGGTGCCGTGAGCTCCCCCACCACCGCCGTCAAGGGCTACTCCTCCCCCATCGTCGCCCTGCGCAAGAAGCTCGACTTGTACGCCAACGTGCGTCCCGTCAAAACCGTCCTCACGGCCCCGAAGCCCATCGACATGGTCATTGTCCGTGAGAACACCGAGGACCTCTACGTCAAGGAGGAGAGGACCTTCGATGCCACCGACGGCTCTGGAAAGGTCGCCGAGGCCATCAAGCGCATCTCCGAGAGGGCTTCGTACCGCATCGCCGCCATGGCTGGTGAAATCGCCCTCCGCCGCCAGAAGATCCGCGAGGCCGGCGCCCCTAGCATCCATTCCGGTCCCCTCGTCACCATCACCCACAAGTCCAACGTCCTCTCCCAGACCGACGGCCTCTTCCGTAGCACCGCCCGCGCCGCTCTCTCCGAGGACCGCTTCGCCTCCGTCAAGACCGAGGAGCAGATCGTCGACTCCATGGTCTACAAGCTCTTCCGCCAGCCCGAGGCCTACGACGTCATCGTCGCCCCCAACTTGTACGGTGATATCCTCTCCGACGGTGCTGCTGCTCTCGTCGGTTCCCTTGGTCTCGTTCCTAGCGCCAATGTTGGCGAGGGCTTCGCCATCGGTGAGCCCTGCCACGGAAGCGCCCCCGATATCCAGGGCCAGGGCATCGCCAACCCTATTGCCACCCTTAGGAGCGCTGCCCTTATGCTCGAGTTCTTGAACGAGGAGGAGGCTGCTGCCAAGATCTACGCCGCTGTTGACGGCAACCTCGAGGATGGAAAGATCCTTAGCCCTGATCTTGGTGGTAAGGCCACCACCGAGGAGGTCCTCCAGGATGTCCTCAGGAGGTTATAAAGAAATGCCGGCCCGTCGAAAATTGTGCGTGTGAAGGTGGAGGATAGGCGTGTAGGACTATAAAACTTGTTTGGATGATCCTCTGATGTGATCCTGTACTTGAAGATATCAACTAGCTAGAGCAGGTTTTAAAAAGCGTTTCGGTCCTTTACTTCTAGTACCCAAGTGATAAACCCAGTTGATGATGTTCTTGGTATGAGAGTGGATTTGTCAAGTTACATAGTAGTCTATATTTTAAGTACATATTCATGCCAACGGTTTCCTCCTTTTGGTTTCGCTCTCATTAACACACCCCGAATAATATCGTAGTCCCGGAGCCAACCGGTAAATCTATGCCGTACACGAGCCCAAGAAAACGGAACCCCTGCTTCATCGCTCGACTTGCCTTCCGCAAACAAATGTTACAACTGTAGATATGGGGATAGCCTCCAGGCGCCATGCATAAAAACAGTACTCTTTTTCCTCTTTCTTTCCGCCTCAGTTCGAGCAAATTAGTAAAACAAGTGGTGGAAGAATTGGTATAATACATGCATAGTCAATGGAGAGGCCACCATATATCCAACCTCCATAATGCCGGACGCTGGATAAGAGCGACCCATAGTAACGGATTCTTCAGGGGATAGGGAGAGCATATCTCAGTGCCCCTCCTCTCCCCTCTGCGATGACCTTGCTTATTTGGTTCGCTTAGCCTCGAGCTCCTTCTGGTAGTTGGCAACCAGCTCCTTCCTGTAAGGTGACAGTTAGCAACCAAGAACTTCAAGGGTTCTCCTGTACGGGAATTAAGGGGGATAAGAGGGTCTGTGGGTCTTACTGGAGATGAGGAGGCGCAGGGGCGTAGTGGCTGAACTCGAGGTTGAACTCGCCCTTGCCCTGAGTGGCAGCTCTCAACTGAGTGCTGAAGCCAAACATGGAGTTGAGACTGCAGTCAGAGACGCTGGTAAAGTCCTCGGAGCCGACCTCAGTATCGTGAATGGTCGCGGTGCGCTTGTTCAGGAGCATAAGAATGTTGCCCTGGAACTCATTGGGGGCCGTGATGTGGGTCTTCATGAGGGGCTCCAGCACCTGACCGTTGGCCTCCTTGAAAGCCTTCTCGAAGGCCATTTGAGTAGCCAAGCTGAAGGCGTAATCGGAGGAGTCAGTAACGTGAGTGGAACCGTCATTGATGACCATCTTGACACCAATGACCTTGTGGCCAAGGAGGGGACCCTTCTGGCACGCCTGCTCGAAACCCTTGGCGCAAGCGCTGAGGAACTTCTCGGGAATGCTGCCACCGACAACCTGCTGCTCAAAGAGGTTTGTCTCCGGGTCATCGTTGGGCTCAATCCAGCCGGCAACACGGGCATAGTCTCCAGGACCACCCGACTGGCGCTTGAGGAGGAAGTCAAACTCGGTTCGCTGGCCAATAGTTTCTCTGTACGAGACACGGGGTTGTCCGGTCACGCAGTCTACCTTGTACTCTCGGCGAAGGCGCTCGACGTAGATTTCGAGATGGAGTTCTCCCATACCAGAAATGATGGTCTCCTCGCTTTCGGGGTCGACGTGAAGTCGGAAAGTCGGGTCCTCGCGCTGGAAGCGGTTCATGGCCTTACTGAAGTTGTCGGCGTCACTCGACTTCTTGGGCTTGATGGAGAGCGACATGACGGCCTCGGGAACGAACATGGACGACATGGCGTAAGGGAGCCCACCGTCGGTGAAGGTGTCACCCGAAGCACAGTCAACACCGAAGACGGCACAGATTTCGCCGGCGCCGATCTCGTTTACGTCCTCCAATTCGTTGGAGTGCATGCGCACAATTCTGGGGATCCTGACCTTCTTGCCCGTTCGGGAGTTGAAGAGGTAGCTGCTCTTCTTCAGCTTGCCTTGGTAGACTCGGATGTATGTGAGCTGGCCGTAGTTGTTCTCCTCGAGCTTGAAGGCCAGTCCGACAAACGGCAGAGAGTTATACGGCACAAGAGCGACGGGTTCCTCGTTCTTGGATGTGTCGAGACCCAAGTTCTCAACCTCACCGGGGTCCGGCAGGTAGTCGCAGACGGCATCGAGGACGGGCTGGATACCCTTGTCGCCGAGAGCGGTACCCATCATCACGGGGGTAAACTTGAGGCCGATGGTGGCGCGTCGGATAGCAGCCTTGATCTGGGGGATGGTAGGCTCTTGCTCGTCCAGGAACATCTCGGCCATTTCATCATCGACATCGGCAAGCTTCTCGATGAGGACCTGCCGCTTCTCAAGTGCCATGTCCTTGAATTGGGCGGGAATCTCGTCGGTCACCCTCACCTTGGTGCCTCTAGGTCCTTCGAAGTAGATGGCCTTCATTTCGATAATGTCGATGACACCCTCGAAGTCGCTCTCGGCGCCCATGGGGATCTGAATAGCGGCGGCGGGAATCTTGAGCTTGGAGTTGATCTGCTCAACGGCCTTCCAGGGATTCGCACCCATGCGATCCATCTTGTTGACAAAACTGATGCGGGGGACGTTGTACCTCTTCATCTGACGGTCGACGGTGATGGTCTGACTCTGCACCGCGCTGACGGCGCAGAGGATCATGACGGCACCGTCAAGGACACGAAGAGCACGCTCGACCTCAATGGTGAAGTCAATATGGCCTGGGGTGTCGATGAGATTAATGTGGAACTGCTTGTCCTCGCCATTCTCGGTCTTGGTCCAGTCGCAGAAGGTCGCGGCGGACTGGATGGTGATACCCTTCTCACGCTCGAGATCCATGGAGTCCATCTTGGCACCGACGGAATCCTTGCCTCGGACCTCGTGTATCGCCTTGATTCGGCCCGTGTAGAAGAGAATTCGCTCAGTACATGTCGTTTTTCCGCTGTCGATGTGGGCCTAAAGAAAGGGAATGTTGCCTGGTTAGACGATTGTAGCTAAGGGGACGAAGGGTGAGAGGCGAGAGAGATATAAAAGCGAGGGCTGTTGAACATACAGCGATTCCGATATTTCGTACTCGCGAAAGCCTGAGTGCTTCCTCGGGACTCAAGCGCGCCGCGGCGGTCTCAACGGTCACATTGGAAGCCTCTTCCTGGGCCGCTCGTAACCTAATGGCCGCAAATGTGTTAGCCAACAATGGCATGACCAACTCGTTGCCACCAGCCTGCATTCACCGGGGCAGGGGGGGCAAGTGAAAAGATAAGAACATACGCTTCAGCAGCAGCCGAGGATCGTAACCTCAGCGACGTTGTGAACCTCCGGCATGATGACACTAAAGGAACGCGAGCCGGTTGAGGGCCACTTGAGGGCTGCGCGACATGGTAAGTGTTGAGGAAGCTCAAGCGCTGAGCGCGACTGGCCAGAGAATGAGATGGACGGAGGAGACCGCCATTGACGGCCCTGGCGGCTCTGATGACCCTCATCGCGAACTCGAGTCTGCAGTGACAAACAGACTTCTAGATCATCGGCAATGGGTGGAAAAAGAAGAGGTGTGGTTGGTATGAAGGATAATCCTCGAGTAGCCTCTTCCGACACTTTTTTTTTTTCTTTGTCCTCGAGGTACAAAGTATATTGTAGCGCCGCCAACCGGGATCCACCGAATCAGGAGATGCTCTTTCCCATCTCCTATTGTGGTTGGTTCAGTCAAATCTGGATTGACAGGGCCATCTACTTGACTAAGACTTTTTTTTTAAGTGTACTTCAGGCTTGTACTTTGACACAAGTAAGGACGAAGTCGATGTATTTCTAGCGGACCCAGTCATCAACGGGCGAATGGGAATATCTCGGTTGATGATTATGGTCACAACACAACTACCATGTTAACCGAATTTCCTCCCCTTCCAATGGGTGAACCAAGACTCTGCTCTTCTTCGTTCATTGATATTGTTAGCGATCAAGCTCTGTGATCCGGCTTTAAACTCGAATCGAAATTTTACTACTACGATTGGTGTGAGGTGGGCATGTGAGAACGGCAAGATGTGTCATCGTCGATAGCTGTCGACGGTGGGAACACCTTCGATTCCTTCAACTACTTTTGCCAGAAATCAGGAAGATTGGTAAAAACACATTCGGATACGCATTCCATGAAGGCTCACTCCAGTTTTGGCTTGGACGATCACTCCCATGGGGCAGCAAGGTGCTACTGTGACGGAACGATATAGTGTTTCCTAGAACTACTTATTTTGATGTATTGAGGTGTTACTCAGCGCCGCTGTATTGGTGTCCAGCTGTTCGTCATGTTCGCAATTACATCCACGGATGTTGTTCCACTCTGTCTCCCTGCGCTCGAGGATGAGACGGAGGAGAGAGGAGACTCGACATGACCTAGTAGTTTCTCAACATCAATGGAAGCAAGCTGAAAAAGGAGGTCAAGGTATTCCCAGTGTACAAGCAATTCATCTACAGTGCGCTTTGCTTGTCACGCCCCACCGTACGAACAAACAACAACTTCCGTAACGATCATACCGAAAACGAAAAAAAAAAAAAAACAGAAGTGCTCCCAAACGCCTCGCCATGTATCTCCCCAGCCAGTTCCCGTTCAAGATGTTTATTAGGCCCGCATTACCACCTGCTGTAGGAGAAGGTGCTGCAACATCCGAAAATATTCGTGGGTAATGCATGGTATCATTGATAGTCCACAAGAGAGCGCTTGCGTCTAAAGCACCATCCAGAACGCCGCAGCCATCGCTAAGATGGACGATGCTCCAAACACGCCAGGGGTCCACGCGGCATTCCGGAAGCCGCTTCGAGCGTTATAAGCGGGATCAACGAGCCGCGCTGGCGTGTCGGTCTGACCCTGGTTCGGAGCCTCCGTTGCCGATGGTATAGATCCGTTAGACGGGAAGGCCACAATGGCGCTCTTTGTCTCGTTGAAATCGGTTTGCGCGATTCCAATTTCGTTGTTGACGAGATCAAAGACGACGTAAGCCGAGCGCAGGAAAGTCCCTCCCAAGATGTATGGTTCCCCGCCGAAGTCCTGGATGCCGAAGAGGCAAGCCTCCTGCCCCTCGTACTTGCTGCCGCTGGGGAATAGGGGTGCCCTTCCGAGAGTAAGGTCCAAAACTAGCTCGTCCATCGGAACGGTGATCTTGGGTCCTCCGGGCCCGCCGAAACCAAACGTGAATTTGCCCGAGCTGTCACGCCGGTAGCAAGGAATAAGTGGTTGGCGCAAGACGGAGGAAAACTCGGCGCCGACTTCCTCCCAAATCTGCTTCACAAGATCGATCGGTAGAGAGGTGAGGGTGGTGCCGGAATCGAGGATGACCTCGATGGGGAAGCTCGCCGAGGTGAGAGTGTCGCTTCCCGATGGACTGTTCGCCTCGACCGAGGTCATGGATATCCGGAAGTGGTCGAAAACAGTGTCGAACGTATCCGGGATCGTAGTAGGGTTGACCTTGACCTTCATCATGTCGCCGACATACTTTTCGGTATCAACTCCGCCAAAGAGGATGCTTCCCATCGGAGAGCCTGTTCCTGTTAACTTATGCTCCTTGCGCGTGGCTCCTAAAGCACTGTCGAACAACTTACTTAGATCGTTGAGCCAGAGGCTGTAGGCTATAGTACTCGTGATGTTGCTATTCGCCAGCGCAACTGGTAAGTTGTCGTAGATAACGCTAGCCGTCTCGAAAGAAGCCTCGTTAATCGAATAGCCAACTCCAATCACACCATGACTTAGAGTCGTGTTAAGCCCCAGGCCCATTGTGAAATTGGCTAGCTCCGAGTCGCCTATTTCGAGGGTGTCGCGGAAGTAATCTCCCTGGACATAGGAATTGTCCAAATATGTGATTTTGAGCTTATCGGAAAGGAAAGTTGTGTGGGTTCGTGAAGATTTGGAGTCGTCTGAAAGGATAACCAAAAGTTTTAGCTTCTCGCTGCCATTGCCAGATGATGACCCTCCCTGACAGCTTCAGAAGAGAGAGGGGGGAGAGAGAGAAATGAGAGTCTCAAAAACTGGAAACGGAAAACTTACAACTACCTAACGGACACGGATCGAGGGAGAAGCTCGACGAGCAAATCGGAGCGTTTCTCGCAGGGATCCAGGTGTCGCTGCTTCCACTATCGAGCAGCAGCACGACCTCTTGCGGAGGCGTACCTATGGTACATGTTGAGAAATAACCACCGCGCTGCTTCTCGTTCGTTATCACCTCCTCGACTGTTTGGTCTTGTCTGCGCCGTAGAACGGGTGCTTCGGGATTCCGCTTTTCTTCGAATTGAAGCAGCAAGACGCCGGGAACAGGCTGGGAGCCTAGCGCGTTCACAGCCAGCGCGCCCGCCGCAAGAACGTAGCTCGATCTCCTCATCTTTTTTTCCCTTTTTTTGAAGGCGAATTCGCGAATGCCTGCCGCGAGAGGCTAGGCGCTATGATATCGGCGGTTATGTGTGGAAATGTCGCGGTTTGCTTCTTCACCACTTGTTGACGCGAGGGAGTCGAGGAAGCAGGGGCCGAAATCGAGGAAACGAGCGCAAATCGAGTGGGTTGTAAGGGAGATCGAGCGGAGGGCGAAAGCGCAGGCTGCAACGGAAGAAAGAGAGGATCCGGGAGAGTTCTCTTGTTGTCACCACACCATGCAAGCTGGAAAGAGAAAAATACCCCAAGAACCAACCGGTGGAGTTGCCAAGAGACGTTGGGTGTGACTCTCCCAAGGCTATCGTCAGAATTTGGCGAGCCAAGGAATTATGGGCTGTGGGCCAAGACCGTCAGATTAGGCGCTTGTCACATCCAACGAGGCCGCCAAGCAGTGAAGGAAGGCAAACAGAGAGCCGGAACTTCCGCAAGACTCGGCAGGAGCATATAGCGATCGGCCTTATTTCTCACGAGCCTACAACCAGTGCAGGACAGAGGGAACCGCCTCGTTAATTTGAGGGATGGAGGCACAATGGCATTGGCCTTGGCGCGGGACGTGAGACAAGGATCAATTGGCGAAAAGGTCGGCCTTATTGGGGGATGCGCGAGATCAGGCCGATCCCTAAAGCATTAAATGGGTAGAATCAATTTAGATGGGAGGATGAGGCACGGTTGGGAAGAGTGGGAAGCATTATGGACGGGACAGGGACAGAGAGATGGACAAGACATGGAGAGCAGCAGGAGATCCTTTGACTGGACTCGCGAAGCCTCCACACCCAATCCCCCACCTTCGGCGCCATTAGAAGAAGTGTTTGCTCTCTGGTTGAGCGTCAAAGCCCCGGACATCACTTAAAACAACCCAGGGCCGACTCCGACTCCGAGGGACAGAGCTGGTTCAATAAGGGGGCGCTTGCGTAAGTCCGTGATGCTTCGGTCTCAGCAGGTACGACCCAGTCCAACCGAGCCATCACCACCTATAAATCCACAACCTCTTGATTCAGCGTTGTCGTAAGCGCCTTTCTGAGACACAGCATGGAATGCTCCAAAAATAGGGCAATGGGGTACAGAAGCATCCAGCAATGTCCTGAGTACATGAACCTCTTGTGCATCCGGATCAGATCTGCTGGATAACTTCTGGAGATCGTGCATATCTCGGGCTGTCACTGCCATCTAACAGGTACAGTTACATACACTGGAATACCCCATGCGGCCTGGGGCGCAGGGGCGACGTTACATGACGGGACCCAAAAGAATCCATCTCCCACTTCGTATTTTAGATGAACGAAGTCGACGAATCAATAGATATTAATTGGCAGCTAGGCTATGCTACAGCTCAGCCTCTGACGAGTTGGGGCTGACACGGGGAAACTCCAGAGGGTGTCTGAAACATGACTGGGACCTTTCAGGCACAAAGTATAAGGCCACATGGGCGACTCGACTCATTCGGGGCGCATTTTTTAGGTGCCGCTAGCCGGAGCTTGCTTTACCACGGTTTTCGAGTTTGGAGGTGTTGGACCCGAACGCCCTTGCTCCATGTTTGGGCTTTGACAAAACCTTGTTGGCAGAGCATAAAGAGATGGCTACTTTCAGCGGCGATTGTCCAACTTTTAAAGATTCAGAATAGAAGAAAAGGAGGTAAAAAAAAAAAAAAAACTTGGTCTCGACTACCGCGGTTTGCCAGAACCAGGTAAAAGAATGTCCTTGATTCACCATGTCCATGGTTCTCGGTTTGGCAGCACAGTCGATCTCAACCACGGGATATTATATTCAAATCTTGAAACACTGCTAGAAAAGCCTTTGCCTGCCTTACTACCAACCGTGGCGCACTCTTTTCTTCTCACAGTATCACCCACCCGCCTTGCTCCGCAGTTGCCCAAGCGAAATAACAACACAGGGACACCAGCTCACAACCCGTAACCTTTCGATCCAACAAGAGCACGATGCCAAACTTATAAGAGGTGCTGCTCTACATACTCGCCGAGCTTTTGTAGGGCCTCGATGAGTACTTCGCTTGAACAGGCGTAACCGATGCGCACATATCCCTCAAAATCCTTGCCCTCACCGAAGCACTTTGACCCCGGCACGAGCATGACCTTGGTCTTTTCCAGGACATCGAGGCAGAACGCAACATCGTCAACTGGGGCGGGCACCGGCTTGTTCTTACGAAATTGGATGAATGCGGTACTGCTCGAGTTTGGCTTCACCCACGAGCACACGGTTGGATATCGCTTGACGAATGCCTCTAGGAGTTCCAGGTTCTGCCTCGCGAGCCCCGAGTTTCGCGCTATTAGGTTGGTGTAGACCTCGGGAGAGAGCGCGTATTGCGCTATCTGGTCATCGATCTGGGATACGCTGATCGTAGTGTAACTCCTGGCTTCCCGGAGCGCCTGCGCAATGGATTCATCGTTGGTGGCAACCCAGCCAATCCGGATACCGGGCAGCGCGTATGCCTTTGACATCGAGCCTGTGACAATCGTTTTTTGGTATCCAAGTGCTGTGGCAGGTGGTGGTATATCCGCTCCGTCGACCCCAAGGCCATGGAAGAGCGGCCGGTAAACCTCGTCGGAAAGGACCACGATGTCCCTCTCCTTACCAAAGTCTATGATCTCCTTGAGGGTTTGCGTAGGTATCGCGGCGCCTGACGGATTGTTTGGATTATTTATCACAATCATCTAGACTAGGTTAGACCTCACATCCACGTCCGAGTCTTCGGTTCGAGCCCGCGATGCCTACCTTGGTATTGGACTTGACCAGTTGCGCGAGCTCCGACACGTCGGGAATGAAACCGTTCTCCGGCTTCAACTTCCACAACGTCACCTCGGCCCCGAGACTCTCCGGCACACTATACAACTGCTGGAATGTCGGGTATGCGCAAATGACATGGTCGCCCTTTCCGACAAGCGTGTAAAACACCAGGAAGTTCGCGGCAATAGCGCCTTGAGTGATGATGACGTTTTCGGGGTCGTGCCCCTCGCCGACGTGAAGGCGGTTTATCAGGTCGCGCAGTTGCTCCGATCCCCGGACGGCACCGTATGACAGTGGGAGGGTGGTGTCTAGCAACGGCGAGGGGGTGGCAGAGCTAGAGAGGCCTTGAAGCTCGTCAAGGGTGATGGGAGCTGAGCAGGTCTCTGATATATTGAGGACGCCTGGTGTATATTCATATTTATCCAGCCACAGCTCAACTTCGAAAGGCTGAATCTGAACCATGATGGCGATAGAAACGATGCTGATGTAGTTTAACAGTGGTAAAGTGAATAATTTCGATTCAAACTATCAATTAATTCTATATATCTCCTCGATACTGTGGGAATGTACTCTTTAATAGTCAGGACTTTGAGTCTGAGTTTCACTGTGCAGTTGGGTTGGAGCTTCAATACATTTGATCAATGCTAGACCTGCAGGGCTGAAAAGGTGGGGAAGACCTAAAGGGCGCAGAGAAAGGCGCATACAAAGGCGCCTGGGATGGTGCAGAGAAAGGCATATGGAAGGGCGCATACAATGTGATGTGATCTAGGGAGGAGATAACAACTCGGCCTGTCACAGCCTATTTTGATATGGTGTTGTTATTGGCGTAGCTAACTTTCCCCCAAAAAGGCAGGTGTTTTAGACTCATCACAGTCGACCACTTCCAGCTCCAGCTTTCGCCCTTTGCTCTCTGATTGCCGTGCTGCTAATCTTAGCTTCCCAGTCTTCCGTTTTGCTCGGCTCATCGCTCGCGATGCCCTGGGCATCAAGGACATCGACTTCGTACACTTTCACTTCCTTCCATCCCATTTCCTTCCTTTTATCATTGACGGCCTGGCCACCGGATCTCGTCTCGCCCGAAACAATGAGCGCGTCCATGTCCTCCACCGTGATGGTCGGACCGAAGGGTTCTTGAATTTCAACACATTCAACAATCACCGAGCCGTTGCGATATGACCCCGTAAGCTCTGTTGGGATCTTGGAGGAAATCCGGGGCCCTACCTCGTTTTCGCAGTCGATGAAAGAGTGGAGGAAGTCCAGCACGCTGCGGGCTCTGACTTCCCATGACTGCACGTACTCTGCGTACTTCTTATTTTTCAAAAGCTCGTCTCCCGTTACACCAATGATAAAACGGCTTGGATGAGCGGAGCTTTGCGGAACTTTGAGAAGTATCGCAGCGGCTGATAGCAAGAGCTTGTGCCCGGGATGTAGATGATCGAATGTACCACCTAAACAGACAACGGAGTAACCATTCGTGGAGCCGGTGTTCGTCCTGGGAGATTCTGGTTCGGCCTCGGAACGGGTCGAAGAGGCACACTTAAGGCCGATGGTCCTATGTTGAGCGCCTCTTTCACCCACAACCTTGGTGTAGGCATCTAACAGGCTGCGCCCTTCTTGCGTCTTGAGATAGAAAACCGAATCCCATAGATTGCGTACACGTGCGAAAGTCGCGAGATCTCGAATAATGGTTCCATTGAACTCGCCGTTTCCGGATGCTCGCTTCCCAGACCCCTCGCCAGAGTGTACAAAAACGAGGCGGACATCTACAGAGTTTGGCCCTGCGTCTGCATCACTCGCTATCGATTGCTTTGCAGAAAGAAAAGCCACTAGAGAGTACAGACTGCTCAGGGTTGCCTGAATCTGAGACCAAGAAATGCGCTGCTCTCCCGCATGGTCTCCAGATGCCTGCTGCAAAAAGCTGCCTACGACTGCGATCACCAAAATGGAAGAGTGGTTGGGATTCTTCAGGTGGGATAGGACCGAGGCTAAGGGTTGCTGGTAATTCGCGGAAATAGACCGGCGGCTGGCGGTTCTCGGCGGGAGGGGTAGAAGGAGGAGACTTTGCCCAGCCATGGTGATAAAATCAACAATTCGAGTGTAAAAAAAGGTTCCAGGGCTGTCGTGGCGGTGGTCACCTATTCGGATTCAATGACGGAGTTGAACTTTGGGTTGTGATGGATCGTTAGTGGGGTGAGTGTCTATCGATGTTACCGCAGGAGCTGATGTTGACATTCACAGCAAATGCGCGTGGCAACGCACACTGCTCCTCGGATGCATTGAGGAAGCTTCAATGGCTCCTCGGGTGATTCTAGTTCTGCGCTTCGTAGCGTCGTAGAGGCTACGGAATAGGCCGGGTTAGGTCAGTTCAGAATGGGCTCTCCGCTACGCTGTTGCCAATATAACTCGGACCGGAAAGCCCATTTCACAATCAGCTCTGACCGAGACAGCATCGAATTGATGTCCGAAGTGCCATGCTCTACCGCTCTGGGCAAGTCGGATTGAGAGATGGCATTGAGAGGTGGCCGAACTGTGGGGGATAGAGGCTTTGTAGCTTCCCAGGGTCTTGATGCTCAGCGCTCAAGTCATGTCGTCATAGGTCTCAGAGCGGGAGGGAGTCACGGCTGATATCAACTGGTTGCATGTGCGATAGGCATCAAAATAAAACACCCCTGCCCATCCTGAGGCACTGAGGTACAAGGGTACAGATTGACGTATGTATTCTGTACAAGGAGATGTCGCAGTTGTTGTTCCTTCCCGTGCTCCGTGTTGATTTAACTTCGGGTTGTCTCTACTTTGCGCCCCGCTCCCTGGACCAGTCAATTCGCCAGGGTGCCTGACCCGGTGACGACGGCGTTCCCAACCACTAATTGTCTCCATCGACCTGCTGACCTGCTGCCAGCTGCTCGCTGACCATAGCAACCTCAACGAACCGAGGGAAGCTTCCGTGGTGATGCTCATCATAACAGCCCGCTCCAGCATCCTGCAGACGAAGTCGTAGCATTTCCACATCAACATCTCCCAGAAACCCGAACGCCCCAACGGTTTCCACCTTGTTTCTCCTCGCTTTCGGCGAACCGAATCCCGCCGGCCCCTTACAGAACTATCCTCCCCGACTCCTGAATGCTGTTATCGACTCCGCGACACTAATGGCTCCTCCCTACCCCAGGAGCTTCCTTCTGGGGGCTCTTGCTGTGCTCTCATCGCTCTCCGCGATGGCGAGCGCACAGAGCAACTATACCCAGGCCGATATGCTACGGGCTCACCTCACCCTTCTAGGTGATCGCCCTCCCGAATGTCCTCCATGGTTAGTTTAAGGGCGTCCTGTCCTGCGATTCGGAGCATCGTAAACAATCGCTCTTCCCGAGCGCGAATACTGATATCTTGTATTTACCTCATACAGCTTCAACTGTTTGCTACCCGCCCACACCTGCACCCAGTATGCCTCGTGTAACGAATTCAACGGCAAATGCGACTGTCCGGAAGGCTTTGGTGGAGATGACTGCCTTGAGCCTCGTATGTCCTTATTTAATCCTCTCCGCCACCGACTTCACCTGTTTCGGGCTTTGCGTAGCTAATCTAGGAATCTGCTCCTTTAGTCTGCGGCTCTCTTGCTCGGGGCAGGGACCGACCGATGCGATCTGGCGATAAGTGCGAGTGCGACGAAGGCTGGACCGGAATCAACTGCAACGTCTGCACCAGTAACCAAGCTTGCGATGCGCTGATGCCGACCGGGGATTCTGGTGTCTGCTATCAAAACGGAGAGGTTGTGAAACACAACTACCAGATTTGCGACGTTGTGAACAAGAAGATTACCAGCTTGCTCGGCGACAAGAAGCCTCAGGTCACCTTCACTTGCAAGAAAGAGGACGCTACCTGCCAGTTCCAATGTATGTTCCGAATACGTTTTTGCGTTTCCGGCTTCCTACTCTATTTCCCACCAACGACCTTGCTAACTATCAGGTAGTTTGGGTCGATGAGCGAGAATCCTTTTACTGCGACCTCGACAGTTGCCGGTCCTCTGCCGAGTACACCGAGAGCCAAAACAGTACCTCTTACAAGTGCGACAATGTCAAATGCAGCTGCATTCCGGATCGCATGCTTTGTGGCCAAGACGGCTCCGTAGATATTACAGACTTCTTGAAGGAATCCATCCGTGGCCCTGCCAAGTTCGAGTGCGAGCAGGAGCTAGGCAATCCAAACAACTGTCAATTCAGGGAGCCGCAGATGGATGACCTGATTTCTGCTCTCATCGGCGACTCGAGTATCCTCTTGACCTGTCGCTCTGGAGAGTGTCTCTATCACACCGAAGTCCCCGGCTACGAGCGACCCGTCAAGCGTATCAATACTCCCCTCATCGCCGGTGTCATCGCTCTCTGTTCTTTGTTCCTCGTTGCCGTCATCCTCTTGACTTGGTATCTCTCCCGGCGCCAGTTCAAGTACGGCCCGATCCATCTGGACGACTCCGATGACGAGAATGCTAAGCTCATGACCGACCACAAGCCGGCTTCTCTCTACTTTAAGGGTGTTTCGTACTCTCTCAACGGGAAGCAGATCCTAAGCGGGATCGGCGGCTTGGCTCGTCCGGGAGAGATTACGGCGATCATGGGCGCGTCTGGAGCTGGCAAGACAACCTTCCTCGATATCTTGGCTAGGAAGAACAAGCGCGGTCTAGTTTCTGGCGACTTCTACGTCAACGGTGAAAAGGTCAATGACTCCGATTACAAGAGCTTCATCGGCTTCGTTGACCAAGAAGATACCATGCTTCCTACCCTCACTGTTCACGAGACTATCCTGACCAGCGCTCTGCTGCGCCTGCCACGCAACATGAGCAGGGCCGCCAAAGAACAGAGGGTTGTCGAGGTCGAGAAACAGCTTGGTATCCACCACATCCGAGATTCTTTGATCGGCTCTGAGGAAGGCAAGGGTCGCGGCATTTCTGGAGGCGAGAAGCGACGAGTTGGAATTGCCTGCGAGCTTGTGACGAGTCCCTCCATCCTGTTCCTCGATGAGCCAACCAGCGGGCTTGATGCCTTCAACGCTTACAATGTTATCGAGTGTCTAGTAACATTGGCGAAGACCTATAAGAGAACTGTCATATTCACCATCCATCAGCCGCGGTCTAACATTGTCGCCCTGTTCGACAGACTCATCCTCCTCGCCCGTGGGGAGACGGTTTACTCTGGCCCTTTCCACCACTGCCAGGATTACTTCGACAGCATCGGCTATTCGTGCCCGCCTGGATTCAATATTGCTGACTATCTCGTTGATCTTACTATGCACGCTGGCGCGACAACGGAGATCGACGATGGGACGGTGATTCCTGACAGTGCTAGTGTTGGCCCCAGCAGCACACGCGCTATCAAGTCCGTTGCGAGCGCCTCCATCATGAGCGGTAATGATGATGGCAACAACCCCCCATCGACACCGTCGCGACCGAAGAGTAAGCGCCATGATTCTGTTCGCAAGCAACAGGAGCGAGAGCTATTTACCCGCCGAAGACAGACGATCGATACCGCGGCTTCCTCCGACGCTGGGGTGGAAGATGCGGGGTCATTTAGACTCCAAAAACAGGCACATCCGGAGCACGATGATCTTCATGACCTGCCCCCGGCGGCCCTTACGGGCACTGCTCTTGACGAAATCGTCCAAGCCTTTGCGGAATCTGCTATAGCCAACTCTACCAATGACGAAATCTCCCAGGCTGTCGAGGCAGCCCAGATTGCCAACGGCGCCAACTCGAATGGGTACTCCGTCGATGGGCCTAACATTGGCGTTGGGGCCATGGGCAAGGGATACATTCGTGTCGGCTATCTCACGCAGTTCGCTATTTTGTCTCAGAGGACCTGGAGAAATCTGTACCGCAACCCTATGCTGATGCTTACACATTATGCAATCGCGATCCTGCTAGCGGTGCTTTCCGGGTACCTGTTCTACGGCATCACCGACGACATTGCCGGTTTCCAGAACCGCTTGGGTCTCTTCTTTTTCCTCCTCGCCCTCTTCGGCTTCAGCACCCTGACCAGCCTTAAGTCTTTGCCAGCGAAAGACTCCTTTTTGTCCGAGAACGAGCCAACGGTTACTACGCTCCCATCACGTACTTTACCTCCAAGGTTCTCTTTGACATCATCCCGCTCCGCATCATTCCTCCTCTTCTTATGGGTGCTATTATCTACCCTATGACGGGTCTCGTGGCCGACTTTGAGCACTTCTACAAGTTTATTCTCATCCTCATTCTCTTCAATCTCGCGGCGGCAGCCATCTGCCTCTTCATCGGCATTGTCTGCAAAGACCACGGCGTTGCTAACCTTATTGGTTCCCTCGTTATGCTGTTCAGTCTGCTCTTCGCCGGTCTTCTTTTGAACCATAATGCCATCCCCAAGACCGCCGTGTGGCTCCAGACCCTGTCGATCTTCCACTACGCCTTCGAGTCTCTCATCGTCAATGAGGTTGTGCATCTTACTCTAATAGACAACAAGTACGGCATCAACATTACGGTGCCCGGTGCTGCTATCCTTAGTTCGTTTGGTTTCGACAATGGCGCTCTGTGGAGTGACATTTTCCGCCTTGGCGTATTTGGAGTTGTCTTTATCATTCTAGCATATGTCGCTATGCATGTTCTCCTCGTTGAGAGGCGGTAATATTCTACAGGACAAGTAGCGAAGGGAGAAAGGATTAGTTTCAGCGGAGGTGATGTCAAGTGAGCACGAGGACAGTCGTTTCGTTTATTACCTGCACCACTGTTATTACTGTCGTTATTCCTGCTGCTCACCCAGCGTCTACTTTTCTTAAATTTGTTTTGTTTTGCGCCGGGCGCCGTTACACGGCCGCCTAGGTCAGCCATCAACTGCTTGGCTTACAACATCATCCAATGTTGGTGGTTGCTCCGAGCTTCATAATGCCGGCGTTAGGGAGAAGGCGGAGTTTGGATTGTTTCCTAGGTTCAACAGGATCATGGCATCGCTGGGTTCAGGGCCCACTCTTCTGAGCGCACTTCCGATGTGGAGGAGAGTCGGTTCAGTCGCCGTTACCGTTTTTCTTTTTCCTTGAGTTTCTTTTTTCTTGATACAACACCAACCGCACAAGAGAGATTTATACATACATATATATTGTACAATCTAGCTAGTATCACATTTCTCCTTTTGTAATGGATGTCTCTACTTCCCGCCGTATCGTGACACACGCGCATCTCCTTCACACCCCGTCACTCTTGACCCAGTTGATGCTAGCACTCATCCATCATTCCCCACCGCCGAGCCGATGTATCCCTAGATAGTTCAGCGCCCCAAAGAGGCGTACAAAGGCAGATAGACACGCAATTACTCCATCTTTCCACCCGTGAGTTCCTCCGCCGTCTTCTTCTGGCGCCTCATATTCCTCGTATAGTCGGCGGTATAGTGCCCCAGACCGTTGGAAGGGGGAGAATCGCGAACAGCCTGGGCGACCACCTCGTAGATTCCCGACTGGGTACCCCATTCCTGCCACGCGCTGTTCTTGGACGGGTCCCTCCAGTAGTTCTCCGAGAAGAGATGGTCGACCTCGGTCTCGAGCTCCTTCTCATCAACGATGAAGTTGTTGGCATGGACATAGAGCTCCATCAAGGAATGGAGACGGGCCTCCCGCTTCTCTTCCTCGACTTGAAGCGTCCGCCTCCTGCTCGCCTCAGCCTTCTCGAAGCGCTCGGGGTCCGGAAGGACCTCCGTGTTGAGAGTCTCCTGAAGCACGGTCGAGCGGGTGAGGAACTCATCGGTGCGCTCGGGAGCAAGACCGGCGGCCATGTGGGCCTTGTGCTTATCGGCTTCCAAAGAGGCCTCTCGCTCGTCGCGCTTGAGCTTACGTCTCCAGAGGCCCTTGAGGCCGGCGCGAAGGTTCTTGCGGCGAGACTCGGCCATTATGCGCTTCCAGTGCTGGGGGTGGTCTTCGGCCAGAGTCGCAGGCGAGGGGGTTTTCTCGGAGCGAGGATAGGTCTCGGTAAGATAGGAAGGTTCGAGCTTTCGGGAGTCGCTAGGCTGAGGGAAGACCTTGCGGGGCACGGGGAGACTGCCTCGTACCCTGGTTGGCTTCGTCTCATCGGATAGGGGAGCTGTAGGGACGGGGATATAGGATGGGGACTCGGGCGGAAGGGCGCATCTTTGAGGGGTGTAAGAGATGGACCTGGACGAGGGGGTGGCGTAGAGAGGAATGGAGGAAGGTAGTGAGCGTGGGCTTGAGAGGGCAAGCCGGCCCAGTTGGAGGCGAGATGCGTTGAGAGACATTATGTATGGGGGAGGTCGAGGATCGAGCCTCCCGTAGCGAGATTATTGGGTTCGGGAGGCGGCAGAAGGCGATTCGAGCATGCGCGGTCGGAGTGTCGGGTAAACGACAGTCCAATGCTCGGAGTTGGCTGATCCTGGGTCCGGAGCAGACTTTTGTCGTGATGGGACGAGGGCAACGCGAAGATTTTCGAGCTGGGATAAAAATGCTGATGTTCAATTGGGCCATGGTGCCAGTGACAATTGGACTCTCAAGCCACAATAGCCACACTTAAATCCTCGACTTTTGACAATTGTACCAGCCACATAGCCCCACCAGAGCCGATAAGATATGGAAATTCCACCCAGCAAGAAAAAAAAAAAAAAAATAAGAAAATTGGGGTTCCCGCCTTCATCTTTTCTCCCATTCCATCCTATTCAGCTCCCTTCTCATCCACCATCCACAGCTGGCCAACCCAAACATTATAGGCCAAAATGGGTACCTTCAAGAAAGAAAAGAATCGGAGAACCCGTGAGGGTACCTCCACTGACGGGATGGGGAATGTGAAGGTGAAGGGCGAAAACTTCTATCGGTATGTTCCAGCATCCCAGAAAGCCGTCTCTTTGTTTCGTTGCAAGCTAATCGACTTTTTTTTTTTTTTTTTTTTTTTAATCTAGCTCTGCAAAGAAGGTCAAGACTTTGGGCATGTACAAAGAGGGTAAAGCCCAGAGAAATGCCAGGGGAGAAATAACAAAAGCTGCCATCTACCAGTCGAGGGACGTTCCACAAGCAAGGATCGAGCCTAACAGGAAGTGGTTCACAAACACTAGGGTACGTCATTGAGGCAGGCCTTCCCTTCCCTTATTCGTCTTATTCTTCGAGGTTTCCTCTAATATTGCTCTGCAGGTGATTTCGCAAGACAGTCTCACAGCATTTCGGGAAGCCATGGCCGAGAAGGCCAACGATCCGTACCAAGTCCTCCTTAAATCCAATAAGCTGCCTATGAGTTTATTGAAGGACGACAAGGGTATCAATGGACTTAAGCAGCACAAGGCGAAGATGACGGTCGAGAGCTCTCCATTCTCCGAAGTATTCGGTCCCAAGGCTCAACGGAAACGTGTGACCATTGGCGCCGGAACTTTAGAGGATCTCGCTGGCGAGGCTGAGAAGAACCTAGATACCTACCACGACAAGGTGGAGCAGGCGAAATATCTCAGGGGCGAAGGTGAGGGCGGCGATGTACCGCTCGCATTGGAACCTATTTTCAGCAAAGGAGGCTCGAAGAGGATATGGTATGTTTATTATTCCTTTAAGTCTTCGCCATATTCGTACTAATGCACCCCCCAGGAACGAACTCTACAAGGTCCTTGACTCGAGCGATGTTGTCCTGCACATCCTGGACGCTCGAGACCCTCTGGGAACGAGGTGTCGAAGCGTCGAAAAGTATCTCAAGGCTGAGGCACCCCATAAGCACTTGATTTTCGTCCTGAACAAGTGTGACTTGGTGCCAAGCTCTGTAGCTGTAAGTACTGTTTCTTTCATTGCCTTGCCTGGTTTCCTACCGTGCCCAGTTGTCTTGTCAGGATACTTTCTCGCACATTCAGTGCGCTTCAATGAGATTTCATCTGTTACACACTGGGCAGATTAAATGTCAATCTCGCTGCCCTTTGCCCTTGGGTTTTGGGGTCGGTGGACTCCGTTTTGGAGTTTGCCATGAGATACGACGTTGTTTCAAAATGAGTTGAGGCTGCCCCTGATTTTACATCTTGGGCTTCGTGGCAGTCTTTTTAGTACTGATTCATACATTTCATCAAAACTCTCTTTTTTTCCATCTCCATTTTTCGACACTCAAAGACTGACATATGACAAGGCTGCGTGGGTCCGGAAACTATCCAAGGAGCGTCCCTGTCTTGCATTCCATGCCTCCATCACAAACTCCTTTGGCAAGGGTTCGCTTATCAGCCTTCTCCGCCAATTCTCGACGCTACACGCCAAAGACCGAAAGGAGATTTCGGTCGGAATGATTGGCTAGTAAGTGCTCTCCTTCTATCGACGATTCTATTGCGAGCGAGTTGCTGACGCCCTATGGCAGCCCCAACGTCGGCAAGAGTTCCATCATCAACACTTTACGTAAGAAGAAGGTGTGCGCTGTTGCTCCAATTCCAGGAGAGACGAAGGTATTTCCAACCCCATTTTCCTCATGCTGTTTGTTTATCGTGGCGGTAGCGTGCCTCCGTGTGATGCTGAGTATCCATATCATGCCATATTAACTATGATGACTTTAGGTCTGGCAATACATCTCGCTCATGAAACGAATAAGTAAGTACCCTATTAGCCTAGTACTGGCGCCATCGCCAACTCCATACACGTTATTCCTAACGCGTGGCTATAGATTTGATCGACTGCCCAGGAATTGTTCCTCCAAATATGAATGATACCCCGGAGGACATTCTCCTACGTGGCGTTGTTCGAATCGAAAACGTCGAGCATCCATCGCATTATATTCCGGCACTTATGAGTAAGGTGAAGAAACATCACATGGAGAGGACGTACGACCTAAGAGGATGGGAAGATTACATGACTTTCCTCGAGCTGCTTGCGCGCAAAAATGGCAGGTTGTTGAAGGGAGGGGAGCCAGACGTGGAAGGAATAGCAAAGATGGTGGTACACGACTTCTTACGAGGAAAGATTCCGTGGTTTACACCGTGCCCGACCGCGTCAGACGCAGATACGGACGGTGTAGTTATAGAGGGCCGCGAAGGCAAACTTGGCGAGATGCCAAAGAAGCGGAAGCGCGATGACGCCCAGCAAGATACGCCGGCGCTGTCCCGAGACGAAGAGGAAGATGAGGAGGAAGATGAGGAATTTGGTGGGTTCGACAGCGACGATGAGTCCGTGGATGGTTCGGCGGAGAACCCTGGACTTCACGTGAACTCCGACGACGCGGGTGAAGAAGAAGAAAGCGATGACGAAGAGGCCGAGGACCGAATCTCCCTAGGCGCATCGAGCGATGAGGAGGATGAGGAAGATGAGAACGCGGAAACCGTCGGCGCCGTGGAGCAGGCGGACGAGAGCTCATCAGACTCCGGGGGCGCCCCTATAACAACCAATGAAGACAAGGGGGGTAGATCTAATAAGCGGAGGAGGACCAGAACATAGGGAGCAGCGCTGGGGGTGGGACGTATCAGGTATGACCTAATGTGATACATACTACATCTCGCCGCCATTTTGGTTTTCTCTCAATTGCTTGTGATATTGAATATGGTATGGTGTGGTTGATGGCTAGCTGACGGTGCAGTCGGCTCCGGTAACCTCAGTCCCCCATGCGAAAGCCGCCAAAGAAGACAGCTATCTTCTCCTTCTCTAGTTCATCGCCTGTGTCACACTCGCCCTCCTTAGATAATCACAAACGCGTTACTGCCGTCTCTAGCAGGTCCCGTAGCCAGCCCTGACTCGGGGCTCATCTCGGCTAATTCCTGTGGAGAAGGCACCGTCAGGATGTGCTGAAGACGGTAAAAAGCTTGATGAGGAGGGGTCAGCCAGAGACGTTCGATTTTTCGAAGAAGAACACGTGGGAATGCCCTCTTAGCGCGAGTCAACGACGACTAACGAGGACCGGATTGGTGAGGTGCCTTGCCAGAGGGGACGATGGTCAAGGCAACAGGACTCAAGCTTTTTGACAGCGTGGTTTGACGACTCCCGTGAGGCCGTTTAGATGGCCGAACAAGCTCCGGGGTTATGTCAGGAGGAATGGTATGGTTTGAAGCTTGAGAAGGTCCCCTCGAAACCCTTATATCAATGCGGTTCACCGGGGAGGGAAAGAAACTCTTGGGGATCCTTTCTATTCCTATTCCCATTTCAACTCTTCCCATTGCTTCCCTCCCCTTTCCATTGTACCTTCTCCTTCGTCTTGCCGGAGTCCTACTGCCCCTCACTCGCCGACAAGATTGTCTCGAAATTTCCCCTTCACTGTTTTCCTGAGCATCGCTCCAAACAAGGGCACAGAGCAGAGTTGCACTCCCCTTGCTTGTTTCTATACAGGATAGCCTTGTTCAATCCCTTTCGTCGCCCTACTTTCTCCCTGTCTCTCCTAAAGTTCGTACTATATAGAGAGGTCTTATTTAGACCCAGAACTCTCACGTATACCGACCAACACAATCCTATCCTATATATATCACCGTGCCCTGTTCTCGCGAAAAAGCCACTTCGACGCCTTAGGCGGGCTCTCCAGTACCACCACATCACCCTAGATATCCGATATTATCTTTGCACAAGAATCGTTGGCATATCCTTGCATTCCCAGAAAAGCTATATATATATACAAACTCCTAGAGGGAAAGAGGTTGCACAAAGGTCTGATTCACACGGTATCCTATAGAAGTCACTGCGGCTATACGCCGTCTCAGGCTACCTGCTTGCGTCTGTCCTTGCTACGCCGAACGTGGATTGTATCCTTTGCGAACGATCAACCCAACAGTGTATATTTGCGGAACTACTTTGTAGTAGCCCCATCCATGGATCCCACAGCGAGATTTGGAGACCACACTTCTATGGCTCGACGAGATGAACGTGCGCCTATGCATGTAAGCGAAGTGTGGTGTATAAGTCATGAGGCAGGTCGATCATGCTAACAAGTTGTAGGGAATCCCCTTTAACAATCACGGAAACAACAACCAGCCTCAGGCCATCTCTTATGGCGTAAGTATTCCAGCTACACGCGAGGTGGAGTTTTTCCATCGTGGAGCCAAGGGCTAACAATTTCACCCCAGAGTGATGGCATGGCCAGTTTTGGACAGGGAGGCTTTAACAACCAGTCTCTTCTGCCGCCTCAAGGGCCGCTAGGCTTTCCCGCACTTCAACAGGATGTTGGGTTCTCTCTGCAAGGAAATCTCGCTCCCAGGGTAGACCCTGGGTTTGGGTTTTGTTTGGTTGACCAATGGCTCATTCCGGATGGCACGGCCAATATGAACGATGTGTCGGTTGATCAAAATCTTCAGCGAAACCATGGATTTGGCCCTGTCTTGATGCCTCGAGCGGGAGATGTTCCAATGAATGGTCCACGGACTTTGTGGGAGTGCTGGTGCGAGACGCTAGTATGTACTTCCAAGCTGCGTTGGTGGGTTCCTGTGGCTAACATGTCTGAAGGAATGGCCCGGAACCGGAGCTGGAACGCACCGGGGGATGAGCTCATGGGAAAGATTGAACATGGTGAGCGACATTCCTTCTTGAAGGGAAAAAGTTCTACATCACCACACAACATCTCCATCGTGTGTCACGGTTTAGGCTTCTCTTACTTGGCCACTTCTAACCACCACATACGTAGGCACTGTGGAACCCTGATAGATTCGCTCGGGACTTCGAAAAGGCCGTGTTTCCTTCCCTTCGACCAGCAGCATCCGCAACCGGCAGCTTCGTGGAAGAGAACCCGGCCAAAGCCTTAGGTAAAAGAAAGGCTGATGAAATCCCCGCGGCGGCAGTTGTTCCACCGTCAAAAGTGCAGAAGCTGTCGCCGGAAAAGATGACCGCCACCGCAGTTGACGGAGGACGTACGTCTAGCGCGTGCAACGCTCCGATTCTTAGCACTTCAGAAGCGGCTGGTTCGGCGGCCTCTACGGCGGAAAGAGTCGCCAGTGCGCTAGAAGATAGCCCGGTCTCTGCTGACCAGAATATCGAGTGTGGGGAGGAAATCGTCGTTGCCGACCCTACGCGAGCGGAACAGGGGGATGGCGAGGCTCTTGATACCCCTCTGTGCAGGCTTCAGCTTCCTGTTGGAGAAGCCGAACCTCGAATTGATGATGCCAACCCCCCGGATCTAGGTGCAAGCCTTACCGGAGTGGACTTGGATTTTCGATCGGAGGCTGCCGGACAGGATTCTGTTGGCCTCGCCCTGGCACGCAAGCCAAGGGAAGAATTGCCCATTCTAGTCGCAGCTCACGACTCCAATGTCGAAGTCGAGGGGGGTGACGATCAGAGCGTAGAGGCGAGCCTTGAAGCCAGCAAAAGCCGGAACAGCGACGAAGTTGTAGGTCCTGACAACAGCGCGGTGGTCGCCTATCAGGTAGGAGCAGCAGAGTCCACTCCACCTGCACAGCCCCCAGCCCAGGTTCAGGCGCCCGCGCGGCAACATACAGAAGTAATCCAGAGAAAGACGTACAACTTCACTCGAGCTGCCATCCTAAGTTCGCACCCTCTGCTGATCGCCCGCCCTTCGAGCACGGAGCCCACGTCCCCAATGTCTCCCGAGCAGATGAAAGAGGCTCGAGAGCGCGACCGGGCGCTCCGAGGCGAATACATCAGGATAGAGCTGGAAATGGCGCGTAGGCTAGCGAGCAGTGGCAGCCAAGGTCCTTTTCATGTCGGCGACTACCTCGTGAATATAGATCCGACGAACGGACATCCTAGGCTTCAGGGACTTCGCCTCGAGGTTAGGGTGAAGCAGACACCTAGGGAATGAAGCTGGGCTTGTTCGAGGATGCGCTGGGATGGCAGGCGTTTTTCTCGCCCTCTTTTTACCCTCTTTCTCTTTTACATGTTGTGTTGTGTGGGTGGTTGGCATGCTGAATGGGATAGTTTGGTAGATTACACATGGCCTCCTCGAAGGGTGCACATGGAAACGGCGCAAACGGGGTGGGGTTTAAGGTGGATTTAAGCGTTCATGTTTACTATGGCATTAGAGAATCTAGAAGGCTAGAGAGTTGAATACGAAGTTATGTTTGTATACGATGAGCATTGTGCTGAGGTCTGTTGATGTGATGCCTCTTGGTGTTTCTTGGTAAGTTGCTTTGTGTCGGGGAAGGAGGTCCATTATACAGAAACTGGAGTGCAGAGGAGATGCATGCAGAGATACTTCATACTCCGTCCGGTGTTTTAACACCGTGCCGAGGCACTTTACTTCGTACGAAGTAAGCACGAGGTCTGACTTCCAATGCGTCCTCCACTCTCCACCCTCCACCCGCTGTCCTCCGTCCTCCGGACTTGTAAGCTACACTCGTTCTGGGTTAGCCGACTGGGCTTATTGGTTTGATGGAATCTGGGGTTGCCAAGTGCGGTGACATCGCAAGGGAGGTGCAGTTGGCGTCCCCGCAAGTGAGCGTGTGCGGGGCGGGACGGAGCTTGAGAGGGCGGTTTTCTTCCTGTCCTGTGTCGTGAGTGGTGATGCTAGTACAAGTGACATTGAACATGGGAAGTACAATTTGCATGAGCTGCTAAAAGGCGGGAAGGAACATTGAAGTGACAGCTTGATGGAGCGACACTGACTTGACTTCAGTGTTCCTCTGCATTACGTACGTAATCACTCGCCGGGTTGAGCAGCGAAGTGAACAATTGAAGGAAGTGCCTCGGAATTTTACACCACTGAGTTGCCGTCCCGTCCGACTTTCTGGTGATCAAGCTTTGGCTTAGGACCACGTGAATGTGTCTGTGTGCGGAGTCCAAAGTACGAAGCTACGAAGTCCTGAGCAACTTGGGGACAATTGTTTGAAACCGCTGTGTTCGTCGTGCCTTGTATTATTGCTTCAGTGTTTCAACGGCCTTGAATCTGATATTTCGTGGTGATGCTTATTATTGCAGAACTCGTGGAACATGACTGGTAAGTTTATTTTCCTAATTTACCTCGCATTCTTCATGGCCATTACCAACCTGTGCTGTTTCCATACTCCCTACTCCGCTCCGTAGTTTAAATTGCAATTTCCATCGCCATCGCCACCATCCGGAAGCGTCGGCGAATTTATTCTTCGATGGGGACCCCAAGGGAACAATCACGGCCCAGTTCAGTGGAGACGAAAACTCCTCTTTGGCTGATGACGATGATGGAAACTCTCCACGAAGTAAACTAGACGACAGGCTGGAGTGTATGTGTACTGTAGTGTCCGGTGAGGTACGAACTACAGAGCTGTCAACTCCTCGTTCGGGGCAAGATTAAAGGGACAATCAGCCACGCCCACGCCGTCGAGCCAGTCCAGCCAATCCACCCACGGAAGCTTTCCCCTCCCTCCTTTGCTGCTTCTGACAGGTGCGTCACCACCCACTTTTTGGCTCGAGCTTGACTGAGCCACAGAAAAGATGCCGAGGCATATCCACAAGCTCACGACGTCGCGTGTTTGCTTGTGGAGTGGGGCAGGAGCTGTGAGGGTGAGACCAGGACAAGGCAAGGAGGCGATTTGCTCCGAATGGTGTGCATTGGGTGTCTCTCGCAGCTCCCAGGTCCCTCCCTAGCTCATTGATTGTCGATCGAGCAAACCGTGTGCTGCTTGGTTGGTCGCTGGTGACTTGAACGAGGTCCCAAATCCCAAGCCCGATCTCCGACCGCCCCATCTTTGATTTCCCCCGACGCTCCGGCCGTTGCCCAAGCTAAGGAGTACGGAGTACATCATTTGGTGTTTGCGCTCGCGAGATTTACCAGACTCGGTGATTGTTCCTAGCAAATCGTCTATTTCCCCACGTCCCTGATGTAGTCTCCTGCCCACACCTTCTCTGTAACAATTCACCCTTTCCCTCCATTCGATTCCTCCCCTTTTTATTTTCGTTTTCCCCCGCAAACCTTCAACACCTTGTTGCAACCTTTATTCCTTGTCGAAAGCATCTTGGCTTGCTTCTATCACACTACACTTTCCACTCTCCACTTGCACCTGCCGCCACAGCGCAGTTGCTTCGGGAGTACAAGTGCAATTGTACAACGCTGATTAAGTAACTCGGTCTTCGTTTGGAAGGAAGAATCGAAGAGCAGCCATCGTCATTATCACCTACTTCGTATTGCTCTCGATATCTAGAGTCTGCAAATATTTCCGAATTCGTTCCCGTTTTTGTTTGTTTTTGGAGACGAGTCCATCACCTTATTTGATATCCTTGTCGACCCCTGTCGCTTCTCTGGCCTAAACTACCTCCAAGAAGCCTCGCAGCTGCCCACCCTCGATGCCGTGTAAGTTGGAATTTGCCAAAGCAAGCCCCATGACGCAATCTCCTCGGACCACCGTCAATCCATCCCCAACGCGACGACTTTGTATGCTAATAATCGTGCAGTACCTCTCTCCGTCGCAGCTCCAGCTGCCCTTGCGGGCCTGAGCTATGTAAATGCAAAAACCTCACTATGGTACGACTGGCTGCTGATAAAATCCATTGTTCCCACCGCCCTCTCGGGAGCAATCCGCGAAATGCGGGATCGCCTGAACAGCTTCTATGTCCTCGAGTCGAATGCAAAGAGCTCCTCCACCGCAAACATCACTTTTCTCAAGTTTGAGGGTAAGGAGTACACCTATGCCGAGGCCTACACCATCGTGCTGAGGTATGGCGCCTGGCTGCGCCAAAAGCACGGCGTCAAGCCCAAGGACATCGTGGCCATGGATTTTGAAAACTCCGACACTTTTGTCTTTCTATGGTTTGGTCTCTGGTCCATTGGCGCGAAACCCGCCTTTATGAACTACAATCTAAGCGGCGCCACCCTGGCCCACTGCGTGAAATCCTCGGATGCCTCGCTGCTGCTCGTCGATCCTAACGTCGCCGCCAAGGTCACCGATGAGGTGCGAAAAGAGTTGAGCAATGTTCGCATCGTCGAATTGACCCCCGATGCCGAGCGCGAGATTCTCACTACCGATCCTGAGAGGCGTCCGGATTCCGACAGGTCCGAGGATTTCGGGCATAATTTGGCTATTCTCATTTACACTTCGGGCACTACGGGTATGCCCAAGCCCGCTATTGTGTCCTGGACGAAGTGTATCTCGGGTGGTGGATTCGTCTCTCGATGGTTGGGTTGGAGACCGGGTGATGTTTTCTATACGGTACGTTGGAATTTGATCTTGGACTCTTCACCGCGGAGTCGGTTGAAAGACAACATACTTACCCACTCCTCGTAGGCAATGCCTCTGTATCATAGTTCTGCCGCGCTCTTGGGACTTCTCAACGCCCTTGAAGCCGGTAAGACTATCGCCCTTGGCAGGAAATTTTCTACCAGCCATTTCTGGGACGAAGTACGAGCCACAGACGCCTCTATAATTCAATACGTCGGCGAGATGTGCCGCTATCTGCTCAAGGCCCCTCCACAGAAAGATGAAAAGACGGGCGAGAATTTGGATAAGAAGCACAGGGTGCGAACGGCTTTCGGAAACGGTCTTCGACCTGACGTGTGGGCCGAGTTCAAGGACCGCTTCGGCATCGATGCCATTGGCGAGTTCTACGCTGCGACAGAAGGCCCAATGGCCACATTCAACTTTAGCAGGAATGACCTTACCAAGGGCGCAATAGGCCGAAACGGCTGGCTCTACGATTTGGTCATGTCCTTCCGCGTGGCCCTGGTCGAGGTCGACATGGATCAGGACGCTCCCTGGCGAGATCCCCAGACGGGACGGTGCAAGAGGGTCACCCCCGGTCAGCCCGGAGAGTTGCTGTTCAAGCTTCCCAAGGACACCCAGAAAAAGTTCCAGGGTTACTTCAAGAATTCCAAGGCGACGACTTCCAAGGTTCTACGGGATGTCTTCTCCAAGGGCGATGCCTGGTTCCGCACCGGCGACTTGGTCATCTGGGACAACGATGGCCGCATCTTCTTTGCCGATCGCATCGGCGACACTTTCAGGTGGAAGAGCGAGAACGTGTCGACGGCCGAAGTTAGCCAGATTTTGGGTTCGCACCCGGCCGTCCATGAGGCCAACGTCTACGGCGTTCAGTTGCCCCACCACGACGGACGCGCTGGCTGCGCCGCCGTGGTTCTTAATGGCGCACCCGACGAGGTTGTCCTGCGCAGCATCGGCGAGCACGTCACGAGAAACCTCCCGGGGTACGCGCGGCCGATATTCCTCCGCCTCATGCCCGAGATGGAAACGACGGGGACGCACAAACACCAGAAGCATATCCTCCGGACAGAGGGGGTGGATCCTTCGAAGGTGGATCTGAGTGCCGTGTTTTGGTTACGGGATCAGAGGTACGTCCCGTTCAAAGAGAAGGACTGGAAGATGATTTCCGAAGGTGCAGCCAAGCTGTGAGCGTCCAAGAAAGACGCGTCCGATGAAATCATGTCGGGGTTTTCGAGTCCTGTGAAGTTAGTGGCGGCCAGGCTCTGTTTTAACTATGATTCTCCGAAGACCCTCCTGTTGTTATCGTATTCATGAACATAGGATATTGAAATAATTGATGCCTGCGCATTGTCATCGTCTTATTGTTAGTTTGCATTATTATCGCCCAGGCATTTGACAATATCGAATACCAGAACGCCCACCCTTCGCAATCATTGACGTAATACGGTTGAACGCGTAATCCCAGCCACTTTGTCCCCTGCATCCCGGGATCTTGATGCTATCAACGAAGGCCGTCCAAGCCTCCGAGCCCCCGAGCCTCTCTCCGAGAGCTGCGTTGCAGAGCTTAGTCAGCTATCACAAGCAACCACAATAACCTAGCTTCGACTCTCACTTTCGTATACAAACGCGAGGAGCCGACGCAACAGCTCTTCTTTTTCCTCGTCGTCGGCATTCCAATATCCTTAGTCGAAAAGTTCGAGGCTTGTTCTTGAAAGAGAATTTCGTCATCGTGAGAAAGGAGGCACCCCTAAAAAGCGGAAAAAACTGCGGTGAAAAAGGTTCTTGCCACAAGCACAGCCCGCATCCCCACCACCTCCGCTGTCCTCCCCTCCCTCGCTTCAGAAACAATGGAGACAATGCTCCCCGAGCCGACCATCACTTTCACGATCCCGAGCTACCGAGACGCCACGGTGCTGTCGTGCCGTGTCTACCACCCGTCTTCGTTGTCTGGAGGCCCGACGGCGCGAGTGTGGGGGAGACACGCGGCGGTGTTTGCGCATCCGTATGCACCGCTGGGGGGATGTGCGGATGATCATGTCGTGGATGTTGTCGCGGGGACGATGTTGAGGAGGGGGTATTTGGTTGGGACGTTTAATTTTCGGTATGATTTCCCCTCTTTTTTTATTTTCATTCTACATGTGTGTATATACGTATACGTACTTGGGGGCCTTAGTCTACGAGGCTGTTCGATGCTTTGGAGAGTTTCGGAACGTTGCAGCGGGCTAATCTAGAATTCCTATTTGCCCCCCATTTGTAGTGGTGCTGGGGATTCGGGAGGCCGGACATCTTGGACGGCAAAAGCTGAGAGAGCAGACTACATTTCGGTGGCTGCCTTTATGGTCTACTACGTCCACTACCTGGACCCATTCAAGGGAGAGCACGAAGGTATTCCACCGCCGGCACAGAAAGAACCCCCCGTGTTCATCATGGGAGGTTATTCCTACGGTTCGATGATTACGATGCAGCTTCCGCCCCTCGTGGAAATGCTCCGGCCCTTCGTAGCCCCGGAACTCGGCACCGCAGCGGCGGAGATTCGGCTGCGGGCCGAGCATCTCGCAGAGCACCAGAATGCCATCCTGGCGAGCGTGAGGGAGGCGTGGGGCCACGGGTCGAGATTGAGGTCTCCTGGGTTGAGGGTGGGCGGTACGGAATCTGGGGAAGTGCGGGGTTCGATTGAGGGGAGGAGATCATTGATCCTCGAGGCGGAGGAGAGGATTAGGAAGAGTTTTGGCGATGTTGTGGCCAAGACGAAACGAGCAAGGAAGAGCGTGGATGGGGCCGTGAGGGGGAAGAAGGTAGATGGGGATGAGGGCGTCGTGGTGGAGGAGGAAGAGGAAGGGGAGCAGCGGAGGGGACACGCGTGTCTCGAGGAGGCTACGGACCTGGTGATGCCGAGGGTTGCGTATGTCCTCGTTTCGCCGCTCCAAGGGGTCATCTCTCACCTGGCGAGCATGTCAATCCTGCCCACCCATCTTCCTTCTCTTCCGAAATTGCGGAACCCCTTCGTACGGAAGAGGGAGGACGACAAGAACCCCGAGCCGGATAACAGCAAGAAACTCCCACATCCCGATTCCGACGCCAACTCCTCCACCCCAGATTCCCCCGCCGACACCGACCTCGCCGAGCTCAAACTCGTCCGAAACCCCACCCTCGCGGCCTTCGGCGACCGCGACGTCTTCGTCGCCGCGAACAAGCTGCGCGTCTGGGCGAAGCGGCTGCAGGAGGTTCCCGGCTCGAGGTTCCATGCCGTCGAGGTTTCGTCTGCGGGTCACTTTTGGGTCGAGGATAGGGTTTTGGGAAAGCTTGCGGGCTTGGTGGATGGGTTTACGGGGGGTCTTATTGAGGAGGGGGAGAGGAAGAGGTGATTTACATTGGTTTGCTGTAGGGAAGGGCATGGTAAGGATGCTAATGGACATGACATGGATTGGAGTTTATGTGCGTTTATTAAGGGATTAGAGAGGGAAGGATTTGGACATACCCTGGCATGCTATTTTAGTAGTTGGGTTGATAGTACATGTTGCTACCCCGGTGTTTTCGGTGTTTGCAGGCTAGTTTTATGAGAGGTGCGTTATACTTTAAAGCATGCAGCATGCGGCAGAGATACCTTGCGAATATCCTGTTTTATTTCTATCATACAATGAAAGCTTGGACTCAGTTTTCCTGATCCCCCCAGTCCATTCACTCACGCATCCTGCTCCCCTTTTAAGGGGCATTAGTTGGGCTTGAGACAACCACGGTGCTTAGAGTCGATGCCGTTCCGGCTCCCGAAGTCGATGTCGTTTCAGCGTCGACGGCAGTGGCGGTTGATTCGGGCCCGGTAGCTGTCTTTGCTTCGGCGGCGCTCTGAAGCATACTGAGGACGCTGTGGTAGGCAGGTTTCTTTTGGAGATTCCTGTCGTAGAGGCAGGCATCTCCTTCACCTGGAAACTCGTTGGGGATCCAGGAGTACTACGACGGTGTTCCAAGTTAACCAGGGGAGGACACAACAACAACAGAAGCCCAGAAAAACATACCTGGTCAGTAAAGTCCCAAACCGAAATCCCCACACACTTCTCCGTCTCCAAACAAGCCGCCACAACCTCCATATAATCCTTCGCCTGCTGCTCCCTATCGGCTTCCGTAACAGGCATCTTCGTATGCCTAATGTCCACCTCCGTATATGCCAGCTCATCGACGACCTCGGAAAAGAAGGCCATGGTATCCATGAGCTCCTTCTTGCTCTGGGCGTTGCCCACGCGCGCGTGGTCCTGCATTCCGATGCCGTCGACGCGGGCGCCGGATTCCTTGGCGCGCTTGACGAGGGCGTGGGTGGCGCGGATCTTGTCGTTGATGTAGCGCTCGATGTTGAAGTCGTTGTAGTAAAGCTTGACCGAAGGATCGACTTCTTCGGCGACTTTGAAGGAGAAGGTGATGAAGTCTTCGCCCATGGCGCGGAACACTAGTTTCGGGGGCCAGTCTTAGAGATTTCTGTTTGCATCCGGAGTATTCGGCGTGGACTTACTTGGGCTTTGGCGGAATTTACCGTCGTCCTCGAGGGCTTCGTTGACGACGTCCCTAGAGCGTTGGGGACCTCGGGTTAGAATTGAACTAAAAGCCACCCGGAAAAATGTCCCTCAGACTTTGGTGTTCCCCCATGTTTTCCCTTACCAAGAGTAGCACTGGCCCTTGTAGTGGTTCATGACATTGGTGATATGGCTCCGAATAACCGCCTCCATATCAGCCCTACTAAAGACACTACTGACTGTAGGACATTCCCACCATCGTCAGCCCGCAGCTCGAGCCAAAAGAACAGCGCCTCCTCTCCTCCCGATAACTCACCCCATCCAGGCAACTGGTTATGCCAAACCAAAGTATGACATCTCATACTCCTCCCCGCCCCAACAATCCCCGCAACGGCATCCCCCATGCCGTAGCTGAACCCCCCGCGGCTCCCCTCCGTGTTGGCCCACTTCTGCCCGTTCGCCGGCGTGATCATCCCGAACTCGTCGGGGTCGCGCGCGATGGCCATGTAGGCGGCGTTTCCTAGCGCGGGATTGTCGACGGCCGTGCCGAAGTACTTGAGGCCTGCGGCGACGGCGTATTTGTGGAGCTGGGCATTGCTGCAGGAGAGGAAGAGCGCCGAGGAGAGGAGGAGAGATTTGAAGTGCATTTTGCCTTCTTGGGGGATGTAAGGCCCCTCCAGGTGAGTTGAGTTTGAGGATGAGGACGGCTGTAAGATATCTACGGACGGGGTAGGATTTCCAAATTGTGCAAAGCTGATAGCTGCTCTCACCTATATATATATACATCTCATTCATCCATTTTCTACGCATTTATATATTACTGCGGAGAAATAGAAATGCAGTTTCTACTGAACCTCCCTTTTACCGTCCGGGGCGAACCATGTTGACGGTTACTCTACGTATAGGCACGGCCGGTTCAAGCCGGGAGAACGAGAAAGGGGGAAAGGATACACCCAGTTTCTAGAAACTCTTATTCTATATTGGTATAGCCAGAAGGGAAGTGGGGGATGTTTGTCTTTTCCGGGAACGTTTAAACAAACGAAATTGAGTTGCTTTCTCTCATTAGCCTAAAACGAAGTGTGCATTGTATGGACTTCTGATGTTTCTTGGTGGCTACGTTTTCTGCGCTGCTTTTTGTCAAAGACAACCTATCCTAAAACGATTGAAAGAGAATGGGAAAGCGGAGAAATAGCCTGGCTAGAGAGTCCTCTGGACTAACTGCTATCCGAGGGTGAGGTGTGAATCTCAAGTTGTCGTCCTCCAAGAACGAATAAGAAGATTCATGATATAGCCTACGCAGATCCCGGTAAACAAAAAGTTTGAAAAAGACTGTCATACAACACAGGCCCCTAAAAGCCAATGGACAAGCCAATACAGTAATACATACACAGAAGCTGTAGACCTTTCTATCACCACCATCACCATCACCATCCTATTCCATCCCTGGGACCCGGCGCATCCTCATCAAGGTTCGCCCTCGGACAGAAATTTCCTCTGGAAACAGCATTTCTCGTCCTTGGGGCGGTTAGTCGCAGACTGGATCAGAAGGGACCGTAGCGGGCGCCGAGGAGGGACTGACCGGGGGAGGTTTCGCCGTGGAGGACGGAGGCGCAGGGGGCTTGGGCGGTTTGGCCGAGGAGGAACTGGCTGGGGGGGCTGGGGGCGGAGGGGGCGGAGGGGCCGGAGTAGCTGCGGGAGGCTTCCCCGAAGTGGGAGGAGCCGGAGGAGGATTGGCCGGGGGGGGGGACTCACCAGGGAGGCACTGGGAATACCATTCATTGAAGCGGTGGCAATAAGTCCCGGGTGCGCAGGGGAGTGGACCAGTCCAGCCAAGGCCGGCCCAGCCAGGGCCATCACATTGGCCCCAGATGGGCTGGGCGGGAGGGGGGGCGGCACAAGCGAAGCCGGCGAGGCCCATGACGCCGAAAACAGATATCTTGACCATTGTGTTGTTGGGATGGGAGTATCAACGGTAATGAAAAAGGGGTGCCAACGTGAGATAGAGATAGAGAGAGACTCTACAGGCTTGAATGGTATCTATCGAACTTTGAGGCACTGAGGAACGAAGGAGAGGAAAAAAATCAAGAGCTGAGGGCAACAGACAGCATCTATATGTATGTCTGACGAGGGCTGGCTCCATCGAGGATGCTCCACCTTTCAGTATAATTCTGTACAAGCTCTACATTCCATCTAGGACTATGGCGTCTATAATCCGATCCTCTGATCTTCATCTCGATCCTTAAACAAAGAATAGTAGGTGTTATGCATAGAAGTCTTTGACTACTGAGGTGTGCAAATTCGCCCACAACTTCGATCCCGCGGGCCGAAACACACGGGGGAACTAGTTGCTCGTGATGAAGAGGAGGAAGAGAATAGAGCCGCCATAATGTGGAATGGGAGTATATTGTAATGTGGAATGAAGTAAAGTGGCAAGGTGCCTTTCATCTTGGGTTTTCTTTCACCTGAGCGCCTGTTGAAGGAAAAAGAAGGTTGGAATTTTTGGTAACGGAGGAATGGTGGGACGATATTGCAGGATATCGCCGAAAGCAGACTACGGATGGCTTTTGATGAACGGTGCGGCAGATAATACTCCAAGCATTTGTTCAGGGAGCCGGGAAAAAATGTTCAGAATTTTCTTTCCGCCGTCGTTTTCGTCCTGTGTTGGACTTGTAGGAGCTCTCCCGTCTTCATATGATACTGCTACCCTAACTATTTAATTTCAGAGACCCTAACGTCACTCTCGGCCGGGCGGTAGGATTCCTCTACGAGGGTCGCACCCACTGAATTGTAATGCTATGGAGGGCTTGCTAATAAAAGTGCCAAGAGGAATGCAATACGATGCGCGTGCGTCTGTGAAAGGAGACGGAGGCACGTAAACATAGTCGTCGAGAGTTGCTGCCGAGAGTCCTTTGTACACGCTTAATCGAGAGCTGGGCCTACTTGGTTGTAGAGCTGACCGTCTCATACACGTTCATTCACGGCGCCGGCCTCCGATGGACTGACCGAATTCATTTGCCAGCTCGGCATCCGCCGCCCGGACAGTGGCAGCGACAAAGCAAAATACACAAGCAATAAATACATGTACATATATTGATGCCGTTTGATGGACTTGGTAGTCTGCTCAAACTGTCTTCCGCGCCGAATCCTCCCCGCCACCCCCTGGCATTCCTGGTAGGTGGCCGTCCCCAAACCCGCAACTTTACGAATGAAGCACACAACAACGTCGATGCTCACGAAGGTAGCCACCTCACTACGACCCTCATTACCAACCCCAGGGCCTGGAGATTATTGCCCTTTACTGGCCATCAGATTCCGTCAATTGGAGTTCTGAACTGAAGGGAACCGAGGGGAAATTAGTAGGGTTACTAGAGAGCGAGTTATGGAGGCGTCCTATATTGTGAATAAAAAAAAATGTAGAATAATTGAACTGGAGGAGGTATGCAAGTACTCCTATATTGTGAATAAAAAAAAAATGTAGAATAATGAACTGGAGGAGGTATGCAAGTACTCTCCTTGGTATTGATTGATGAATTGATCTCTTCCGGCTTTTGCGGATGCTTCATCGTTCAAATCCATCGTCATCATGGGACTTGGGACTGTCGCCGAGATCTTGATCATAACCCGATTAATAATCGGAAATATACCGGCAGAACATCTTCGGAGCTTAGAGATAATTTGCGAAGTATGAAGTACTTCGTACACCCTTTAATTCAATTTCCAGCTGGTCTCTGCTGTCCAGGTACAATTGTACAAGCGTCTTTGCGCTCTTCCGTTGCGCTACATACGCTGTGAGAACACGTCCAACATCCATCGTTGATCCCTTCATTCCCGCGGCGCCTCCACCCCCTGTTAAGGCCCGGCTGGTATCCCACCACTGCTCGCTCTGGGGACTCCATACGAAGGGGAAGCTTCACGCGAACGCCTTCCGGCCTCCTACCGTCCAGCTTTTCCTTGTCGAGCCCACCATGGCGAGCGAAAAGGTCCCCGTGGCCGTTAACGAGCCGTCCGCTGAATCGCCCGCTCCCGCTCCCGCTCCCGCTCCCCCAACGACCGCCGATGAGCCCAACTCCTCCGACCCCCCGCCAGAGAAGCCGTCCGACCAGCGCCGGCGGATGTTTATAATACTCTCGTTTTGGGTTTTAATAGTTCTTTTGGGCCTGCCGATATGGTGGAAGACGACGAGCATATACAGGTCGGACCTACCACTAACGGAGATGATGGAATGGGCAGATGGCAAGGTAAGAGAGTGAAAAGAAGGCGATTTGCGACCATCACCTCCTATCTTATACGCAGAGAGGCGCCAGAATTCTTCCGCCGTTGAGAGGCTCTCCGGCTAACCGTCTTACTAGGCCTGCAAACCAGTCTTTCCCCTACAAGTTACAGTACAAGCCGACTCGCTACAAGAGCAGGAGGCCCAGACCCTCCTCCGCCAAACCCAACACGCTCTCGACGACCTAAATGACTTCACCGCACATCATTTGCGCCTCCAACTAGCTCCTCGGGACGCCGCCGGAAGCTCCGAGCCTAAAGTCGACTCCCAATCCGCCGTAACCATCCGCCTAGTCCCCGGCGACTCGACCATGTCTTCGTCCCTCGACCCCACCCAACCCGTCCTCGACATCACCTACCCGCCCAATTCCGTCCCTTCGCACAGCTCGTCCTCCACGCCATCGACCCTCGCAGCGTACATCGCCACCGAGCTCCGCGCCACCTTCGCCGAGGAGCAGGCCATCCTCTCCTACCTGCTCTCGTCGTCCTCGCCGTCGCCGTCCTCGTCGGAAGCGCGCACCAAGTCTCTGAGCCCCGAGCTGCTTGCCTCCCTCGAGAAGCGGACGACCCGCGCCCTCAAGTACTCACACACCTACCACCTCACGTTTTCGCTCTTCACGGCCGGTGCCTCGCCTAGTACGTGGGACATCGATGCCGCTCTCGCCGAGTACATCCGGCCTGTGCTCGACGTCCTCAGCCCCATCCACAACTTCACTGTCGATACGCAGGTGCAACTGTACGCCACCCCGGGAGTGCAATCCGAGGTCCTCTCCAAAGACGACCTCGTCTCCTTCATCAATGCCGCAGAGTGGCCCCTGTCGCCTTCCATCGGCGGCGCCCCGACCATAAACTTCATCATCTACATCGGCAACCAGACCGTCCGCCTCTCCGACCCGTCGGAAAGCCCCGAAGCAACAACCACCTCTCAATCCTGGCTCGTACCCCAATGGGGCTCCGTCTACCTCCTCTCCCTCGCCCCAACAACAACCCACGTCGATGTCCCAGCCCTCAAACAACCCCTCCTCACCTTCTCCTCACACCTCCTCTCCCTCCTCGGCACCCCGGAAACCGGCTCCCTCCCCCTCCGCCTCTCCACCCTCTCCCGCATCCGCTCCGCCGACCTCCTCCTCCGCGCCTCCTCCACCCTCGGCTCCCTCGCCCGCCTCTCCCTCGCCCTCCCCTCCATATCCATCCCCCGCAGCGTCGCCGACGGCGTCTCCAAGACCCTGACCCGCCTCGATCGCGCCTGCGAGAACCTTGCCGCACCCGCCGCCTTGGAATACGCCCGCGTCGCCGAGTCGGAGGCCGAGCGTGCGTTTTTCGAGAAGAGCATGGTTGGACAGCTTTATTTCCCCGATGAGCACAAGGTCGCTGTTTATTTACCCTTGCTGGGCCCCGTGGGCGTGCCGCTTGTTATGGGGCTTGTGAATGAGATTAGGGGGTGGGTGAGGAGGAGGAGGGAGAGGGCTGAGGCGGCTAGGAGGAAGGAGGAGTAAATGGAAGTGTTTCTTATTTATTTTATGTCGGTTTACTTGTTTTATTTATCTTATGTGTTTGTATAATAGAGCTTATCAGCATCGGAATGCAAAGAGTACAGCCTCTACGTTGATGAAACTATTTAAGTCTACGGCTTATGCCTCTGTCGAGGCGTGAGGCGACAAAAAGGAAGCGAATAATATATATATTCCACCCGAAGTTTAAAGCGAAAAAGGGATGAAAAAAAAAAAAAAAAAAAAAAAAAAAAGGAAGAAGACAAGGTGAATTGAAAAAGAATAAAATAAACAGGGAGTTGAAGAAGAAAAGGCAAAGCTACATCAGACGTCGTTATTCCGTCCCATCCCATTCCAGACGACAGTAACTGAAAAAAAAAGCTCTCGTCATATATTCCCTTTCTCTTTTTGCGATTCCCTATCCCAAGATTTGAATATATATCAATCAGGCCACACCAACAAAATAGAGAACATAACCGACCACCCTCTCAAGACCCAGCAATCCCAAGGCCAACTCTCGCCTGGCTCTGCCCACCGGCCCCATAGCCCTGACTCATAACACTCGCATTCGTCCCCGTCCGTTCCCTCATCCTCCTCCCTTCCATCAGACCCCTCAAGCCCCTCTTCTGCAACCCAATAACGGAGCTCAGCTCGCCGCTCCAAATCTCCTTGGGCCCCGCGGCGCTACCCGCCCCGCGTTCCGACTCGCCAATCTCCGACGACCACTCGGACCCGGAGACGCTGGTGGCGGCGCTCATGTCCTCGCTGGCGGGACGACCACTGCTGCCGCTGGGTACGGCGGTGTTGATGCGCAACCCAGCAGCGCGCGAGGCGAGGTTCTGGTTCTGGCCCCCGACGTCGCTCGCGCTCGAGAAGCTGCCGCCGTTCTGGCCCGGTTGTGATATTTCGGACGCGGCGGTCGGGGAGACGAGAGTGTTGGTGTCGGCCGACGGGACGAAGAAGTTGGGGTTGAGGGAGCCGTCGATGCCGCGGCCGCCGCCTGCCGCCATGGCGGTGGCGTTGAATACGGCGGCGGCGTTACGGGAGTCAAGGAGGGCGTGGAGCCTCTCGACGACGGCTTCTAAGAGTCCGTCGATGCGGTAAGGGCGGGCAATCTGGAGGAGGGAACAGAGGATCTGAGGGGTGCAGAGCGGAGAGGACAGCGGTGCTAGGGAAGAGGTGTAGAGGAAGTGAAGGAGAGCTTGCACGGTGAGGTAGGTGTGGGGAAGGTAGAGGCACCTGGGGCGCGAGTTGGGAGGTAGCGTCCGTGGAGTAGGCGCCGTGTTAATCGTCGCCATCGTAACGGGGTCGACGGTGCCGGGGGACAAGACGCCGCCCGAAAGGCTCGTCGCCGCCGTGCTCGGCGGCTTGCCGGATGACGTGGCTGAGACTAGCGTGCTGGCCATGGACAGGGTGCTGCCGACCGTATTACGTTCGGAACTGACGGCCGTCATGCTCGAGCTCCTGATGGGATTCGCCATGCCCGACCGAAGAGTTACGGCGTCGCTTCCATCCTGCGTGGCGGTTCCCTCCCGAAGGAGCTGCACGAAATACGGACCCCATCGGCGCGCAACGATTCTAGAATTCACGGGTATGCGCTCGCCTGTGATGCACAATATATCCATGTCCGCAAGCTCGCGCATAGCGAGCGCCTTCTCGCCCAACTCCTCCGAGGCCCGCGAATGCGACCGTCCTCCTGCCGTGGAACCGGCTTTGCGCGCGACGCTGAGGCCCGGCCCCGCATAGGGGCTGCTAGCCGAAACGAACCCAGAAAGGGGCGACGTCTTCCTGGGGTTATCGTAAAACCCAAACGCCTCCAACTCCACCATGCACACGTTCGAAAAGTTAATTCGCCGGTGGTTGTAGTCATCGACGAGGCTTCGCTTCCGGTTTCCTAGGATGACGAACGTGTTGCGCCTGCTCCAAAGCACGCCTCGGTTCCAGCTGCCTTGGCTAAACACCGAGCCGCCGGCATCGATGCGCGACCACGTCAGCGTTCGCAAGTCGAGGGCCCACAGTGCGTATTCCTGCTTGCTCGAGGTGAGGTACGTGCCGCTAACGACGAAGTGGGTGTCGATGACCCCACCGTTGGGGAATCGTAGGCCAGGAGGTGAGTAGGCACTAGCCATGGCCTTCTCGGAGAGGGTGCCGTCGGGTGCGCGGATCTGGAGCTCTAGCTTGACGTCTAGGAAGTTGTAGTTCGAGTAGATGAGCATCGACGAGCCGGGCTCCCTCGACTCTTGGCTGATACCGCCTTCCTGCCGTTGGGGTCCACTTGACTGTGCTCTCCCGATTTTGGCCGTGACGGAAGGTAGCAAAGGCGCGACGACGCTCCTATACGCGCCGCAGCTCTTGCCGAGGGGCTGAGTCGAGGTCCACTTGAGACTACGCAGGTTGAAGACGCTAATCTGCTCAATGTAATGGTTGGCAGCATCCTGTCCACCCACAACAATCATCTCGGCTCCACCCGTGCCGTCAATGGACACACCCAGCCTGCCCTCGTTAGGATTGCCGCTGGAAGGGTTGTGGTGAAGAGCCGAGAGCGGCGCTTTGCTGGACGAGAAGATGGCCGACGATGGCAAGATGCACGCGCAGTGAGCATATCTACCTTCGGGAGCATCAGGCGTATCGATGGCGACCCATTTGCGTGTGGCCACATCATAAATGTAAATATCCGACATGACTGTCATCTCGGGTTGCTGGTCGTTGACGGAGGGACTCGACGGGTTCGTAGCGGGCGACATGCCCCCGTAACAGACAAGTTTTGTATCTCCCAAGGCGCACATGGAATGAAAATATCTAGGTGGTGGAATGTCTCCGGTGGTTTCGAGTTTCGTCCAGTGACGTCGAATGAGGTCCAGCTCGTACAGATCCGACGTTAAGGGGGCGGGGCGGCTCCTGGACAATATCCGTCCGCCAAACACGTAGAGCTTATCGCCCAGGATCGTCGTCGTCGCTCCAACGAGCGCATGGGGTTCGCGACCGGTAGTGCGGTGCACGTTGCACATGAGGCCGGAGAGGTGTGCCGAGGACGCTGAGGGGGGTGGCAAGCTACCAGTAGCGGGGGTACGAGGTTGTTGTTGATTTACGGATGGTGAAGGTCCAGCAGACAAGGGGCCGTTGCTCCTGGGTGTCAAGTTGTCCTTGGAATCGGCAGGGCCTCCTGCACCGTCCTGTCTCGAATTTCCACCGATCGACGCTAGGCTGCTCTGGCTGCTCGTTAGGTCGTACCCTTCCTGGCCGGCGCTGGCACCGTACATGGCGGCGGCGGCACCGGCAGAAACGCTCGAGTCCATTGTGCTCGTGCGGCTGTCCATGGCGGAAAAAGAAGGGAAGGGGGTGGTGACGTCGCGGTCGTCGTCGGGGGGTTCGATGTCGATGATGGCGTCGAGAGGGGCTCGTATGGGCGCTGTATGAGGCGGGACCGGGGTAAGCAGAGATTCGTCGGTGGAGTCGACTGAATCGTCGGGCGGTGGTTCAGGCGGAAGAGGCTTGGCAAGGCTATCCTGCAAGCTCAGGCTGCGACCATGTTGTGCGGGGCGGCGGATTCTGGAAGACGACGAGGAAGGAGGGACGGACGAGGTGGGCGGTAACGTGGCAGAATTGATGGAGGAGGAAAAGGGGCCGGACGAAAAAGCGGTGCGGTTTAAAAAGGAAGGTTGCCGGCGAACGCCCGGCGAATCTTCGCGATTGCTGCTGCTGCTGGGAGCGAGTTTTCTGATGCCTCGATAAACGCCGGAGAGGATGTCGGAAGGTGATTTAGAGACAGATGCAGAGGGGGCAGATGCATTGTTGGAGCGATCGTCAGTTTCGGAATCGGAAAAATAGGAGGGGCCGCTGCTTTCTGTTACTGGGGTCACGAGTGGTGTGTGTGAGTGTCCCAATGTGGGAGTCTGGGCGCCGCTGCCCTGAGCATGAGGGAGTGGGAGAGATCCAGGCCCTGCAGTGCCCGAGGGCGTGGACATGGTGGCGGTGGAAAGTTAGCGCTGAGCACCAAATTTTGGCTGGTTCCAGAGCGCCGGCGTGCGCTGTACCTCGTAGTGCCTCGTGCTCTGTGATTGAGGCTGGCAGGCACTAGGCAGACACTAGCGGAGAGCCGGTTCGGATGATGTCGACTTGGGGAGTCAAGCACAGTTACTTTGTCGTCGTCGTTGGCCAGCGCAGCGGTCTGCTGCCTATGTGCCGTGAAAGTTCGATCACTCGAGTCTTCGTTCCCCTCCTCTTTCTCGTAAAAACGACCTTAGCCAAACCGGCTTTTTTGTAGCTGGTGCCCCTCCCTCTAAGACGGCGGCCGGTCAATCCATAGATGCCAATACTAAATAACAACCAGATGTGTAAAATGACTAGCCGAGTTTCGTTCGTTCCCCAGCTGGCCACGCACAGCTCGGAAAGCAACCTTTCTGCAGGACACTGCTAACCCTGTGAGGTCAGGTCAGGGCCCCTCTCCGATTTGCGATTGACTGGTCAAATTGAACCGGTTTGCTGGGTTTCCTTACCGTTTATCCCGGAAACTGCTTCGTTCTGTGTCCGGGGGCCGATAGTCCTAACAAGGCGTCTTAGAGAGCCGAGAGAAAAGGCAGGCGGCCAGAGATGGAGGAGCTTTGATGGGGGAGAGACAGAGACGGGAGAGCCGGGACTAAAATAAAACTGAGATACCGGTAGGGAGAGAGGAGGTGGGATAGAAGGACGAGGATGGACCAGTGCATGTGGGGTGCGTACGCTACAAGTATGTTTGGGTTTATACGAAGCGTGTAGGGCAGGGTGCCAGAGTTTAAGGGGATGATAGAATGAACTGGATGGAGAGCAGGACGCGGACTTGAGGTCTTCAAATCCATATCCTACCTGTAAAGTACCAGGTTAACAGGGAGGAAGGATACATTTGAATCATACTGATACTGCTACGACGCGTCCAGACCATGGCCTGGCCATGTAAGTGGGGAGGCCAAGTCGTCCGTCCCGTGTCCAATCGACCAAAGAGTCAGGGGTGGCCAGTTTTCACATCAGTGTCAAAACGGGCCTAGCCACCACGAAGTAGTACGAAGTACGTGAAATACGTGGGAAAGTGGGGAGAGTAAAAACCTGGCTGGCGGAAAGAGAGGCTGACGATGATGACCAGGCCCGATTCCTACAGCTAATCCTACCAGTACATTAGTTTACGAGGCGGATGGTGATCTCGGCGCCAACATGGACCGGGGGAGAGGACCAGCGCAAAAGGAGCAGGGAGGAGAGCAGATTATTACTTTGTAGTTTACCAAGACGGCATTCATCGGGAAGGGAATGGAACAAAATGGGGTCCCCAAACAACGCTAGAACGGAAGAAACGGACGAGGGTTTGGACCAGACACAAAGCGGCGTACTTGTAACCTCTTTCCATCAAGCCTGATTTCTAGAAGACTTCCAGCTCACACCAAGTCAACAAAGTGATCAATTGATCCTAGTCTGATGAAAAGCCCCTCAAACCATAACGCCGACCTGCGTGGCAGTACTTGTACACTCGTGTCCACGGCGTAGCAGTGTGCTTTGTACCTCACAGTTGAAACTTGAGGATGTAGTGTATAGTAGCAGTGTCTCTCAGGATCGCACCATCCTTTTTCTTGTACATTTCAACATTTGCTCTTATAGCAATTTCAGTGAAGGGATAAATGGACTCCCCTTTTCCCCGTCTTCTTGTGCCTGCTCGGAGTTCTCAATAGACCCAAAATTTCTCCTCGTGCGTGGGCTCAATCTCGTTTCTTCAAGGTACCAATTGATACATTGGAAGAGCTTGCTCAGGCCAGCCTCGGTCTTGATGCAGGTGGCTGCATGAACCATTGAACCTCCGTCCAGGACGACGACGACCTGTTTCTTTCGCGTGCCTTATCCACCACTAGGCTCGGAGCCTGCCATGGTTGTGGCCGAAGCTAGCTAGAGGGAAGTGCGCTATTAGTCACGGCAGCTTGAATAGCGCAGATGCTCTCGTGTGTTGATTCAACGGAGTACTTGACTGAGTAGTGCACTGTGGTGTCTGATTTCTGTACACAGAAGTATGCACATTCGAAGCATCCGGCCGCCAACTCCTGCGACCTTATGGAGGACGCACGGACACTATCATGGTGTTGAGGCGGATCAGGTACGTCTGAGAGCCAGGTAGGGCACCATTCGGTCTCTCTCTTCCTTACTTTTTGTTTCTGCTTCCCTCATCAGACGATTTGCAGACGGGTTCTCAACAGGCCAGCCAGTCCGTGGATATTCGCCGACCAGAGAGCAAAGAGCCCGATCCTTACCCGAGCAGGCGGGCTGTGTAAGAAGACCGCGGCAGAGGCTCAACCCGTGTCGCTGTGTCTGGTAGGTGCTAAAAGGTCGTCGGGAAAACCATCAGTTTTCATTCCAGCCATTCCAGCCTGAAAGATGCCGCTTCCGGGAAGGGAATTCCATTGCTCGATCGAGGCTCGGAGATTGGGTAATAATAGATAGTCGATGGTTTGAGGGTGACTGTGGGGAAGCGTTGAAACGAGCACGGGAGGGGACCGAGAGGCGAAAGAAGGGAGGATAACCTGGCCACGATGATCAGCGCTAGAGGCAGAGCGGGCGTATTACTTCGCACTTGAAGCCAGCCAGGCAAGTCAGAAAATGAATTGACTTAACCCGTGAGACTGTGCGACGGCACTGCATTGCTCATCCATCCCCTTCCTCATAGCCACCGTGATGATCAGTCACAGCAAACGTACGACCCAGTCAGCATGCCGATTCTGTTAAGCAAAGGATTTGCAACATGTACAAACATTCACTCAGAATCATCAGCACCAAAACCACAATTTACTTCGTAGCCTGATGTTGGTTCACTCTTCTTCGCGGGGGCGTGTGTCTCTCTCGTGCCTGAATAATCACATGCAGGAACGGGGTTATTTCAAGAGTTCTGCCTTATGCTGGCTCCTTCTGTTCTAGTGTCTGCACCCTCGAGGCTAGTGCAGAACCGCCATTTCGGAGGAGGAAGAATAGGGAAAGAGAAGACGAGGCCACGCCGAAAGGGGGAAGGGGCTGCCTGGATGACAGATATGAGAAGGTGCAGGCCACTGAGTCCAGTCATCCTCCACGGATAGCACTAACCCGTTGCATCCATCACCGACCGACTTGATGCCCTCAACATTTCAATATCTCCTGCACCTCGCTGCTTCGAGTTTCCATTTGATAACCGAAGGTTGAGATGCAACCCAGCTGTTGCGAAGGATGAGGTTTATTATAGCTGGACCATGTAAATAGTAATTTGGCTCTTCAGTTAGGTGGAGATGGCGAAGTTCCAGATGCTCCATACGAAGAAAGAGTGGACAAAGCAATAGTAGTAATACGGAATATTAGTATGAGTACGAAGGAGGCGGATTAAACCCCCATTCCCGTCCAATAATCCAAGCTGACCCTGAAAAACGGCTGAATCTGACCCAGAAAAGGGTTTTGGGAACGCCACCCGCATGGGTCTTCTTCCACTTCCCGTGATCCAAGAATCATGCTAACGGAATATCGCTTCAACGGATCGAGCCTTTGCCCCAAAAATGAAGTGCACGAACGCACAACTCAAGCGAGGAAACAAACCCCACCCACCGATCTGGATTCTGTCTCGCAACAACTTCCCACAACTTCCAAGGAATCCCCGTGCGCTACCCCCGGCTTCCCATCGGTAAACCACGCAGTAACACCTTTGCTGCCAGGTCCATCCCTGCCGCGAACAGGGCCCGCCTATAACAGAAACGAATTAAACGTCTAAAGCTCTTTGTTTCAACTGAGAGGTGGTATTGGGAGATGGCGGGTTTCGAGTTCCGGGGTCGCACCAGATCGCAGTCTGCAAAGTACTTCGTACACTCCCTCGTCCCACTCATCCAAGGAGCTTCTCCTGTTAGGAAGTACCTTCGATCCTAAATTGCAAGCCAATCTCCGTCACTTCGTCACAACTCCAAAGTAATCTAAGCTGAGGGAGCAATGAGCGCCGCGGATGTGACTCCTCAGGTATGCTGGATTGATTAAACTACCTGTAGGCCTCGCAAAGCACGAATGGCGGATCTGTGGAAAAGACGGCTCGTTCACCTTGCCAGTCTAGCTCTAGATCAATATTGTGAGAAGTCAGAATCCCGCCTTTGCTGAACCCAGCAGCGTGGGTGCAGGGCCTGGCCAGGCCAAGTCCTTGTAGATTCTTGATTCATCATTTCTCAGTCTTGCCAGACCAGCCTGCCTTGGTCATTTGAGTTACCCACTGCGAGCTCGTGTAAGACGGTCAATGGAAGGGGAACCGAGGATCGCCACGCGACACCGTTAATATCCACACGTGGCTGCAATGTGGACACCACGCCCGGAAATGCAGGGTCCTCCTACTGATCATTCCTCGATGAAACTAGCTTCGGGAAGGCAGTCCCAAGTGCATGTCTCGTGGACATGTCACCGCCTACTTCGGAGCGTATCAGAAGTTCCAAGGCAAAAATTCGAATGCCTGTACGAAAACGAGGCCAGCGATCCTAGGGTCATCGTCATCTACGAGTGGGATGTGCAAAGGGTCAATCTGGGGCGATGAGGATCTGCGAAAAGAATGGCCTAGGCGCTAGGGTGGTTATCCTTTTCGGCGGCAAACGAGATCTCTCTTGCGCGTTCACAATTGCCAACTCTTTGCTGTCATGTGTTTGGTCATTCATTTCTTTCATTCATGTGTGGCTCTGGATCATTACCCGAGACCTGTGATATCAAAAAGCTCCCATCATTTTCCCGTCCTTCATTTCACAAGAAACCTTTATGCTATTATACCCTTGGATACCTGTGTTCTTCACCTAACTCCTTACCCCCTCACACCAGCACGGATTGAAACCGTTTACTGCTGGCCAGTGACCTTATCCTTAGCCAGAGGAGTGAATCGGAGGTAAGGCTTGACGATGCGGAAGTCGGGGAAGAGCTCCTTGGCCTGCTCGTTGGAGACCGAGGGGTGAACGATGACGTCATCACCGGGAACCCAGTTGATTGGGGTAGTAACCTTGTACTTATCACCGGTCTGGAGGGAGTCGACAATACGGAGGACCTCGGCGGCGTTACGACCGGTGGAGGCGGGGTAGGCCAGGATGGTTCGGATGACCTTCTTGGGGTCGATGACGAAGACGGATCGGATGGTGAACGCAATGCCCTTGGAGTCGACGTTGGTGGTGTCCTGGTGGTCAAGCCTGTGAAAGGGGGTTAGAATCGTTTCGTTCATTCACTTATGATCTGAGGTCTCGAGGATTTTCAGGCCCGGCGCAAAAGTCGGGGTCCTCTAGTCTAGCCTTGCTTTGAAACTACTCCAAGGGCTTGACGACTCGTAGGCCAACCGATGACGCGACAAAATGTAGGTCTGGTTTGAAACGGAGCTCGGCTCTCACCTCACTCGAGGTACTACGAGTGAAAACCACTCGTTCCCCTCCCGCCCGTCTGACACCCAATGTACCTGGCAAATTCCAAGGAGTAGAGGTTTAAACTTACATGTCATAGAGGTAGGCAATCTTGCGCTCCTTGTCACCAATGATGGGGAACTTGACGTTGCCGCCGGTGACCTCAGCAATGTCCTTGATCCAGCCGTTGTGGCTGTCTACGGTGTTGGCCGAGAGACCGATGAGCTTGACGCCGCGCTTGGTGAACTCGGGCTCGAGCTTGGCGAAGGCGCCGAGCTCGGTGGTACAGACGGGGGTGTAGTCCTCGGGGTGGGAGAAGAAGACGACCCAGTTGTCACCGACGAACTCGTGGAAGTCGATAGGACCGGCGGAGGTTTCGGCCTTGAAGTTGGGGGCGATGCTGCCCAGGCGGAGACTGAGAAAGCGGCTTGCGCATTAGCTTTGACTTTTCCAATTTTCAAACCCCCCTCATGCATGAGGCACTGGGTGGTTCGTGGGGGCTTGCGCAAGCTCCGTGATCTAAGATGCAGGGGCAACTTACGGCTCAGCGCGTTGTTCGGCCATTGTGTGATATTGTTGAAGATTCGTAGGTTTGAGTTGAGATTGGATCAAGGACTTGGGAGGATCAAGGACAGGGACAGTGGGATCACGGTGGGTATGAATGATATGAGGAAGGAAAAAGAGAGGGAACCAGGACGAAGAGGTGCGGGAGGGGCAGTCATATATGTATTGCCTCAGTTCTGAACGGGCAAGATTGGCTTGTTTCGGGGTTTACAAATAAGGTCCCTGGATGGCACGAATTAACAGTTGGATCAATCAATTCCACTCCCCTTCCCTCACGCTCTCGTGTCCCTTTCTCTCCCAGCAACATGAGAGATTTCCCTCCATCAGAAAAGAGGAGGGGCGTGGGCGCAGCGACTCGCATCACTATCAAGAGGAGGGGCAAGTTAAACCCCGAGCAGCTTGGCGGCGGGGGGGAAAGAAATTGTGCGATCAGGATACCCAGCCGAGCAGGCGACGAAGCACGACTTCTCCCATAGAACAATTGAGCTTTGAAATCCCGCGTTCTGGTCGCCGAGCTAGTGAGGTTTCGTCGCAAGAATGGGTCCTTATTGTGCCACACTCTAATTTCTGATGGAGGGTAGCTGCATGTCGCCGCCCTACCTTGGTAGCTTAGATTTCTCAGTCGATAATTTGGGGAATGGTTTTCTGATTATTTTGACGGCCTCGTGTTTGCCTCTCCAAATTCAAATATGAGAGCCTGGTTGAGATGGGCTCTAAATAATACCAATTCATTCCCTCGTTCCTTCCGTGTCGTTCCCACTCAACTCTCACTCGCGTCCATGGAGCTTTCCGACCCCGCGGAGTATCGCGAACAAAAGCCGTCGGGAGGGGTAGAAAAAGACTCGAAACGGAAGGGAGGGGTTCGTGTCGAAGTATTGTGTACCTCGACTGGGGTCGAGACATGCGGAGCATACGAAGTAAGGTGCCAGATGAGGTATAGGATTGCTTGCAGTACACAACTCGAGTACGGCATGCGCCTCTCCATGAGGTATCAATTGACGTGATACTTCACATTCCTGTGAATTCCTCTTTTAGAGATACCTTTTGTCATGTAAAACGTAAAACTGTTCTTCTTGGCTGCAACTTTTTTCCGATCATCCCTCTTGCGATGGTTGGCCGAGAACGGCACTGCCTTTGAGGAATGGCTTCTAGAGAATCCATCACGCCACTTACTTCGTACAAGAGGAGATGCTCAGGTCCTCTCTTTGGGAAGGTACGCGTCGGATGGGGATGTCCCGGGTGGCCTTACCAGAGCTTCGAGTCTGGAGCGAAGTAGATAGTACCCAGAACTCAATTCGATTACTATTCCGGTAGCTCATTCTCGGCTCTCAATTCAAATGTTCCAGCCCGCTCAGAAAAGCGTCATAGTTTATAATCAGCTTGATATGACCTCAATTTTCTGTCTGGCAATTGAAAAGGTAGACTTGGTCAATTAGTTCTACCTTGAAACTTCTATTGCTACTATCATTCGCATTCAAGACGCGGCGCATCGTAAATCAATCCCGCCTCATCATAAGCGATTACTCCAACGCTGAACGACGCTGAAAATCAAGCCGCCCACTGTTGTGACCCCATCCCATATCGCATTTGATCCATCCATCCACTTCGTCGACCCTCCACGCGAACCATTCAATATTCCCCCAGAAATGCGAATGCAAAGCCGAGTACCAGGATCGTCAATCCCCAAAAGGGATGTCACTATCAATTGCGTGCTGCGGAGAACTCATGATTGGCCGGACCTAGACCCAAGTGCCAATGATGTCATTTATAGCTTGACTTTGCACAAGGCCGAAACCGCCCCTCCCACGCCCTGTCTCTGTCCTTCATAGTGTCATACCCCTCATTCTGGCCAAAGGGGAGGAGGGAAGGAAGCATCCAGCTGCGTCCTTCACACCCCCAAGCTCGCGAAGTGTGCTTGTCGAAGTTGTTGGCAAGCACGAACCACTCGGTCTTGTCTCGGTGGGGTTAGTTACTTGTAGATTTGGATTAGTTCAGGGTGTGTTGATTACTATTCTGCAATCTCGAAATTTCCAAGGGCAGGGGCGGCTGGGCTTACGAAAAGTCCACGACTAATACGTTTCGCTGGACCCATGGTCAGTTCCCGACGACTTGCGATGCAGGGGTACACTTATTTCTCCCGAGTGTACACAGGTAGTAGAAGAATCTGGACCTCTTCGCTACTTCCCAGGCGAGAAGGCGTAAGCAGAACTCCCCATTGGAACGCGTCGTCCATCACGACATAAGTGAGAGCGCATGTGTCCATCTGCTCCCCATTCTTGCTCAAGTATGTCCGGCCGGTGTGCTTCGGAAGTAGTTCGGTCTCTGCTTTGACAGAAATGTGTTGCACACCATCCCGCGCCGTCACGCCGTCACCCCAGTCGCTCTTGCGCCGTGCCGCTTGTGTAGTGCATGTGCCAGCAAGACGGGTGCATGGAAGAAACAAAGTGAATGTATTATTTGCATGTCACTGCCCATCACCTGCCCCCTTCTCCGCATTTAGCCTCACCTATCTGCCCTTCCTGCTCGACGATTCTGCAAACTTGACTGGAACGTCGTCCACAAGCGGGAAGCGGATACTTTTTGCCCCTGGCCTCGAACCAGAGGCTAGACCTTTCCACTAATACCTCCTGCTTCGACCAGCCGTTACCGATTCACCATCGTACATATGCTGCCGCAACAACACGCTTAAGGTCCTGAGGTCTATTGTGCCCCTGGGATGCTGTGCGGCATCCTTCTCTGCTCGCGAGGAAGTTCACCGTCTAGACCACAGTAGCCGGCCTGGCTCAGACTTCACACTGCCGGAAGTGCGCTTCGATCAATCATGTGGTATAACATCATTCAGCAGCAATCTTCATACAAACATATGAAACACACTCACACTCTCACGAACCCTTAGCTACAACATACTTCCTTCCATGGCCTTCTTCTATCTCATGGGTATTAGAACTCTTCCCTCCTTTCCTGGCAGCTTAAACTGTGTTCTCCGCGTGCTCCCCCTTGCTCTTCTTCTCCGCCTCAGATCCACTCCCGTTACCTCCGGCGAACTGATTCTGCAGGATGGCGGTAAGGCCAATCTCGGCATTAATTTCCTCCATGCGCTCAAAGTCGGCCTGGGCAGTGCCCTCCGATCCGAAGATAATGTCCATCTCTTCTAGAGTCAAACGCTTGGTCTCGGGGACGAGGAACCAGATAAATGCGGCACCGAGCGTCGTGAGGCAACCGAAAAGGATGTAGGTGCCGTACGTAATTTTTTGGAGCATATCAGGGGTGACCTGTCCGACGATGAAGTTGTTCATCCAGTTGGATGAGGCGCCGAGAGAGACACCATAAGGGCGAGAGCTGAGGGGCCAGATTTCTGCAATCTGTTTGAAATCTTCGTTAAATTCGTGTAACTTGAGCTGTTCCTACTAACACTGAGGAAAACTTACTAAAATCCAAGCACAAGGTCCCCAGGAATAACCGAAGTGGATGACGAAGAGCCAAACCATGGCCACCGCAGCCCAACCGGCCGCGGGCTCCTCTTGCCACTTGGATGAGTTTTTGGCAAAGATAACGGCAATGATGAAGTGACAGGCACTGAGAGGGGTGTCGGTTAGCTTTGCCCTACAGTTTTGGACTGGATCGGCCAACTTACGCCATGCCTAGAGCGCCGATCGTGAGAACGGGTTTACGTCCGGCGCGGTCCTGGGGCAATCTACGTTAGCTGGTGCTCTACCTTTTCGTCGTTATTCGCGGATAAAACTCACAATCCAGAGGACAGCGGGGATGGTGAAGAGGAACATGACGACGCCGACGACACCAGTTGCGAGAAGCGAAGTCTCAGTGCTGTCGAGGCCAAGCTGACCGAAGATAATTGGGGCATAGTACAAGACACTATTTGAAAGTTAGTTATGAGGCCCCGGAAACACCAGGCCATGTGATGGGGCTTACGCGTTGATACCAGTCCACTGCTGGAAGAACATAGTCACCGTAGCGACAATGACACGCTTGAACATGGCCCTGCTCTGGAACAAGGATTTAATAGCCACGAACTGCAGCTTGAAAGTGTTCCATGCCGTCTCCTCTCTCAACTGCGGGAAGTTCTCCGCAACGGTCCTCTTCTCGAACAGAGACTGGGCTTTGATTTCGAGGAACTCGAGCTCCACAAGTTCGTGGTCCTCGGGCAAGTCTCGCAGGTTAGCCAGAATGGTCCTGGCCTCGTCCTCGCGGTGGTGGTGGACGAGCCAACGCGGCGAGAAGGGCATGAAAGCCATGCCGAAGAGGAGGATCAGGCACGGCACAATCTGGACGCAGATGGGGACGAGCCATGCCGCGTCGCTCTGCTCGCCGAGCGCAGTTCCGCCGATGAAGTTGGTTCCGTAGCCGATCCAGAAGGAGACCATGATACCGAACGTAATGGCAAGTTGCTGCGTAGCGACGAGGGCACCGCGGACTTCGGGAGGGGCGACTTCGGAGTTGTAGATGGGGACGATCATGGCCAAGGAACCGACACCCATACCGGTAACGAATCGACCGCCGAGAATAGCACTAGGACCGGCTTGGATGGCGCACTATTTGTTCCGCGTGTTAGTCGCTGACGCACGAAATGCTGAATCGGGAATTGGGTATAATTGAGTTTCGTTTGGCCCTTACAGCTTGAACAATAACGCCGATGAGGAAGACACAGCAAGCGACGATAATACCGTATTTACGCGATAGGACCTCGGCGATGAAACCAGAAAGAAGAGTGCCAATCCAGGCACCAAGCTCGAGAATGGCAGTAAGCCAGCCCTTCTTGGTCTGATCGGCGCTGTCATCAAGTGGATCATATTCTCCCATGTCTAGAAGAAACCGTCAAGTCAGATTCAAGACGCTCCATTCAGAAAAAAATATACCCCTTTGTTTGTACTTACGCGACTTAAACGAATTCATTGAGAGGACACTAGCGAACATTCCCTGGTTATAGCCATAAAGAACACCTCCGATACACGCGAATGCGGCAATGCGGAAAACCTTGAAGTTTTTCCACAGAGCGCGAGCACCGGAAGCTCCCATGAGCTTTTGACGACGCCCGAGCGCGGCATCGTAGAAGGCGACGCCGTCAGTGCCTCCGCCGGCCATGGTGATGTGTTTGCTGGAGACCGAGCTACGTGGGCTTTCAATTGATTAAGAAGAAGGCGATTCAAGGGAGAAAAATCCCTAGATCCCAAACCGGAGCAAGCTATGAGGCGGGAAGAAAGTGGGAGAGGAAGAGGAGGCGACAGTGTGTGAGAGGGAAGAGAGGAGTAAAAGAACAACGAGACGGCGAGAAAGTGAGAAGAAAGACAAGGGAGAGATACTCGCGGGAAAAAGACCCGAGCCCCATCTTACACCTCGCGAGCGAAACGAGCGCGAGGGGGGACCTGCTTTGGTTAAATATAAAAGGCGAGGTTGCATATATACATTTGTTAAACTGAGGTTCATCCAGCTGTGGCAATCGTACGCATATGCACCCACGCACACACACACGCACACACAAGACATGATGGGGATTACCCTGGGGCTCCCTCCTTTTTGGGGTAACACCTGCCCAATGTGTGGTATCCATGTTGTGTCCGCCTTGTATAGATGGGGAGGAAACATTGAAGCTTTGTAGCCGGCTATTTCATGCGGAAAGGGCTGCTCGCTATTCGATGCTACGAGGTACACGGTCCCGCATAAACGGGAGGTACACCGTCTTGCTACTCCAGCATTGGGAACCCGCGTCAATGGTTCTCGGTGTTATTTCATCCTCGAGTGACATTTCCCCTCGTTTTTCCTCTGTGGTGAGGGAGGGCATGGAGAAAGTTGGAAAGACTAGCCCAATGGAGTGGGGTTCCACGCGAGGGGATAAATTGATGTTACAGGAGCGGATGCGTCTTACAAGAGCGGAGAAGAGAAGACGAGAGGCTGTTCAGAAAATACGACTCTCTCCCCTTGGGAAGATGATCAACTTTGCCGGGTGGAGGAGGAAGGATTATTCAGGGTAGACGAAGTACTCTCGGAGTGGGTTTATGTTGCTTCTGCCAACTTGGCCGAGAGGACCTTCTCACCCACACCACACACCCCCTCACTGGGGTTGACTTCCAACAGTATGGTCTGGTATATGTTTGTAATTTACAACTTTTGGGAATCTCCATCGACTAGACTAGCATGATAGCCACACTCGTTTACAAGGGGATAGAGTTCATCGAATGTCGTTTTCATTTTGTCCGTCTGCCGTGTTTATGCCACGGTCCAAAGGAACTTTTCCTTTTGGTAGTTCAAACTAATATCAGCCAAGACGAGTGTCGTCTATCCACTCGGCAGAGCATCTGCGGAGGCGAACGCCACGGAGCGGGAAGACCCAGGACCGCCAAGATTCTAGAGGGCTTCCTGATGCCCGCTAGTCCAGCGCAGACAACGTGGAGAAGAGATGGTGTGGCTGGGCAGAGTCAAAAGGACAAGGAAAGAAGGAGTGTGAGCTTACTTACCCGTTGGTTTATTGCACAGTAACATTCCGAGCAAGGACCCTTGAGAGGGTGGGCAGAAGCATGCTTTAGGCTGAATGCGAATACTACCAAAGTTCCGGCAGGGTTTATCGTAGTCATTGGCTCGCGGACCACGAGAAATGGCAGATCATTAGGAAAATTTCCGTGGCCGCACTGATTTGATCGGGCCTTTTATCGGCTTTCTTGGCTATGGTAGATATATGTTAACTGCCGCGCCGCCTCATGGCCCCATGGTGTGGGATGCTGGATGAACACGTCGTAGTTTATCGACGGGACGTACCATTGATGGGACGTGTTCCGGCCTTTCTTCTACTCGTAGGGAGAAGGTCGCCTAGCTTCGCTTTCATCTGACCAGTCCGGAAGAAATGAAGCAGTGGTAGGCATCTTGCATGCGTTGCCCATTCAAATAACACTGTCCCGAGAAGATCGGGAAGAATGGGCACACAGGTCATTTTCCGGAGCTTTAGGCGTTCAGGCGATTTAAAGATCAACATCTGCAGAATGGCCCGCTGGATCGGATTGAGAAATGGAAATGGAAACCAGCTTTTTATCAGTTGATGCCGAATTAAAGTTATTCGATATGGATCCGAGAAGCTCTTGTGCCAAGGACGCCGAGGCACTATTTAAGCTTATTGTCCGATGGGAGTTGGGCGTTCCAGGTTCCGAAGGAGGCATCTAAGCGGTATAGAATTATGGATCTGTAGAGAGACCGATCAATGTATTGCAGATTCGGGCTTTTGCTCGGAGGCCTACTCTCGACTGCTTTGAAGCGTGGTGGACTCCAATTGTCTGTTTCCCAGCGCTGACGACAGGATATGCGTGTGGGCATGCTCCCATCTGCGTTTTCGGTCTAAAAGAGCGGCACATTGATCAATTGATGTCATTATCAAGCCGAAAAGAGATCCGCGTGGAATGGAATTGCAGGCAGTTCGCAGGCATGCAAAATGGACGTAGTGGTGTCGTTGCCATCGCAAGTAAGCCGGATCGCAGGGCAGTGAGACCGACAAGAGCACCTGAGAAGCGGACAGACACTCAGAGGAGAATCGAAGGGATTCGCGCAGAGCAGGCTGGACGGGAAGAGATGAAGTCGAAGTGTCCCCAGACGCAATGAGGTTGGCCAAGGGTTACTGGCGACGGAGGCCGGACTCGGGTCTACGTGACAAGTTGAGGCCAGAGAATAGCTACAATGGAAAGACATCTTGACAAATTCCATCACTTGGTGAGTACTAGAGCTGCCTCGGCCTACGAAATGCTCAATATATCAGGATCTGCACCTCAGTCTTGGCATAAAGCACATGCAGTGTTGCATTTTGTGATTTCCGAGCAGTGGGGTGACGCCCAACGCGAATAACCTGAAAAACACCAAACGCGTTTCTACTTCGTACACTCTTGAAGTTCGATGGCCCCTTCAATGCTATTTATTTATTAATCGTGGACCCAATTCCGGTTTTGGAGGGTAATGTCCCCTCCGGTCGAAACGTGTCCACCGCGCCAGTCCGCCGATGGACCAGCAAATCAATACGTGGACGAGAAGGAAGTGGTGATCGGCCAAGGGTTAGAAGTGCCCATCAGCGACGGACTAGAAGTCGTACCGCCTCCGCCTCCCACTCCACTGCCAGGAGACACTGGTAAACGGAGAAAACGTGCCGTTCTCATCTGCAGCATTATCATTGCCATCGTAGTGGTAATTGGGGTCGTCGTCGGGACGGTTCTTGGTACCAGGCATAGGCGTGACGAAGATAAGGGTCCCGCGCTACCACAGCCGACGCTGGGCGCACCTTCGCCGGCATTGACAAGCCGGGATATTTCTACGGTCAAATGGTCCGATGGAAACGACACCGATCATATCCGGCTCTACTACCTCGCCGACTCCCGGTGAGGTCTGGGAAGGTGTCAGGGTAACGGATAGCGATTGGGAATACAAGGGCCTGGGGTTTATTGCTAAAGCAGGCTCTTCAATCGCAGCCGCAGTGTCTCAGGCCAACTACGCTCCCCCAATTTGTCCGGATTCCCCATGAGTGGACGGCTATCCCCGGCTCCAGACCCTCCACTAACTTCTCTCGTGGGTGCTTGCTTCAAGGGTTCAAGGAAACGGGGCGTGAGGGTCAGCTAAGGCTTTTTCGATAGACTATACACCTATTTTATATCAATGCCGATAATGTCGTCCAGGACGCCATCTTCAAGGATGGAAAGTGGTTTACCGGCGAGATAGGAAACAAGGGCTTCAGTGTTTCTTCAAATTCCAGTCTGGCCGCCTTCATTCTGCAGTGTCCTTCATCTGCATGTGGTGACTCGGCCGTGGTGGCTTTCCTAGATCCAGAGGAGGTTGTTCAGGTCGCCAACTTGACATCGAATGGCTGGGAAATGGCCGCCTTGAGCCTGGAGATGAACCGAGGTACGCACCTGGTGTTACAACAATTCTACGACAACTCCACCGCCAGACAGTTGGACCTATATTACCAACACAAGAACCTATCTCTAACGAAAGCGAGCTGGAAGCCCAGTAGGAATGGGAATTCTGGTGAGATGGCGCCAACTAATTTGATCCCTTAGTCTTCGCAAGTTTAGCTAACACCCGTCTCCGGTCATAGACTATACTTGGTCACCAGTCGAACAGGTTCTCAATACCATTCCGTCAGGTTCACCATTTGCAATATACTCGACATATAGCGATGTCTTTAATATACCGCCCGAAATGGGCGAATCCCCAAGACAATTCATATCACTAATATATGCATCTTGGGTTTCGAATGAGGGGATCTCACTGACATGTTGGGACAAGCGCATCTTCATTGACGGTAGCAGGGTCCAGCCAGAAGACACCTGGTCCGAGTTCAGCTTGGACATACCAGCTGTGGCGACTGCCGGTGGAAATGGCAAGGCGTATTACTCGGTTGCCTTGACTGGAAATTTTATGTTTGGGTCTGTAAGTGTCAATGGTGCAGACGGCGTTTCGGCATTTAAATACAGCAATGACAGGGAAGAATGGCTTGAGGCTTTCACTGCTGGAGCGATTGATGGGTGGAAGTAGACTCGAAGGCCGTCAGTCTGGCCTGGCCACCGACTAGTAGAAAATTACTTCGTCTGTCCGTACTCAGAACCAAATCAATGATGTTTACCTTTGTACCACCGCGATTACCAAATAGATTGTTCAATTGTAAATGACATCAATGTGGGTGAGTCTGTGGTTGAGTCTCATTGTTTCCGAGGAGGACAATTGGGATATTCATCGATTGCCAACCATAGACCACTCGATGTCAACGGGTTCTTCTCCCGGAGCACTTGGCGGAGATGTCATGGAATGCTCGAGGGAAAGAAAGTGCAGGTCCTCTCTGGTCTCTCTAATCATCCCCTCAAACCACAATGCACGTTGGCCTTCGGACTCCATGTTACGTCAGTAGTTACGTCAGTGCAATGTACTTGGGAGTGCAAACATCACATGCAACAATGATCTCGCATCGGAGCTTTTGGCTTTGGAAGTAACAGCCACCGGAAATCTCGTCCGACTTGGAAGGAAGCGGCGATGGAAGGATACATCGGAGGTCTTCGTGGCTCTCCCATCTGCCATTGGTATGCGTTTGCTGGAATATGCAGCAAGCTGTTGATTACTATCACCCAATTTCATATTAGTCGCCAACATTGAATCATTGATGCATAATAATTTTGGATAATATAGCATAAGAAACATGTCGGTTCCGGGAGGTGCCCGCAATGTTTGACCTGGCGCTCGGAAGCGGCCAGGCTCCGTCGAAGGAACCGCCTGGGGGGTTTGATGTGAGAACTTGAGAAGCGAGAGGAGAAGGAAGGCAGGATCCTTGGGGTGAAGGGGCAAGGGCGAAGGGCGAAGAGCGACACGACGTTGACGCTTTGCTGGGGGGCCAATGTTCAGCTGATCCAATCACACTCGTTGTTTTGGACATGTCAGGACCGACCCACAACGAACAAGGGGTCCGTCTTGGTCCCTCCTTCCATTGGCTGACGGTACATTCCAACCGCGCGTCTAACATTCCTTCCTCTGCTGAATGGAGATCCCTGCGACGCCTCTTTCTCAATGCGGGTTAGTGGAACGGGGTGGCAGCAGCCACTCGACCAACCAACACGGCGCACAGATTTCTTTGCGTCGAACATTCGAAGATGAGATGAGAGGGAAAAGAAGAATCCTCCCATTGAGATCTTCACCTCTACTTGTGCTTTCTCGATAATCCACTTGATAACACTCTTCTTTATGAAACTTGATTCTTCAGGACCCGGTCCTTTCAGAATTGGTGTCACATTGATGTTGCGGGACGCACTCCCCGTCCCGTCCTGACAGCCAAGGATGGGGCGATGCGGCGACGATCAATGGGAATCGGGGCGCGTATTTGGCGCTTGGCCGACACTACTACACTCCGGTGCGTCTCCAGTGGAATTCCCGTCTCCGCTCTCCACCACTCGAAAAGAATGGGTGGGCGGCAGGAAATTACGCAGAAGAACCTCAAACAGGTGGCCTCCAATCTCCAATTCACATTTACCGCCCTGCCCCCAATCCGACCCGTCCCTCCCCCAGAGTCGCCAAGCCCGGCCCAGCCTGGCAATTTCCTCTCAGCCAGTGACAGTGCATCAACCTTTCGGCTCTCCAAACCTGCTACCCGCTACATGCTATATTTGTCGTCTCTGTTGAATCGGGGTTCTGTCTCTCCAACGCCCAACCTGCATACTACATCTCGTGCTCGTCGACTCTGTCTCTGCTGAACCTAAAACATGGGCATCTAAGCCTCATTCCACCGGGCTACGGATAAGTATCCGCTCGGTAGGCGCCGAGGACTGTCTTCTCTCTGCCACGACTCCCCACTTACGACTCGCGATACCTTGGGTGTTCGTGTCGAATATCTCGCGCTATGATGGGTTATCGGAGTGAGACTTCGATAACCGCGCTTGTCGATCTCGTCCAAGACCCGGCCCCATTTTCAATTTACCATCCCTATCTACTCTGACGGCGCCGTGTCTGTCTTTCCTAGCCACCGCAGACAGCTTGATTATTGTTGCTATCAAGAAGTGGATGATCCCAAGTCAGGGTTTCTCTTCACTCCCCATGTTAGTCGAGTCGGTGTCTTGTGTAATCCGTATTCGCTCTTGAACCCGACCCCGATGCCGTGCAGCCCCTCAAGCCTCAGGACACACAGAGTCTATCATCTGCCCACCTGCTCTTCCAGTCGAAGCTTCTCTCTCTTGATCCACACCATGCCTGACCCTGTATCTGTCCTGCGGAATTCGATTGCCTTGCGTCAAACCACAAATCATACCATCCTGCTCCCTCCACCTTTGCCGCCGACTGCCCTGATGTCCTCTTCTCGTGCGACAGGGACCCAAGAGCCCGGTTAGCCTCACTCCACTCTCTGCTCCCTGGCGTTTCGTTTCCTTCGGCCTGCGCTCCAAGTGGCTTCTCTCGCCCTCTCACCTGCCCAATTCCAAGGGTCTCTTAAAACGAGATGTGCCACAGGGGACCCTAGACTTCCAAGTATAGACATAGACGCAAGTCATGTACCACATTGTGCACACGCTTCCGTCTTATACATGCCCGTGAATACGATTCACTTCTCCTCATCCCCTCGCCCCATTGCTTTACACCCACACCCCCTCCAGCGTTCGCCTTCAGACATACATCGTACAATACCACATGCCACCACCCCCATGATGCTCATCCCCCCTCCTTGTTGACCCCGCTTCAGCTCTTGGGCTTTACCTCGTTGTCAGCGCCGCTCGGCGCCTACTCATACTCCAAGCAAGACGCTATTAGTCCTTCCTGTCTATTTTAGACACACTTGCAGCGCATCCCGCCCCCACACCATTATCTTCCCAAACCCTTCCTATTCTGCTCCCGTGCAGACTTTTGCCTTTTCAGTGCTTCACCGTTCCTGGCTCTAACCCCCCGGTGTGAGTCCTCAGTTCCTGCGTCTTCTAGAGTACTGGTATTGCCATACCGAATCCGCAGATTCTGTGAGTGTCCCCATGCCAATGCTTGCAATCAGTATCTCCGGATACCCACCCTTGCCGCCCTGCACCAACTTCATACCTTGTAACCGCCGCTCCTCGGCCAGACGCCCACTCCATGACCTTTCAGCCAATATCGTCATAGCTATTCGTGAAAACGGCTCCCTTCAGACACGCGAGCGTAGTTTCATATCTCTAGTGGCACCACCCTAATGTCTTGTTGCTTCGTTTCAAGTCCTCGGCATCCCACCCATTGTCAACTTCCAGTTAGACGGTAAGGCTCGATGTCGTCTTGCCCCATCCTTGTTCCACTTCTCGCCGCCTGTAGTTCGGCCAAGAGACGTCATTATATTAGACACGCCGTCCCCCACATGGCCGCCATCTTGGTCCGTCTCTCTCCTTCCTAGTCTCATGTTCCCTACTGCCTCACCTTTCCTATCGTCCATTTCTTTCTGTTTCACTTTTCATTTCCTTTTTTCCATCTTTCTTTCCTATCTTATTTCCACAATCCCATTCTCCTTTCTCGTTCGTTTGTTACATCACGTATCAAACTTGAATTGTTGCCACCAGGATTACACACCTGTGTGGGTTTCTCATTCGCTTTTGGTCCTTCTCTCGTCTCCTTGTTACCACTCGCTCTCCCGGTTGCCCTCCTGGCGAGGCCGTGTCTCATCCTCTCTGTCTCCAACTGTCCATCCAGACTGCTACGTTTCTATCGCGTCTCTAGTCGGTAATCGCCATTCGCTAAGCCTCTTTGTTCTGCCACTTACATTGCGGAAAACTACGCACCTTTTGGCTTCTTCTCTCCATTCATACCCCCTTGTCTTCTTACGTGTAGTCTCCGTCCATAATCAGAGACATGCCGAAGCATACGAGGGGCAGCAGCTCAAACCACCACCGTTACAGCGGACTTCCGGTGACACTCGCTCCACCCCCCAACTCTGTAGACATGTACAACGCACGCCTCTCCATGTCGGACTACTATTCCGATGTCCAGACCGCTTCCGGCCCTATTCAACTCCAGACCGAGCAGTACGAGCAGTACATGACCGCCGGGCCCGCCATGCAAGAAGCCGTACCGGCACAGCAGCAGCCGCCATCGGCGCGACACCGTCCCTCATCGGGTGCCTGGTCTAAGGAGGATGACGAGACGCTCATGAGTGCTCGAGCTTCGGGCCTCAACTGGAGTCAGATTCAGCAAAAGTACTTCAGCACCAAGTCCCCCAATGCCTGTCGCAAGCGCCACGAGCGCCTGATTGAACAGAAAACCGCCGACAACTGGAACAAAACCGACTTCGAGAGGCTCTCGATGGAATATATGAGGATGCGAAAGGAAATCTGGTCTCCTCTTGCCGCCCAGGTTGGCGAGAAGTGGAATGTCGTCGAGCAAAAGGTACGTGACATACACCCTGTCGTGTTTTTCTCTGTCTGGCGTCGACGAAACAACTTTAAAGAGAAGAAAAAGAATCTAACCTGAGAATGACCTTTTTAGTGCATGTCAAACGGACTTAAAAACTTGCAAAGTGCCGCAAGGTCCGGCGCGAGGCGGCAACGTCTCGAGACTGGGCACCAAATTCAAGGGTACGATGATGATAGTGGCATCAGTGGCATCGGCCTAACACCAGTTGACGGCCTAGACGCATCATACAGCAGTCCCGAGACGACGGCGTCCGCCGGTCACTCTAGCAGCGGCATCAGCACGTCATCTGGGTACCAGATGGGTGCCCACCCCCAGCTCCAAGCTCTCGGCCATCCCGGGAACCCTTACGGCTATTCGCACCCCACAGGACCGCATCACGGTTACACGTCTTCGGTCTCGTCGAATGGCACCTCTGCGGGGCCGTACGTCCCTAGTGGATCTCAATCGCATTCGAGCGACTCTTCTTACATGACCCATGAGCAACAGCTGAGGGCTCAAAGACTCGAGCGCGCAGACATGGGAGTCGAGCGCTCCAGCAACCGAAAGGCTGGTAGGGGTAATCGACGAGGAATGCAATGAGCCTTTATAAAACGGCTGAACAATACTCTTCATTCTTTTGACTTTGGTGTTTCCTTGAAACATTATCTCTCCTCTCTTTTTCTTCCTCTTCATTCATTCCTTGTTCTCTTTAGACATACTCTCCTACCACCACTACCACTCCTTTCATTTGTTCTGTTCCTCCATGATCGACGAACTTTCTTTTTATCCTTGCGGTTTTATCATTCCTTCCGCTGCATTAATGACTGGATTTGCATTCATACGCTTACTGGGAACATGCCCAACACACTTTCCTTTACAATACCAATACCCCTGCGCTGGATTTGGCCAATTTTGTTTCGTTTCGGTTTTGTCCTCTCTTTTTACTGTCTGGCTCATTCCTTTCCTTCATTCTACGTCGGCACTGCGAAATGTTGTTGCCCAGACGCAGCCATGGGAGTATCGGAGTTGGAAACGCATCCTCACTGGTGTTTTGGAGCATATGGTGTCCCGGGAGCATCGGTGTTTCGAAGGCGTTGACTTTTTTGTTTTGGTGAGATTTGATGACTTTTGGCTTTGATCTTTTTTTTTTTTTTTTTTTTTTTTTTTTTTTTTCGGTATGTTTTTGGAATCTTTCTTTTGTTCAATGGATCCTAGTTAGACTTGCATTTTCAGTTTGGCTTGTTTTTGGCGGAAAGAGGCGAGAGCAGAAAAAGCTGGATACCATGATGGATTGATGGATGGCAACACTTTTGGGTTATACACCAATGTAATCAATGTTCGAGCAGTTTTATCCTGGGAATTCAATAATGCTATATGAACTGGATGTCGGCTTGGAGATGAGCCGGGCAAAAGCCATTGAAGACTGTGAAGCATTGGGGGTTCGAGTTACTTGTAATAAACCGGGAAGCACAAGGTAAGGAGAGTCTCGATGGATAGTAGAAGCTTGGATATGTTGAACAGCTACATGTAGGAGAGATTCGATGCCGTTGATACATACATACTCGACCTAAACACCGTCCCCATCCACGTTTTCCCGACTCTATAAGGCTGGTTTTCTAAACAAAATGGGTAGATTTGAGATGTTGTACATGGCAGTTTTTTTTTCCCCCCTTCTCTCTCTCTCTCTCTCTCTCACATACAATATCAATCACGGTAAAAGAAGAAAATGATGTAAAAGAAAGGAAAAATGACACATTTCTCCCCTTAATTCCTCCCCTTCGACTCGGCAGCAGTAGATGAGGAGGCAGAAGAAGCAGCAGCAGTAGCAGCAGCAGGAGCCTTTTGCTCCTCAGCGGAAATCTCCATCAACTCATCGTCATAATCGAGATAATACCCATGCTCATCGACATACTCGTCCTCAACACCAACGATGCTCCTCCAAACCCGACTCCACATGCCCTTCTTCTGCAGGAGCGCGAGGACAAGGACACAAGGTAGATGCCAAACACTAGCCCAGAAGAGACCCCTCGCGGAACCCTTGTGTCCCTCGAAGCGCCAGAAGCGCACAGCCTCGTAAGCAAGCCAAGCATTAACGGGTAAGGAAGTGAAAGCGAAGGTCCACTCCGTGACGCCCGCGGCGCAAAGCGCGAGACAGATAGGTGCAAAAACGAGGCTGTACCGGAGCGCGACGCGGGCGTTTCGGGCCGGGTTCGTCCACGCCATCATCTTGAGGCCGGCGGCGCGGTACTCTTCGCGGATGGGCCACGAGAGGGCCATGAAATGCGGGAACTGCCAGGCGAAGAGTAGGGAAGCCAGGAGCCAGCCGCCGAGGGACGAGCCGTCGGACGCGAAGAGGAGTTCGCGCCAGGAGCCGTCGCCGGTGGCGGATTCGCCCGCCGCAGCTGCCCAGCCCATGAGCGGGGGGATGCCGCCTACCAGTGCGCCGACCCAGGTGTTGATGGGGTGGAGGGCCTTGAGGGGCGTGTAGATACCCGCGTAGAGCACGATGTCCGTGGCGCCTAGGAAGGAGACGGTCGGGTTCACGCCGAAGTAGAGGGCCGTAATCCCCGTAGCGGCCGTTATTAGTGCGAAGAGTAGAGCGGAGGGTTTAGAGATGAGGCGGCGGACCAAAGGCCGATTGCGGGTCCGGGACATGAGGGCGTCCGTGGCGGGTTCGTAGAGCATATTGAGAGAGTTAGCGGAGGCGGAGCACAGCGCCGTCCCCGTCGTGAGGAAAAGAAGCGTCAGAGGGCTGAGGGAGGGCGTTTCCGCCGCGAGGGCTGGCGAGAGGAAGGATGGTACGGGGTATAGAGCGTAAGGGACCATGGCGGTCAGCACGACGAGGACGGTCAGGCGGGGTTTGGAGAGGGAGAGGAAGGTGGAGAGTTTGCGGCGGAAGGAGTTGGCAGGTTGTTGGGAGGCTAGGTGGGCGAGGACGGCGGAGGCGTCGGGGGGGTGGGATATGGAGGATTCGATCGTCGGAGCGCCGGTGGTGTTTGCTGCTGCTGCTGCTTCGGCGGCGGCTTTGCGCTTCGCTGCCTGTCGTCGTCTGTGTGGGAGGAGCTCTTCCTTGGAGCCGCTCGCTATCGAGTCGGAGGACGCCACGGCTTGGTCATGTTTCGCGCGTGTCGAGCCGGGCGAATTGGAAAAGAAGAACTCAGACGTGAGTCTCGCCGAGACGGCGCTCGTCCGCAGCGGCGTTGTCGAGACGAAGCGTATGCGGCCAATTCCAACGGAGGAGCAGCCCTTCGGCGATGGCGGCGCTCCTCGTCCCGCCTTAGCGGGCAAAGACGCAAAGAGTCGCACGTCGTGGCATTGCGCGCGTGTCGGGGCCCGGAGGACGCCGTGGAGGGGGAGGGAGGACCTTAAGCTAGGTGCCGCGGTTGCCGGACGTAGCATTTTGGTCAGGTCATGATTCGGAGGTTGAGGGAGTTGGTGAGGAGGGATGTTGCTCGATGGGGGAGGGTTTAATCTAGTTCATGGCGACCTCGAGCACCAGAAGAATTGAGCGAAGAGAGGTGGAGAGACTCCAATTGGGGGTGGTTTGAGCTTCGCTGGGGTATTTCCGGCGGAAGGGAGATGGGGTGATCAGATCAATTGAATTGGATGTGTGATGTCAATTCTTTCCCGTTTTCGCTGCAGCCTCAAATCAAAGGCTCTAAATTTAAAATCCCCAAAAAGCACAATTGTACCAATAATAATCAAGTTGCGGAGGGAACCAGGGCTGACATAATTCGGGGATCAAGCTGCACCTGAATCCCGCTGCCAACACTTGCCTCTCCACGATCTGGAAGAAGTAAGTCAAGTCTATCCATCATGGTACTTCCCGAACACTTCCTTGTTCTTTGCAACAGGTCGTGAAACTGATATGATCCAGAATGACTCGGGAGCAAGAAACCTATTTTCGCTCGAGACGCCAATCTGCTGCAAAAGGCTATGGAGGCGACTTACCTGATAGCCTGGTCGATGGACCGAGACAGAGAGCTCGGGAAAAGTTCATAAGACCTTATTTTCACAACTAATACAAATAATATGAAAGAGATGCTCGCTTAGCTAGAGGTGATTGATGTCTTGCGTCACAAGGAGAAGACTTGGGAGCGTGGATGTCGGTGTCGGTGTTATCGAGTGTGACAGTTGGGGGACAGCAAGTTGTGAGATTTGCGGGTAATTCAATTAAGCGTGAAGGTGTGAGGTTGGAAGTGACGAAGTACGATGCACTGCGATGCTTGTACAAGGCAGGAAGCACCATGGCGCGAGGATCTGACAGCTTCGTAATCATCGTCGTTGGGCCACTGATCACCGATTGAAGCGTTTAGAGCTGTCAAAATTACTGCTTTCGGAATGCACAGAATTCCCGAAAGCAGTAGAAAGTTTAGCGCACCTATGAGAACCGTCGGCCCCATGCCCGGAGCTCCCCCCTCTTGACAGTCTCCTCCACTATGGTGCGTGCTCCAGCTTCGCTTCAGCTCGGCTCCAGACCGGCTCGATTCTTGAATCCCGGCGCATCACCCTGGGATATTTCCATCATAATAGGTGGAGGATGTGCGCCAGTAGATGGTAGATGGTACCTCGTAGGATTGTGTGTCTATGAACGGTTCTTGGGAGCTACGCCGTGAACCGGAGGGGTCCAGTTCCGAGTTAGACATACAGCCTGAGAGAAGGTGCAAGTAAGTGGTCCGCTCGTGCTACTTTGGCCGCTCCCGCCATCGCCGTTGATGCAACGCAACGCAACATACATGACCCGGAAAAGGGAAAAAGAATAAGGAGCCAATGGAGTGGTCAATTTCCCGACTTTCAAAGGATGGGGCCCAAGGCCCAACAACAATAATTGCCTTGTACGGACAACAAGATGGGCCTAATGCTTGGGTTCGGGCTCGTCTTTCGGCGGATATGCGGGATAACATTGCGGGGGTTTTCTTTCTTCTGATTTCATGGGGGAAATCAGGTTGCTATTTCCTAGATGATAGTTTGAAGCTGTTAAATAGCTACTACCTGTGCCATCCTTCGCTGTTCTCTTCTCTTTCCTGTCCCTCTACCCTCTTTCTCTTGCTAGCCTCAACTCCTCGTGTCCCCTTTTCTCTAGAACCATTCGAACCGTAAAAAGCCTACGTTTGATTAACCTCTTCTACCCTCAGCCAAGATGGCGACAAGAACTGCTTCCAATCTCCTCGAGGAGCTATGTCAACGCTCCACACTCGACTGCGACACGATGGACCTAGACTTTGTCAAGGAGTTTACGGCCAAGCGAGGTCCTTTTGCCGACTGCACCTCGAACCAGGTAAAGACTGGACACTCTCTTTGAGATTTATTTTTCTTGTTTTTGCTCGAATTTGTAGCTAAGCAAGCACACTATTCCTAGGCAATTGCCTACTCCGAGGCATCGCGAACGGACTCAAACGGACAATACGTCCACGCGGACCTCATCAAGCAGGCGGCCGAGTATGCCAGGAAGGTCCAGGCCGAATCTGGTTCGGGTGACATTTCTGTCGAGGCGCTAGCCGTCGAGTACTTGGTAAGTGACGCTTCCTTTGATACCCCGTCTTCTCCTCTCCCTGCCAGTGTTTGGAGATTCTAACAAGGGCCTGGATCAGATTGTCAAGTTGTTGCTCCGATTTATCCCCTACCTCACTGGCTATGTTCTGTTTCAAATTGACCCCAAGTATGCCTACGACACGGACAAGATTGTCGCCACTGCTGAGAGTAAGATCCTTTCGAAACACAGCTGTAGTACTTACAAGAAAAAAAAATTGTAGCTCACTCTTCACCAGGAATCCTCGCCATGGTCAAGAAATCCGATCCCGACTTCGACTCCAAGCGACTCTGCTTCAAGATCGTCTCTACGTATCCCGGTCTCGCCGCGGCCAAGATCCTCGAGAGCAAGGGTGTTGCGGCGCTGGGAACTGCTCTGTTTTGTATGGAACAGGCGTCTTTGGCCGGACATATGGGGTGTACTTACATCTCCCCCTATTTCAACGAGCTCAGGGTGCACTTTGACAAAGAGTACGTCGACATACTTTTTCTCTCTTTCTTTTTCAACCTTCTGCTACCCAATGTACTGATATTTCCCCTCAGCTTCCAAGACCAACATAAAGCCACCAGCCTCTGCCGCGACGCAGCAGCCTATTACTCCGCCCACTCCCAGAAAACCAAAGTAAAGGCCGCCAGCTTCGTCTCCGCCGACGAAGTGATGCACCATGCCGGCGTAGACTACATCACCGTCTTCCCGCCCGTCATCAAGGAGCTCTCCGAGACGCCCGTCGCCAACATGCCCGTCGAGGAGGTGGGGAAGTACATGTCCTCCTCGCCCGATGAGACTGCTTGGAAGGGTTACGAGGAGGCTGCCGCGGGTGGAAGGGAGGTTTGGGAGGAAAAGTTTAACGGGAGCGGGGGAGGGGAGAATGCGAGGAAGTTGAGGGAGGCGATTGAGACGTTTTCGGGAGAGCAGAAGAAGTTGGAGGAGTTGGTGAGGAAAGTCGCTGGGTGAGAGGGGGAAGTAATACATATTTTACTAGTAAAGGATAGAGAGGAAATAAAAGAACACGAAACAGAGATTAAAAAAAAAGGTAGTATACGAGTGGTGGTATCAATCTTGAATTCTGTTGTACAGACTATAGCTATAGACGATCTCTAGGTATCATAGCTCGCTGCCGCTGAGAAAAGAGGCAAAACGAAGATACCATTGAAGATCATGCCGCCAAATCAACTCCCATACCTCTTTCGAGAGGCGAACATGAAATGAATCAAAAGACACAACACTCCCGCCCTGCTGGAAACAGTCCCTAATGCGTTATAAACACAAACCCCATTGCACCGCCATATGCTTCGAAAGTAGGAAGCCGATGCATATACCGGCGAGGAGGAAAGTAAGACACTGGGTGATTCAAAGACTTTCGGCGGTAGCATCATGACGAAGGACTTTTTATTACCGCATCGAGAAAAACGCAAAGGAGGGGAAAAAAAGGCCACCGCAGACATCTCTAAAGAGATTTAGACCGTGAAATGTCCCAAGGAAGGGCAAGCCTCGGTCAGACCTCCCTCTACCAGTCGCTCAAGTCGTCTCGATCCTGGTGGTACTGAACCCAATCCAAAGCCGCCTGGATCTGTCGGAGCCGATCGCGGCCCCCCCAGACGAGGATACGGGACAGAGCGAAGATAAAGCGGTAGGTATCCTCGGCGTTCAGGGTATGGTACTTTCTGCAGCGAATCACACGAAACTCGAGTCGCTGCGTAGCGCCAGAAGCACCACCAGCACCACCAGCAGAACCAGCAGAACCAGTACCACCAGCACCACCGTTGTCCTTCGTCTCGCCATCGTCATCGTCAGGGTCATTCGAGATCCAGCCCATATAAAGCTCCACGCGGAACGGCATAATAGCCAGCGCAAACGCCGCATTCTCAACGCGAATGGGGAATTCAGAGTCACGCAGGGTGCTGTCCAGGCCACGGAGGCTGCGAAGCATGCCCGCCAACGTGACGGCGGCGTCGACGTGGCGGGCCAGGGTCGCATCGAGGTCGTACACTTGGAGAGGGACCTGGTAAAATTTAACGGAGAGAAAGGGGAACCGAATGTATGGGGTGGCGAGGGCCGTGTCGACGCCCGAGAGGATGCGAAGTTGGTCGCGAGTAAAGTTTCTGTGGTTGTAGCCGACCAAGACGTGGGTGGAGGGAAGTTGGAGAACGGGGGCGTCGGGAGCGCTGGGGACGAGGATGCGAGGGAGGGCGACGACTTCGTCGGAGAAGGGGTCGGTCGTGCCGAGAGGGTAGTCGGTTGAACGCGTTATTGTGCGAAGAGAACGGAAGATGTTCCAGAATTCCTCCCTGAGGATTTCATCCATCTCAGACCTCACGTATGGGTCGGAAAGACGCATCAAATCGTCGCAGTATTCGCATCCGATAGCCGAAGAGAGACCACCGTAAAGAACGAAGTGAGCGATCTCAAAAGGATCAGCTTCCTCGAACTCCGTTCGGAGGGTGATGCCGTTGGACGAGAGCTCGGCAGGGGTTTTGAAACCTGAAAAGGCACTGAACTGGGAAATATCCTTCTCGCCTCCTTCAAGGAATGCCCAGCTGGAAAACTCCTCACACTCACTTGGAACCTCTTCCTTCATCTGCTCCACAGCGGCGACGGCATCAGAACTACGGTTTCCATCCTACTGGGGAACCTGCAGCGTGGGACCGAGACGCTCGAACGCCTCCGCGATGTTTTGCTCGTAGGTTTCGCGCAACGCTTCAGCTTGTTTCATCTGACGATGGGCATCATTCTCGCCCTCCATTTCCGAGAATGGACCTGGGACGGCGTAGTCCTGAAACAGAAGGTCCCACGATACAAAGGGACTCAAGAGGCTTTGGGGTGGAAAACCCTGCTGAGCTGCTTCGTCCAACGGGGGTTGCTGGCCGGGGAGGTGTTGCTGAGGTTGAACCGTGGTGGTTGCCTCGATGACATCGTTACCGATATTAGGCCAGACGTTGTTCATTCCGGTATCGACTTGATTAGCTCCATCATTGGGGCCAACGACATCACCGCCTTGTCCGTCTTCATTCTGTAGAGAGCGAAAAAAATAAGTGGTCAGCGCGGGCCAAATACAGCGCGCCTCCTCTAAGCGTTTCGCGTCAAGAAGGAATTGAGGAGGGAGAACAACGAGCAAGACTAGAGAGAGGAGGAAAAAAGGAAAAAGGAAACTTACGGTAGGGGTGATGCCCTCCATCGGAGGAATAGTATCGTTCGACGCCATTTTTTTTGGCACAGAAAATGAGAGATTGTGAGTCGAGATGCGAAGGGTTGCCTTTTTCTGCCCTCGCTCGAGAGGATGTGATTGAATTTTTGGTTTGGGAGAAGAAAAAAAGAAAAGGCTTCCTCGAGCTCGAGGGGGGTTTATATAGTTTCCCTTTCTCGTGGATGAGCCATGACAAGAGTCGTAGGTAGCTAATCCCGCGTTGAGCTGAGATTGGGGTGTTGCTGTGGGAGGTGTTTCGTGATGTTGGTTGATTTTCGTGTAAGTTGTATTCCTGAACGTAGATGTGAACTTGGGTATGGATACTTTTAGAGAGATGCTACTCTAAAATAAAGGAGAATAAGAAGAAAATCTTTATAAAGCAAATGAGTATTTCCAAGAAGTAATGAGAATACTAGAAATGCCCTTTATATCTTCATGGTTTTGGTGTAATTTAACAGTCCGGATGTCCTCCGGGCGGTGATCGGAGGAGATCGGAGGAGATGATGGGCCGAGATCAGCATCCAGGCCCGGACATGTCCTTATCATAGCACTCATCATCTCTAGAACTTATAGAAGGCATCTGGAGAGTGCTTTTCACAACTTGAATAGAAATAAATGAAAGAGACTAAATTAGATTGACTTGGTGGATGATTTCTCTTAAAGAGCCTGTCTCTGATCTCTTTGTCCTAGTAGCAGGCCTGGTTTCAATGTCAAGGCCGGGAATCTATGGGGGAATATGCAAACTTCCTCTCCGAAGCTGAAGATGGGTACGTCTATACCTTTTTGGCCTCCAACGCGGCAAGGATTTGAAAGACGCTGACTCAAGATGGACTCGTCAGATGAGGCAAGTGAGAGAACGACTTCAAATACGGCTGGCTGACTGGTGATGAAAAGAGACAGGAAGAGAGAGACGGGGACGGGGACGGGGACAGGGACAGATGTCGCAATCTCACGCGCCACAGAAACATAAATACACGGACTTTGTAGTTTCAGAGCGTGAATCTCTGCTCTGTGGATCCCGCTGGAGTGTTGGAGATTCGAGATGAGATGTGCTGGGCTCTTCTCGTCCATGTCACCAGTCTCGTTGCCAGCACACCGCTTCCTAAACTGACCTCACATCTTAAATATCAAGTCTCCCGGACTACAGAGAACGGTCGGTATTGGATTTCACCTCAAGACTCTCTCTGATGAGCCTTTTAAATGGTGTCTCCAATTCGTTTCTTGAGCATTCATGATGCTATCGCAGTGGATGCGACTTTCTATCCTCGTGGTTAGAATACATTCTCCCACTCCCAAATAGGCAAGAAACCTGGTCAAATCTGGCATGCCAATTCAGACAATTTTCGGTCCCGGTTGCGTCGTTTCCGCTGCCATGTGCAACCCCATACGAGGGTGAACCGAGCGTGGAATGGAACAGCCGCCGAAAACATCCTTCCCCCATGCAATCCAATCTTTGCTCCACGGCCGTGTCGGTCAATTCTTTGGATTATTTGGGAAATTTTCCTTTTCTTTTCCCTTTGGACAGGAGGACGCCCTTCGTTGCCGAGTCCTGGTAAGATGGCAATGACCCGGAAACATCCAATCCCTGGCTTCTGTTTTTATGTTCAGCGTGCAGTCTTCTTTGGAACCTGCTCCTTAACCGGTGCTCCTCTTCAAACAATACTTCCATTCTTTAGCAATTCGCCTCTGGGATTTTGATCCTCTTCTCCAGACTCCATGTGGAATGCTTCCGGATATGGCTCCTGTCGCCCCCCTTCTCCCGTTCTCAGAACAGACAGATGAAAATGGAGGGAAAAAAAAAAGAAAGAAAGAGAGTAAACCTCTTAGAATATTGCCAATTGAGACTAACTCTGGAATGTCCTCGGAATGCGGTTCAGAGGGGGGGAAGAAAGAATATTTGGAAACAAGAGATATCATATATCCTGCCCCAGATGAACCTCAATGTATGTGCCATCATTATTCTTCCCACTCTCTAGGTGCCCTCCAAGGGTTGTCGTTGTCTCTATTCAGATGAATCATACATCTTTAACTTTCTTGTTTCAAAGATCAATAATCGCAGTAACAGTCAAACTATTGTAGGCGATGATAGTCTCTCTTCTGAGAGAGCTCCCACCTTCCAAGTCGTCCTCTTTCACAGATCTTACCTCGAGTTAAAGGGATCCTCCTTGCTTTATTGGAGCCTTTCTTCCCCTTTCCTCCTCCTCAATTACTCGACCGACCCTTCAGCTTCAGAACCACCACCTCCAAAAGACATAGCACCTTTCAACGCCTTCACAATGGCCACCCCGCCTCCCGACCGCCAGGTCGCGGACGGCGAAGCAATCGAAAAAGCAGTCGAAGCGATCCGCCAAAGATGGGACGCAACCGTATCCCACACCTCCTCCACCTGGCAGCGCATCTACACCGAAATCCGCGACAAAGTCAACGACCCCAAGGGATCCCTCGACGACGTCCTGAAAGAATACTTCCTCCCATCGCCGGAGCGCGACCTCCTCCTCCCCGCCACGGCGCCCAAGTACCTCGTCAAGATGCAGGAGGACAACACGCGGCGGTTCATGACTCTCATGGCGACCCGGTTCAGGAACGTCAAGATCGATTTGCCCTTCAAGCTGACCATGGCGTACTTCGGCTTGCCCGTCGAGCCTCTCAACCCGGAGCTGTTCTCGTGCTTGGATGAGGACGTTACGATGGTGGATTGTGCGGGTCTTACGGCGTATGATACGAGGCCACCTTTGCATTTTTTGACGGGCCATGAGACGCGGAATTGGGGTTTGGACCCTTTACACGGTAAAGTCGCGGAGATGATTTTTTTTTTTTTTTTTTTTTTTTTTTTTTTTTTTCTTTTTTTGGCAGGGCCGGAACTAACCCCTGTTTTGTTTCTTTAAAAAAATTGTAGGCAGTGAGGCCGAATACATCTATGCGCCCGTCCCGGAACAATACGTGGTCATCCCGACCGATCGGATCGAAGGGACCGGAGAAGGAGAAAGCACGCCCTTAAAGGGCACACCGAAAATCAAAGTCCCCTTGCTCACTCCCATATCGCCCGATGACGAAGATAAAAGCGCCCGCGGAAGGCTCCGAGGCGGCGCTGGATCCGACACTGAATCTAACCTTTTCTCCGACTCCGACGACGCCAGGGACAAGGACAAGGGCAAGGGCAAGGGCAAGGGCAAGGGTAAGAACAACGACTCCGACAGTGATCAAACAACCGGCATCCTCGTCAAAGGCCGCCACGCAAGGATCCTCGACGCCCCCTTCGCAAAAGACAAAGACATCCAAGCAGCCAGCGCCTCCGGCCCGTGGCTCTGGATGTGCGGCTACCAAGGCGGCTATCCCTTCATCGGCGGCAATGGCGAGTCCCTGGCCGTGGCCATCCGAGCCCTCCTATCCCTCACGGGGAAACAAGCCCAAAAGAACGTCGTCGTCAGCAGGTTCAGCGTCGCCGATAAGCGGTGGATGGAGCACATCGACGTATCCCTCCCCCTGAGAGCCGACAGCAAACTCTACAAGGCCATCACCGCCCACACAATCGCGTACAACCTCCGGGACCACACCGACTGCTGCGCCTGGTTCGTCCGCCTACATACCGATGCCGAACCGCCCGCCCACGCCTTCGAGCCCGGAGTGTTCGACAGTCTGTGGCAGATCGTTGTGCTACAGGCCACGCGCGCTGTCCCCGGAGCTCCCAGGGAGCCTGAGGCGTACTTCGCCCTCAGGCATGACGTGGGTCCCGTCCTCGGGAAGGCGTGCGCCCGGAGCAGCTACGCCCTGTTTATTCGCTCGGCCATGCAGCTTCTGCAGGGCGGGTATCTCTCCCCCGGGGACGGCCACACCGGGGTGGCCGTCTCCGACGGCATCGAAGTCAAGCTAGCTGATGCGATGACCAACTATGGCGGAATTTCAATGCCAGGAAAACTATTTTCGAAGCTGTACAGGCGATCTCTTGGGTCCCCTGGTAACGCTTCGGGCCCTCGCAACGAGTGGCAAGTCCAAATCGACAGCCTACAAGAAAACGAAATCGTTTTCTGGATGCCCGGATACGAGTCCAGGGAGAAAAGGGAGTACGAAGTCCTCAAGGTGGAGGGTGATCGCCCGTACCAAAACGCATGGCGCATCGTCAACCTAGTCCTCGCTAGATACTTCTCCCTCAAAAGGCTCAGGGTCCTCAAGCCCAACGTCGCTTTCTGGAGCGGCTGGCAGGTCTGGAACTCGAGAACGCCCTTCGATCCCGCAAAGGGCCCTGCGTTCCAGGTCCAGGTCGGCGGGCTAGAGAGGAACCCGGACAACGAAGAACTCATCACGCCGGCTTGGGCGCCGGAGATTGAGAAGATGCTCGGCGATGCGCTCCGGAACTCGCGCGAGCGCATCTTCGTCTTGCAGCCCATCTTCAAGAAGTACATTTTGTACGGGTCGTGGAACAAGGAACCGCCCAATGATGAAGGTGGAGAAGAGGATCTGGCGAAGTATCCTTGCGTGGAGATGGAACCGACGGCGTCGATGGAGGACCTTTGGGGGCTCATCGATAAATTGGTCGACAACACGAAGAATCCAGAAGGGGAGCCAAAGACGCCCGAAGATTGGTCCAATATTTGGGTGGAACTCAGAAGCTTGCCCCTTTGGAAGTACCAAATGACCTATGGAAGCGTTGTCATCTCCATGTCGACTACGAATGAAGAATTCGATCTGCTGCGGTTGCATCTGATCGGACCCTACATTAGTGTTACGCTCCATGATAACCCCATTATAGACTATTGTAAGCGGCAAGGCTATCCCCCATATTTCTCCTTTCTTTCTTTTGTTTCGCAATACAATTTGACTCTTTGACACTTACCTGGGCTTACCCTGTCTGTTTAGCCACCACCATTCAACCTCCTGCTACCGAGTGGGGTCAGCGATACGGGCTCATCAGTCTCCTCGGCTGCGGTGACAGGGAAACGGCCGCCGCCGCCATCGCTCCGAAACCACAAGGAGTCGAGGAAAGTGAAGAAGACGCAGGCGCAGACGCAGACGGCGAAGACGAAGGCGACGGGCGGTTCAATACGAAAGGCAGGCCCAAGAGGGGAGCCTTGGACCCGCGAGACTACAGAGAGAGCTTGTGGGCGAGACAACCCAGCTTCTTCGACAGCGGACCCCAGCCCCGAGTCCCCCGCGGAGGAGCCCCCGTTGAGAGCCTCCTTCGCGTCGGCGGTCCCAACGTACCCCAAGTCAGCAGGGCGGTCTTGACGCCGACGGAACAGCGGAAGCTCCAGGAGGCGTTTTACGCCATGCGCAACACGAAGCTCAACCGAATCATCAAGTGCCACTACGACAAGTGCGAGTTCACCTGCCGCGTGGACCACGAGGCCGTCATGAGGAAGCACTTGAAGAAGGAACACGTCGTCGAGAAGTGCCCCTGGTGTACCGTGCTGTTCCCTCCGTACTGGACGCAGGAGAGGCGCGAGAAGCACATTTTCAAAAAGCACGCCTCCCGCGTGACGAAATCGAAAACGGCAGACGCCAAGACCGCCCGCGATAAGGATGGCGATGTCCAGATGCAGACCCAAGAGGACAGGGACAGGGAGGCGCGAGGCCTCGACGCGCACTGGGTCCAGCCCGTAATGCACCCCAAGGAGCCACCCCCCGCGCCGGTCAAGGTCGCCTCGAAATCGGAGACAAAATACGTCTTCTGCGACCGCTGCGGAAGGGAGCACGCCAAGTTCGACCACATCCGCGACCGCATCGTGCACGACGCCATCTGCGTGCCGGGAGCCCGAGCCGTGGGATTGTTCACGTGGTGCGGCGCGTGCGGAGAAAAATCCTGGGACACGGGCGAGGCAGCCAACAAGTTCGGCGAGGGCGATAAATTCCCTCATAGGTGCAAGGTGGATACGGAGATTCAGAAATTCTGCCACAAGTGCGGATTCAGGGGCGACGACCCGACACCCGTCGCCCCCGCAACCGCCGCCTCCGCCGCTCCCGCTACTGGGGGGGACGGGACCGTGGACAACCCCGAGGCCGAACCCAAGAGCTATCTTACGAGACATATCGACGCTTGCCAGGGCTTCAAGGGAAAGCTGGCTGCTGTCTGCCCGTACTGCGGCTATAAAATGTCGGCCATCGTCGACTGGAAGATCAAGCAGACGCACATCGTCGAGTGTGCCAGGCACAACGGCGTGGAGCCCATCGTTACGCCTTTCAACCTGTACCCGGAAAAGTACTACGACAATAAGCCGTCCGGACCCGATCCGGCCCAGGACCGCTTCTACTCGGGATGGAATACCGGCAAAGGCTACGTGCCTCCCGGGCGGGACAAGACGCTTTGGGAACTCGCCGTCGGGACTGTTGACAGGAACAAGCCTGATGCGGGGCCGCGGACGATGAAGAAGTTGCTCGAGGAGATTCAAAGGGAGCAGGGGATTCCGCCGGGGGTGGTACTTACTACGAAACAGCAGTACCAGCTCTTTCAGGACTGGGCCCGAAAGAGCTTTCCGGGGCAGTGGGATCCCACGGACCTTGGGCTACCTGAGGAGAAGAATAGTGCCGGTCGAGGCGGTGGTGACAAAGGCGATGGTGACAAAGGTGATGGTGGCTCAGGCGGTGGTGGTGGTCCGGGGGGTGGAGGTTCGGTAGGCCGAAATCCGGAAGAACCAACGAGTGAGGACGAGGAAGAACGAAGGAGAAAAGAGGAGAAAGAACGAAAGCAACAAGAAGAGGAGGAAAGAGCGTGGGAGAAAAGGGAAGAGGAGCGAAGGGAACGAAGGGAACTCAAAGAAAACATCGAGTCGGTGAGTGACGACGAGCAGGAGAAAGCTGCCAAGCGCATGAGGCGAGAAAAGCACGCAGAAGAACGAGCGAAACGGGTCGAGGCGGAAGACGCCCCGGAAGCGAACGTGGGCCTCAAGCAGTTCAAGTCGCGCTTCAACAGTCTAAATCGGGATTTCGACGAATCCCAAGGATATCCGTGGACGGGCTTTCCGTGGGACAGAGTGATATATGTCGCCGATGACCGCCCGGTGCTATCCTGTCCTCTCGACGCCGAGTGCGGTCCTGTCGACAATCGCAACCGTAGGCTTCACCCCATGCAGGCCTTGATGTCGCATATCCTGGTCCATCACGGAATTGACTACAGAAAGCCTTATGTTCATGAAGCACACACCATCAGACTGGCGACTCTGGATCACGAGGGATGGGAGAGCCCCGAAAACTCGGATGAGGAAGGAAGTGTAGACTCACGGAACGAATTATATGGGTTACGCGTTCGTGAGCAATACTACCGACGCCGCGAGAGGTCGCCGGACTGGAATAAGGTACTGCCTCCACCGCCTGTAGATTGGAAGCCGACTGCGAAGATGCGCTGCACTAGATGTTTGCGCAAGAGAGCAGCAGTTAATGCAAGGGCGGATTACCCAGCAAACGAGACCCAGTTCGGTGTGAGTTGCTTCCTTTCCCCCCCTTTTTTTTTTCTTTTTTCTTTTCTTTTCTTTTCTTTTCCTTTTCTTTCGTTTTCATTTGACCTACCCTACCGTCAACCTAGGTTGCGAGCACTCCTCCTGAGGCAAGACTCAACCGACAATGCTAACTCTGTTCTACCTCTAGTTCCATGGCATCGCCGCTCACCGAAGTTGTGAGACTCGCTATGGACCCGGAGTAAGCGTCTGGGGCGAAATCGGGCTTCCCAATAGAAGCGGTTGGATCGACGAGGCAGAGTTCAGAAGGACTAGGATGACCTTGAAGGAATTGAAAATTCACTTTAAAGAAAAGTATCCAATGTATTCCGGCACGATATACCCGGGGACAGGCACAGGAACGTCCAATAGTTGGGCGTACGACCCAAACAGCGAGGTTTTCTCGACTTATTGGCCCCTAGTTTGGCCGCCGTTTGAAGGCGATGTCCCACAGGATCTTGCGACAGCGCCGATTCTGCATCACGATAATTATGACTACTGGACAGACGTATCTGAGCCGGAGAAGGACGACGACGACAAAGATGGTGACGGTGGAGGAGGCGGGGCAGGGGCTGTGGCCGCAACTATCACGGTCGACGGTATGGATGAGTGCAGCGACCGCTCAACAGAGGTTACTTGTGGTGAAGTTGGCAGTGCAGGCGATGATGTGGGAACGGAAACTGCGAGTAGGAAGCGCAAGAGAATTTCCGATGAGGACGAGTCGGAAGAGACAGGAGACGAGGAGAGTGGAGAAGATGAGAAGATTGAAGGTAGCGACGTAGGAACGGCAGCTGCCGCGATTGATGATGTGGCTACGGAAACTGCAAACAGAAAGCGCAAGAGAACGTTTGTTGAGGCGATGGGCGACAAATGCGGACCGTGGGCGGAGACGGAAAAGGTGTACTCGGAGAATCTTGAGCCAGGCCCGGATGGCGTGCGCCGGGACAACTCGGGTCCGGTGCGGAGGAATCTGGAGAGGCTTGCGTCGCCCCAAAATCCGAGCGGGACAGGCCTTCTCCCAAGAGACTCCATCACCGTCGATCCGGAGTGGAGGCCAGCGAAGAGAGTCAGGTTCGCGACGGAGTTCGCCGAGCCTCCGGCGGCTGAGGATCCAGGTCACGCCGGAACGGCTGAGTCGGATACAGACAGCATGGGTTGCAGCCAACCAACCACGGAGGCGGACTCTGGTGAAGATTGAACCGCGATGAAGATTGGACTTTGGAAGTCAATTGTCATGGCTGGTTTGGTGTTCCTCATGGCTTTGTTGTAGTCTAGATCTCATTTTTAGTGTTTTGCGTGTTTTGCCTTCCTCTTCTCATAATTTACATGGAGTTTACGTGGGACATTTCGAATCTTGCTGATGTCAATGATGGATCCCCCGAGATCGATATTCTTCGTGGTATTTATCAAGGTCGGATTTTGTTGAATGGCTGCCATGCCCAGCAACCCACCCGACCAATCGGATAGAATACCAAGGAGCTGGGTGCAGCGGACATGGAGTCGACCGAATTCCGTTCTCATGGACCGGGGGGCGGCAAGGACTAATAATGCCTGGACGGCGCGGAGAGCGTGCCTCCTCGGGCACTCTCGCACAAGGAAGACGGATTTTAACCAGCGTTGGACTAAAGCAGGGAGTTTAAAGCAAGATGTGTTTCTGCGGGCGTGCTGATTCTACGCGCGATTGTGTCGATGATGTTGGGAGGTTGAGCTCGCTTCGATATCATACCTCAGTAAAAGGTATCGAGGACATACTCCGTGCGTCGTACTTTTTGTTCAAACGGCCAGGGTGTTAGGTCGCTCTTCCCTTCAACCAATTTCACAGGCGCTGCTCCTGCCTAGTTCATGGAGTGTACGGAGTACAGATGTACATTTGTACGAAGTAGTGTATGAAGTAGTGTATGTACTTCATTGTCGTAGTTTACATGCATCGGAGTGGAGGTGATGAAGCACAGAGGAAGCCACTAAACAGTGTTTACTAAACAGCGTTGGCTCCTCGTTGCTGCATTGTCATGTGTCATGTGTCATGTTCTAGGCGAGACCAGGCCTGGCCCTGGAGACATCAATCAATTTAAGCCACCGACCAGGCCTGTTTCAGACATCATCGCGCTCACCGACTAGTACGCGGCAAGTATCGGCTCCCCGGGGCCCGCTGGCCCCAGGTTCCCCGGCTTGTCCAGCCAACAATTCATCACATGTTGATGCACGGCCCGCTCAAGTCAGAATTTATAGGCATTCGGCGACTTCCTTGTCTGTTCGCCGATCAAAATGTACGAGTTGCTGGCATGCATCCCGATACATTTCTGGAGTAATCAGGTCTGTCGACTTGGATGAGCTGCATAACTTATGGAGAGGCAGTATGTCTCACAAGAAGCGGCGCCTTCGAGCGACGATCTGGCCTCATCCAATTCAGGGACTGCTCTTTTTTCATCATAAGCTAGCTCGTTGTGTCTAACTGGAAATAGTCCAGAAGAGGTTTTGTTGGAACAGTACGAAGTATAGTGAGAGTGTACCTGGAAAGTCTAGTTCACTTTGCAATTGAGTGTACCTACCGACACGAGACTAGGTTCCCTTGGATCTGTGTGCGAGGTACTTTGTAATTTGACGAAGTCTCATATTTACGCATGTACCACCCTGCTAGCTACCTACGAAGTACTCTACTTGTTCATGAGCTACAAACTCAGCCTGCAAGTGGCAACTTCGAAGCCGCCTTCCAGAGGTCATCAGTTGGTGTTTCCCAGCTGGTGACTCGAGTCGGACCTGCCCAACTCATTTTCTTTTCTTCCTTTCCCCTTCCTCTTTCCTTAATTCACACGTAGACATACTCAGTACACCTGCGCTTCATTGTTCCAATTGTTTGTCCCTTCTTCGAGTTCAAGTCCATTCCGAGGTCGAGTCAAGCATTTAGTAATCATATCATTCACTGTGTGTGAATCGTGCTTGCTTGCTTTTTGAAAATGGTGGATCTGTTCTCCGGGTAGCGCATCTCACTTCTTTCGCGCTTCATAACTCTTATCTCACCTTCGTGTTCACGATGTACTTGGTACCTCTACTTCTGCCCTCAGCTGCCACCTCATCTCCTTGCCGAACACATCCTTGACTTATTAGACACCCGCGACGAGAGTACCGACTACCTCCTCCGCCTCGTGATCACAACGGGGCATCGCGAAGACTCAACGGATTCCTCACCTATGAACCGTGCCCTATTTCGAAGCTTGCGACTGACTGCAGCTAATCAATGCATGCATTGTCGTGTAACTCGCCTCTCTTATTGGATGACAGGGATTGGAGAAAGAGCTGTACCTACCGAGACGGTCTAGCTTCACCCCGACATCATAATCTCTTCTCTCGCTCTCTCTCGCTCTCTGTCTCTCTCCTCCTCCTCCCCCAAATATCATAGATTTTCAAATTTTCGACCAAAATCGCATTATTGATAGTCAAAGCGGAGTGATGACGCCGGTGCTTAACAGAGCCTCCGTGCTTCTGTCTCAGCTGGCCGGCGCTGGCGCCCGCTCTGCTGGTGTCCATGCCCGGAAGAGTTGTTGGACTTCAGTCCAAAAGAGTATTGTTCCGAAACCAACATACTTCTCCCACTCAACGAGGAATGCCTCAACGACCTCAGCATTCCCCCCGCCATCTCCCAAACCGCGGCGCGTACCTAATGGCAGGGCCAGAGCGACGCTACTAGCTTCGGGTTGTGTTCTCGCCGCAGTTTTAACTTACACGTACCTGTCCGGTCCTCTTCGCGCCGATGCCGCATTCGCCCATCCTCCTCTCGCCATAGGAGCCGATTCCGACGGCCGAGACCCAAGCCTGCCACGATTTCGCATCTCTGAGGTCAGAAAACACGGCGCCAAGTCCGATCGTCCCTGGGTGACGTACGGCGACAAAGTCTACGACATCACCGACTGGATTCCTGCTCACCCGGGCGGTGAGGTCATTCTGCGGGCCGCTGGAGGCAGCATTGACACGTTCTGGGACATCTTCGCCATCCATAAGCAGCCTTATGTTCGGGAGATACTCGAAACCTACCTCATCGGTTATGTCGACAGCGCCGATCTCGTCAATGGTAAGCTTCCTCAGGAGCAGGTCGAGGACCCCTTTGTACATGATCCCGAACGCCACCCCGCCTTCATCACCTTGACTCAGAAACCCCGTAACGCCGAGACACCTCCCGACGTTCTAGCTGCGACTTTCATCACTCCCAATGACCTTTTCTACGTCCGGAATCACATGTGGGTGCCGAAGATCGAAGGCACCGGCGCTGACCACAGGATCACCATCGAGTTGCCGGACGGTAACACCAAATGCTACACACTACAGGAGCTGAGGGAAAAGTTTCCGGCCTACAAGGTCACCGCCGTGCTGCAATGCTCGGGCAATCGTCGAAAGCACATGACCAACGCAGGTCTCAAGACCAACGGCCTTCAGTGGAACGTCGGAGGCATCTCGTGTGCGGAGTGGGAAGGAGTGCGGCTGGCCGATGTGTTGAAGGACGCAGGCTTCCCGGTTCACGAGGCGCGAGAGGGAGTCGATACGGGAGCCAAGCACGTGTGGTTTTCCGGCCTGGAAGCGTACGGGGCGTCGATACCCCTGGAGACTGCCGTCGATCCCCGCGCCGATGTGCTTCTCGCCTACGGCATGAATGGTCAACCCTTGCCGAGGGATCACGGGTTTCCGCTCCGCGCTCTGGTCCCCGGCACAGTTGCTGCACGGTCAGTGAAATGGCTCAGCAAGATTGTGCTCTCGGACGAGGAGAGCCCTTCGCAATGGCAGAGGCGAGATTACAAGCTGTTCGGACCAAATGTAGGGGCCGCCGCCGACTGGGACAGCGCGCCTGCGATTCAGGAGATGCCGATAACGAGCGCCATCACGTCGATCAAGGTCGCAAAGGAAGACGAGGATAAGAAAGACGAGACGAAGGCGGACAAGGCAGTGCAACCGGAAAAGGCGGCCACCCTTCAAGGATATGCGTTCTCAGGCGGCGGGCGAAAGATCGTGCGCGTCGACGTATCCCTCGACAACGGCAAGACGTGGGACCAGGCCGAACTCCTCGACGACTGCGACCCGAAAGACGGAGGCGACGACTCGCCCTGCAAGGGGCGGAAGCACTGGGTGTGGCAGAGGTGGAAATACAACGGCCAGCTGCCCATGGACGAGCAGCGCGGGGAGAAGCGGTGCTCGACGGTGGTGGTCAAGGCGACGGATGAAGTGTATAATTCTCAGCCGGAGCACCATCAGGGGATTTACAACTTGAGGGGGAATCTGGCGACTGCTTGGCATCGGGTGTCGGTGTGCAGTGATTGTGTGAAAAAATGAGCGTGGTGTTTTTGGCGTTTTATTATTCTGATTTTTGGGTGTGCGTATAAACTCTGGCGATGAAGACGCCCATGAGGCATTTTGGGGTTTTGGTGATTTTTTATTTCTCCTTTGTTTACCTCAGGTTTGTCCCGGCCGGCACTTAGAGAAGCGAAGGACTGGATAGAAGGAGGGGATTATAGGCTCGAAACAAGTCCGAGGAGATAGGATATTGTATACAACAAGACGCAAAGCGCATTAATATGTTCTATTTGAGCAGCACACTCTTGTTTCATGCGAGCTCTTAAAGATCATGTGCTTGGCCTCAGGCATTGAATGGCACAATCGTAAACAAGAGAATCGAGAAGAGAAGGAAAAAAATAGAGTCTTCGGTAGAATCGACTCCATTCCTGAATCGTATGTACGTATGGATCAATGGTATCAAGAAGAAAGCATTGATGCAACATTATGAAATAAACCACAGGAACGCAAACCCTCCCCGTCCCAGACGAAATATTAAAAGGATAGCGAAAACGAATCCCAATCTTCGCGGCAACCAAAATGATAAAAAACAAACTGTAAGAAAAGCAAGGTCTTGAGATAGACTCGCACTCATGGATGGGCACAAAGAGAAAAGTCCGAACAAAACGGGTTTGCAAAAAAAACACTATCCATTCCGGTAACTCTCCTTTTCTTTTGTCATCTCGATCAGGGGGAGTCAGTTAATAAAATAAAAAAAAATAGAAAAATAATGTACATATTTCTTTTTCACACAAAAGTTTCCCAATCCTTTCCATCCTCTCCCAAAAAAGGGACAAAAGAAAAGAAAAAAAAAACGCAGAAAAAGAGCGAAAACGCGAAGAAAAAGTAGAATCGGGAATTGAGATGGATATAAATGTGAGGGGGCCTGTTTATCTGGCAACAAACTCGTTCGTCTTGCGAGATAAGAGGCGGATGTTGTCGACGAAGGACTCGATGAGCTCTGGGAACTTGTGCGGTTCGTGGTTCATGAGGCGTCGGCCTTGGTCGATGAGCGTGGAGGGGTTGAGCTCGATTTCGAGCTCGTGTTCTTTGCCGGCACGGGGCGCGCCCTGGGTATTCCGAGTTAGCAATTGCTTAAGAGGGTAAAAAAGGGTAGGAAAAAGATCGAAAAGAGAAAACGTACCCCAGGTCCAGACATGGACGTCGTCACCTGCGTCAAATCAACCTGTATGCTCCCCTGCGCGTAACTCAACCGATCCTTCTGCCTCGGCGGCATATTCGCTCTATCCCCCGCACCACCACCCGTCTGCTCCAGCTCCTCAATAGGACCAGGCCAATTCATCTCGAGATTAACGCTAATGCGACAATCGAGCGGCGAATTTGGCATGTGGATGCTGAGGTCCGCGACGCGCACCTTCACGATCTTGGCAAGGACTTGGCGGCTCCGCTGGTCGTAGGTGACGCGGGCCTTGGGCACGTGGCGCGGGCGCATGAGGTTGCGAACGCAAGGGGGTAGGGTGTCGCGGAGCTGGGGCGGGAGCTCGAAGTAGCGGTCTTCTTCGCGGCGGTGCTTGTAGTGGACTTGGACGCGGGGAACGGGGGAGGTGGGGTTGGGGTTGCGGGGATCTGTTTCGATGACCATGCGGTTGAGGTATTCGTTGAGTCCTTTGTGCTGGGCCTAGAATGTCGGAGTTAGTCTGTCTGGCCTCGAATAAAGAGCATTAGGGCAGAAGGGGGGGGGAGGAAAGGTTGCAAAAATCAAGTGTAACAAAGGCAAATGCATACCTCAGTCATACTACTGCGAAACGCAAACTGGCCCCTATCCCTAAGCAGACACTCCGAGCCAACGGGGTACGCCACGCGATCATTCGTGTCCTTGTCGATAACGGTTCCCAGCTTCGCCTCAATCTCAAAGGCAATGCCTAATCGGGCTATTTCGACGGCATCCGGGCTATTGATGACGTTGAGGAAGAGGAAATCCGCAACCGCCTTGTTGAGTTCATCAAGCGGCTTGACATTTGCAATAGTCGGCTCCCATGGACCTAAGATGGCAGTGATCTCCGCATTGGGGTCTATGGCGGCGGGTGTCGGGCCTCCCGCGGCTTGTGGTGGAGGAGGAGCCGGCTGCTGTTGGCCGCCCTGGGGTCGAGTCACCTCGGGGGAAGTGTTTCGACTTTTGCGTTCTGGTCGGAAGCTTGCCGCTCGACCGTTAACTGACGAGGTGGAGGCATTGGCTAGGTGCCTCTTCTTAGGGAATTCAAAGTTGGCGCGCTTGAGTTTAATACTGGGGTTCCTCGCCGACTGGGCCCAGATGGGCGGCTCGGTGTAAATCTTCGGCTTAGGTTTCCGCTTCTTCTTCTCCAGCTCGGGAGACAACGAGGGTCGGCGGGGTGGTGGTCCTGGCGTAGGTGCTGGGGCGGCAGCCATCGTAGAATTCGCTCGAGGCAGAGGTGGTTGTTGTTGGCGGGGAGTGATGGGGGCAGCCTTGCCGTTAACAATGGACCCCTGGCGTTGGCGTACGTCTCTCCGGTCCGAATCGTCATCGGTGTCCCGATCGTCCATCTTGCGCTTGGCGGGCGTCATGGCTCGATCCGTTCTCGCCGGGGCAACCACCGCTGCTTGTCGTTGAGAACTGGCGGCGTTATTGTGGATATCGGCAGCCGGCGAAGGTGTTATTCCGTGGGGGTGGGTAGAATTGTTAGGTAGCTTGTGAACGTGGGTCTTGGGGCTAACGCTGATGCTCCTGCCACGATCACTCGTCGTTTGAGAGGTCCGGCGTAGCTCGCTGGCCTGCTGGATGGGGGACGTATGGGCACTAGGAATGCGATTGGCGACGCCCGCACCCGCCGGTATGGATGTCGGGAGCGGTAGTGGGGAACCGTGGGGCTGGGGTTGAGGTTGATGCCGTTGTTGTGGTAGTTGCTGGGGTGGAGGTGGTGGGTGTGCGTGTTGCTGCTGCTGTTGAATGCCAGGACCGGCGGACGACAACCGGCGTAGGTGAGGGCTTGTCGGATGGCCGAAAATTGGAGATATGTCCGATGATTGGCGGGAAGGTGGAGGTATGGGTGGGCCTGAAGGGACAGGGGGTTGAGACTGCTGTCTATTGAAGGAAATTGGCGGTCGATTGGTCGCGACTGGGCTTCTTTGTTGAGGTTGCTGGGGCGGTGGGGGCGGTTGCTGGTGGAAGGAGGCACCATAAGGCGCGTGCTGGCTCTGTGAAGAGGTCGGCGTGGACATGTTTGTTAACGAATGCGTCGATTGAGATCTCTGGTGAGGATACGCGGAAGGAGCGCCTGGCGTCGAAGGTGTCTGGAGTACTGGCGACTGCTGCTGGCGGTAGGGGCCACCTGGACCATGGGGGCCTCCAGGAACGCCAGCAGTGGCAGGTCCGCCAGGCTGATAAGGGCCGTCACGAGGAGGATACGCGTTGGGAGGGTATTGGTGCTGCTGGATGGGGCTCCTCATCTCGGTGGGCGTGTGTTGCCCCGGAAAGTAGCTGCCTCCGGCCCCAGGAGGCGGCGGGCCTGCTGCGAGGGGCGTGGATGAAGCGCGGTTATAGGCGTTTGGCGGCGCGGCCATCGGCGTTGACACTGGAGATTGCACAGCCGGATATCCTTGTTCCTGAAGCCCTTGCGGAGGTCCTGGACGAGGCGGATACGGCGCAGGAGACTGGTAGGGCGACTGGGCGGGATACGGCATCGACTGCTGCCTTTGAGGGGGATGAGGGTAGTCCGGGTGCTTCGCCGGCGATTGGTGCGGGTGTGGGTAATCATACTGAAAGTGCGGCTTCTGCTGAGATGGCGTGGAAGGAGGCTGCGCTATCTGTTGATACTGAGGAGGCGGAGGATGAGGCGGCTGTTGCTGAAGCTGGGCCTGGGGCGGACGTTGGGGCGGTTGCTGTTTCGGTGTCGAAGCCGCCGCGTTCGGGCGATCGCCCGAGTCTGACGTGTTTAATATGCCTCGGAGATCCATTGTGATGTAGTTTGGGACTTTCGAATCTGTCCCATGTCATCTCTCTTCCACGAGATCAATGGCTTGTCCTAGTTGGTGACGGGTAGAGGCGGCAAGTGCGAGATGATCCTCGTGCTCCCAAGAAAAATCAAAAAAATCAAAAAAGGTTCCCCAAAAAAATTCCGACTTAATGGTGACGCGCGGTGTTGCTTTGCAGCATGTATAAAATCTATTCTTCTTTCTTGCGATTAAATTCGAATCGCCTGCTTTCGAACAATTAAGAATTGGTCAAGCTATCAATCGGATAAAGGCGTCCGTCTCGAGGGTTGCGCGGGAAATCGAAGCGACTCGCTGGCGACGGAAGCACAAAAAAAAAAAAAAAGGTCGTGGGTAGAACGGAAGCTACACGGAGCGACGAAATCATGCGAAGAAACTCGATAATCATTGACTTGGCATCGGCGTCTCGAAGCAATCGAAGGAGATGATTGAAATATTAATATTTGGCAAACTGAAGCCTGTTCTTGCGCAGCAAACGGCGAGAGGTCGAGGTCATGACGCGGCTCGAGTCTAGAGCATTATCATCATCAGTTGGGGGGGTGGGAGAGACCAGTTGTTGGCCCACGACCCGTTGCGACGCACGGGGTCAAGGCTGCCGTGTCGAAGGCTGAACGAGGGTCCGTCCTGTTGATGGCGACGCGACAGCACGGCGATGGAAATTGGCGACGACGGCTTCAACGACAGGACGATGAACGGCAATCAAGGGCGATGCGGTTGGGACGAGAGATGTTCTGTCTGGCGGCGAACGGGGCGGGAGTTGGGAGCTGGTTTTCAGGGAGGAATGTTGCAACCTGTTCGCAGCGCATGGAGGAAATGTACGGAGGAGCTGCGTGGATGCTTGTGCGTTTGTGTGCGTGCGGTGCGCGCTGCTTTAGCTTCTAGCACTGGTGCTCAGGAAGACATCTGGCATGACTGCAAACGAAGATCCGATCGGGAAATGAAGGCTGCTGAGGTGACTTTTAGGGGGTATCAACGTTGTTTGTTGTTGGTTCGCATCCAAATGAAGTTGTGGCTTCGATCAGCAGCGTCGCAATAATGGAAACTTGGCAAGTCTTGAGAGACTCTTTTTTTAATTCTTTTTTTTTTTTTTTTTTCCTTTTCCTTTTTCCTTTTTTGCCGCTGGCGTCAATCTTCAATTTTCAATCGGATTTTTTTCGTGGTATTATTTATTTTCGACGGCACAGTATGAACAACCACAAGAGTCCGTCGCATGCACTGAGAAGAGACAGAGTGGAGGTTATCAGTCGGAAAAGCTCATCAGACCTGGCTGGCGATTCTGTGCTTCCACAAGCAAGTTACGTGTTTAGATACTTTATTTTGAATAAATATGTTAGTAATATCTCCGAAGATACCTCTCCACGGTTCGTCGACACTGTATGAAACACGTTCTTCTTCAGTCTTCCCCATAGATGTGTTCAAACAGACAATCCCTGCTCAGCAGATCAACGGGTGAGTTTCTTCACACGCGACGAGGCTGAGCTGTCGGAGGAGACAGACGGCTAATATTTTGCTTGGCCTACCAGAAGCCCAGTCTTGTTGTGGGATGGAAATAGAAAAGAGCAGGAGAAGCGCAGAGGGAGTATACTTGCAAATGTGTCTTTATCTGCTGCTCCCTCAGTATGACAATTGGACCTGCCAAGTATAGAGCGTGGACATGGTTCAAACTGGTCATTGGTGTCCTTCCACAACTCCTACCATACATCCCGAATTTTGATGTTGGAGAGAATCAATTGCCTCTGGGCTCTCCTGTTTGATATGTCATTCATTGATGGCTGTACCTCCTGCCTTTGCTGCCTTTTGAGTGCCCAATTGATGAAACGTAATGTGTTTGTTGGCTGCCGTTTGCGGCTGTCTTCAGCTGCAGTCCCGTTTTGCTTTCGAGCCTCTTGGAGCTGTTTGAATTAGTCATACAATTTCTGATCAAGCTGTCGGCCCGAACTTGATCCGGAAAAGCTTTGGCCATCTGGCACCCAAGCAGCCGCACGCAACGCTGCATGCAGCAGGCGCGAGAAGGCAAAATTCCAGGCAAGCTGTTCCTGACGTGGACTCCCTCGGACTCAGCTCAGAGATTGCCTTCCACTTCCACCTCGTTCTCCATCTCCACCCGATTGACTCCCTTTCATCCTCCCATCATCCTCACGACGAGTTTATCTCGCCTTTTCTTCATTTCTGCCAATTCCGAAATTATACTCGGCCGCCTTTGTCGGGCTAAATTTAATTTCCTTCAAATTCCAAACATTACCTGCGACCTGGCAGCGACGTCTCCTCAAGCTTTCGCAGCCCATCGAGCCGAGTACCAACAACACCAACAACACCGTCAAAAGACAGGCAGCGACCCATCATTTCGACCTCTACCGATTCGATAAACATATCAATATACCTATACTCCAACATCTTAGCACGTCTCACAATGCCGGGCCTCATATCCGCCACGGGCGTGCTTGCATTCCTCGCTGACGAGGAGCCCGAACTCAAGGTCTACGCCCTTCAGACCCTCAACGACGATGTAGATACCGTCTGGACGGAGGTTGCTGGATCCCTAAGTGAAATGTACGTTGAGAATAAAAATGACTCGTTCTTCCCTTTGGGTTGATATCATGCAACAAGGCACCTGCAATGCCTTGTCACCCAGTTTTGCAGAGATGACCATTTATGGTCATCTTTTTGGCTCGATCAAGTTCTAACCATCATCTCTCTAGTGAGGCGCTTTACGAAGACGAGTCCTTTCCCGAACGCCAACTCGCCGCTCTCGTCCTCTCCAAAGTCTACTATCATCTCCAGGCCTACAACGACAGCATGACCTTTGCCCTTGCCGCCGGCGACCTCTTCAAGCTCGACGCTCCCGGCGAGTTCGAGGAGACCATCATTTCCAAGTGCATCGACCAGTACATCGCCGTTAATGCCACCGAACATGTTCCCAAGGCCTCCCGCGTTGACACCAGCCTGCCCATCCTCGCCGATACCTTTACCACTGGTGCTGATGGTTCCTCGCTCATCTCTCCCACTACCCCCTTTTCTCAGACCACACTTCCGCCCAGATCTCTGCTCTCTAGGGCTTCCGTCGACAATGCCATACTCGACCCCTCTTTCCAACCAATCGGAAAGATCGGCCGACATGGTTCCATTGCCTACCTGCCCGATCGGACCACAAGAGCAGCTCTCGAGGCAGTGATAGAACGCCTGTTTAGCAATTGCCTCAAGCAAAAGAAGTACCGTCAGGTCGTGGGAATCGCTGTCGAGGCCAAGAAGCTCGACGTGCTCCAGCGCGTCATCAAGCGTGCCAAGGACGATGCGAGCGGTGATTCCGCGACATCTGCCGAGGAGCTCATGGACTACGCGCTCAGCATCTGCTTGGATATTGTTCAAGAGAGGGGCTGGCGCACCGAGATCCTCCGTCTCATCCTCGAGCTTCTCAACGACATTCCCAACCCCGACTACTTTGCCATTGCAAAGTGCGTCGTGTACCTCGATGCGGACCAAGAGGCATCAACGTTGCTGCGGAAGCTCGTCGACCAGGGCGAGCAGGCGTCCATCACCAATGCATACCAGATCGCCTTTGATCTCTACGACAACAGCACCCAAGAGTTCCTTGGCAAGGTCATGAAGTCCCTCCCTAGCGGCGAGGTAAAACCCAAGCCTCACCAGGCTACCGTAGCCGACGAAGCTGCCGAGAACGAGCCCCTTCTCGCCGACGGAGCCCAGGACAGTAGCGCGGCGGACGATACCGAAGATCTTCCCGAGGACGTTGCTAAGGTGTACAAGAATATCCGTTCCATCCTCACCGGCAGCAAGACGATCCAGCTCAACCTCGAATTCCTCTACCGAAACAACCACACGGACCTCAGCATTCTCAACAAGGTCCGCGACAGCCTCGAAGGCCGCAACTCCATCTTCCATACCGCCCTTACTTTCTGCAATGCTTTCATGAACCAAGGAACGACGAACGACAAGTTCTTCCGCGACAACCTCGACTGGCTCGGCAAGGCCGTCAACTGGTCCAAGTTCACCGCTACGGCCGCTCTTGGTGTGATCCACCGTGGTAACCTGAGCCAAGCCAGGAAGCTTCTAGAGCCGTATCTGCCTCGCGAGGGTGGCCCCAACGGTGGTTCCATCTATAGCCGGGGCGGCGCGCTCTACGCCTATGGCTTGATTCACGCCAACCACGGTGCCGGTGCTCTCGAGTACCTCAAGACCAAGTTCGTCCAGGCCGACGAGGAGGTTATCCAGCACGGCGGCGCCCTCGGTCTTGGTATCGCAGGTATGGCGACGGGCTCGGAGGAGATTTTCGACAACCTCAAGGAGGTCTTGTTCGCCGACTCGGCGCTCAACGGCGAGGCCGTCGGTCTCTCCATGGGTCTCATCATGTTAGGCACCGGCAACGCGACTGCCATCCAAACCATGCTCCGCTATGCCCGTGACACGAGCCACGAGAAGATTGTGCGCGGTATCGCCATCGGCATGGCGCTGATCATGTACGGTCGACAGGAAGGGGCCGACGTTATGATCGAAGGCCTCCTCAACGACCCGGACCCGACGCTGCGCTATGGTGGTATCATGACCGTTGCCCTTGCCTACTGTGGTACTGGCAGCAACAAGGCCGTCCGCAAGCTGCTTCACGTTGCCGTTAGCGACGTGAGCGACGATGTACGACGTATCGCCGTCATGAGTCTGGGCTTCATCCTCTTCAGGAAGCCTGGAAGCGTGCCGCGCATGGTCGAGCTCCTCTCAGAATCGTACAATCCTCATGTGCGATACGGTTCCGCCATGGCTCTCGGTATCTCGTGCGCCGGTACCGGCCTCGACGAGGCCGTTGACCTCCTCGAGCCCATGATGAAGGACCCCACCGACTTCGTCAGGCAAGGTGCGCTCATTGCTCTGTCCATGATCATGGTGCAGCAGAACGAGGCGATGAACCCCAAGGTTGGCGAGATTCGAAAGACGCTGAAGAAGGTGGTCGGAGACCGACACGAGGACGCCATGACCAAGTTTGGCGCTGCTCTTGCTCTTGGCATCATTGACGCCGGTGGCCGCAACTGCACCATTGGTCTCCAGACGCAGACGGGCAACCTCAACATGGCGGGTATCGTGGGCATGGCCGTGTTCACGCAGTACTGGTACTGGTTCCCGTTCACTCACTTCTTGTCGCTGAGCTTCTCGCCCACGTCCATCATCGGCCTTGACGGCGACCTCGAGATCCCGGATACCAAGTTCCACTGCGCCACGCGACCCAGCCTCTTCGACTATCCTCCTGAGCAGGAGGCGAAGGCCGAGGAAGGACCCGCTCTCATTGCCACGGCTATTCTCTCGACCACGGCGCACGCCAAGAGGCGAGCCCAGAGGAAGGAGAGGGCGTTGAGGCGCGAGAGCATGGATCTGGATGTTCCAGCTGTCAAGCCTAGCGGCGGCGCCGTTGGTGCGGAGGACAAGATGGACGTCGACGAGGACAAGGAAAAGAAGGAAGACAAGGAGAAGAAGGACAAGGAAGATGCCAAGGACGAGAAGAAGGAGGGCGAGTCGGCGGCGCCCGATGCGAAGAAGAAGGCCGAGAAGGAGAAGGTGGGCTATGACATTGACAACATGTCGCGGGTGCTTCCCGGGCAGCTCAAATACATCAGCTTCCCGTCTGGCAGGTATAAGCCCGTTAAGAAGGTATGTCGTTTTGTCCCAAGTTTTTACTTTGTTTTCCCCTGTCCAGTTAAAACTCAATTTACTAACTGATGTTCTTTTCCTTAGCCTACCGGTGGACCTATCCTCCTCCACGATACCCGCTCCGGCGAAGAAAAGACTCTTGTGGAGGAGAAGTTGAAGAAGGTCACGACGGAGCGTGCTCCCGTTGCCCCTGCTGGTGGCGCTGGCCGCAGAGAACGCGGTGGCCTCACATCGACCAACCCGTTCATCGACGCCTTGCAGCGACAGGCCGGCGGCGATTTGACCCTCAGCGAACTCAGCAACCTCTTCCGGCCGGCTCGGGAAACGCCCGGAGCCGGTGCATCGACAACCGCTCCCGAAACCCCCGCTCCCGCGGGCGGCGCTGCCGCTGCGGCAGGTGTGTTGACTGCTGTGGATGAGGATGCCGAAGGAGAAGAGGAGGCTACGGTCCCCAAGGAGTTTGACTACTACACCGATGATGAGGAGTAGTAGGTTGAACTGGGAGCTTGGGCTGTGTCTGGTTTTGCATTTCCGTCTACAGCACTGGGGGGTCAAAGCTCGGCATCTCGCGATGCAGGAGCGGAGTAACTTGCATGTCTGGTCGTGGGCGCAGCCGTACCTTTTTTTCCTGCTGCCTTTTTGTTTTTCTTTCCTTTTTTCCCCTTGTGTCTTCTCGCATTGGGGAAGGCATATATGTACAATAGCTGTATTGTATTGGTGGTTCGGAAGCAGAATATACTTTCGCCGTTTGAACAAGTATTTGCGATTCAAGATTCCAAATCTATCGAGTGAGGCCAATAGCTGTATGTGTGACTCGAATATTTTCTTTTCTCAATTCGTCGGGTTATCGCATCCACCGGAATCTAGCGACGCCTTCGACTTTTCAATCCAAGCGTGGTCATGCCTACATGAGGGTAAACTGATATTGTAGTCGGTAAAGCTCATGTCAACTGTAGAGCCCACAGAGGACATAGCCCATTTCAGTTGTGCTGGAAACTCCATTTTGGCCCAGCATCAATGGACATTGAAGCCTGGCACAAATTCCAATTACTCGGCACAGCACAGCAACTCTTAAGCTCATCCATGCTCGTCAGTTCTCCGCCCATCCACTCCACACCGAAGCAGCTTGGAGTCTTCTCGATTCCATCATTGTAATTTCTACTAAACCACTTTCAAACTGCTTACGTGACGTCAGTGGGGCGGCCGCTGCTCCGGGTGCGTTCCGGGTGCGTTCCGGGTCAGCTCCGGATCCACTCCAGGCCCTTTCCGGTGGCACTCTACGGTGGCATTCTTTATAAGGGAAGAGCTTAATACCATCCACCTTCCGACCATGATAGTCGGGCTTATTATTGCCGGCCGGGTTTGCGAGGATATTGCATCCGGCTCACTGATCTAGTTTAAAAGCTGCATCACAGTAATCGTTTGTAATGGCTCCCATGTCTTCTCGGACGGTCGTTGGTGTCGTTTGCGGCAATCGTCTTTTGTGATGGGCAATTATTTTCTTCCCATTATTCGCGGCTGGCGGCCGTTCTTCGCTTACCGTGCCTTTTACTCCTTGGGGGGCTCCTAAACGGACCGACCCGTGATCCCGCGACACCTCCGTTGTATGGACTTCAACCTCTGCCCACTTGGTACTAGCATCCGTTTCTCGAGTCGTGCGGAGTAGCGATATTACACAAGTACCTCATACGTGTTATTTATATCTATATCGGCCGATAATTTACCCATCGCGATGGCAGGAATTCCATGATCTAACATTCCAACCTTCCGATACGACTGTCAGGATTTCTCGGCCCCCACAGGAAGCGGACCGCACCTAAGCCACACGCAACCTTGTGTTGGAAGTTCGCCAGCGTGCAGCGTGCATCGGGGCGGCTTAGATGAGTGATCACCAACCAACACCTCAAGCATTGTATGGCCCGGCCAACACCAACAGCCAATACAACATAAACAGACCCCTCCCTGTCCCGAACCATCTATTTTCACCAGCCGCATCTATGGTGTGATATTTTGCTCCCCGGATGCTGCTCCGTCTATAAATAACACAGCGTTGCTCTTCCTCTTTCTCTTCCCATCTTCACCGTTCCGCCCCCATAGATCCTTACCAAGGAAACCGCGCAATGTTGAAACGCTTCATCGCTTGGCTCTTCTGCAAACTCGGGCCAACTAAGCCTTCCAGCAGGAATAAACCAATTCGGCCCCCTCACCAACCTACCAACCAGACAGGTCCGAGGTCGACCAGTGCCAGTGCAGATACAAACCAAACGAGGGATCCTCGCCCTATCGGCCCGAGCCAACCATCCAACAACACATGCCCGGAGGCTCACGCCGGCGACACAGATGCAGGTCTAATAGACGATACCCACTCCATCGACTCGGAGAGGACAGCTGGCGACGCAGACGCAGCTCTGATAGATGATGCCCACTCTATAGACTCGCAGAGGACAGCTGTGTCCGTCCGGCGAAGATGGTCTGTCTGGCCTCAGAACGAGGATCGTGAATACACGGATTACATCTACAATAGACTCTTAGCCGTCTGCGGCGCGAGGTATATAAATCCATGTGGTAGGGTGAGGGTACTCTTTTGGGATGTTGATGTCACAGACTACGAAGCCCTTCAGCTCCGGGAAATGGAGGCGGAGGAAGTAAGTGAACCTAGAATTCTATTTCAAATTTAGAAACTAACCAAGATGCAGGATATTAGTGTTTGGGAGCCGATAGACAACCCCGTTGACCCAACAGAAAATTGCTAGATGTTAGTTCTGTTCGATCTCGATGTATGATTCTGTTAATAGGGACTAATACTCTATATATGGAAGTGTGGTTGGCTTAAGTGGGCACAAGTGGCTTGGAAAATGGTCAGATGAGTCGCCGTGATGTATACACAACATTGTAGCAAGGGGAGGAGGATTGGGGGCGGGAAATCAACCCGATCAACCCCGAGGGGGGCTAACATGTTCAACCAACACGAGAGATATGCAATAACACTAGAGGTTGGTTCTGTTCGATCTCAATATACGATTCTGTTACCATGAGCCCATGTGTATACGAATTCGTAGCGGGGAGGGAGGTATTGGGGGCAGGAAATCGGCCTCGAGGGGGCCAAGATGGACCAACACGAGATACACTGAAATGCTACGAGGCGTTGGTTCTGTTCGATCTCGATATATGATTCTGTTGTCATGGGCCGATGCTCTCTAAATATGGAAATGCAGCGGGCTTCAGTCAGTAGGCATAGCTCGCAAAGATGAGTTGGTCGAGGGAGTCTTGACGATGGATGGATCCCAGAGCAGGATACATTTAAAGACCACAGATCCCCGAGCTACGAGCTATCTCGTGCCCATTATCCCCAGAGATCCAACTGTATACATCATTCGATCTTCTGATATATTTTACACTTTATCTAGTACTTGATCTCTTCACTAGCTTTCATGCGTCTCTATCGTACCAACACGATAGCCGTGTTCGGGCTACTGTTGTTCCTGATAGCCAGTCTGGCAAGCGCACAGCAGTGCCAGGGGGACCAGTACTGGTGTCAGGACCGGTGCGGAACTGACGTGGATACGTGCTGCGAGACGCCAGACGGGCAGCACAACCTATGTGGTCCAGGTTTGTCTTGAAAATTAGAGAAATGTTTGAAATGAATGAGCAACTAATGCATAGTGCGTTCATAGGAACTATATGCTGCGGCTTCGGATGCTGCCCTGATAGTTCCTTCACTTGTAATGCGGACTTTAGCTGTACCGGGCCTGATGGAGAGGCAATCCCACCCGCTCCCAATCCGCATCTTCCAACTTCCGGGCTGTCTAGTATAGCTAGCCTGAACCCTCCACCTTCAAGCCTCGTTGACTCAGGACCGCCGGTACCTTCGCCTTCAGACCCATCGCATGTCGGGGAGCCCGATACTGTCATCACCACACTTACATCTGGCACGGACACTCTAGTTACGGCCATTCCAGGGCCCAGCTCAGGCGGTACCTCCGAAGATGAGACGGTAGCTCCCAGCCTCGAACCAAGCAGCCAGGCAGCAGACCACTCGAGCACGGGCGCCAGCAGTTCTCCTACCGAGAAGCCTACAGAGGGGCCTCCCGGGGAACCTGACCAGGATCCTACTCAAGAACCCAACCCCGGAACTCCCCAAGGGCCGACACAGGGAACGAAACAACCCAACGAGGAGCCAAGTCAAGCCCCTAGCCAGGAATCCACTAAAGAGCCTACTCAAGACCCTACTCAGGACCCTACTCAGGATCCTACTCAGGGTCCTACCCAAGAACCTACTCAAGAACCCACTGGAGAACCCAGCCCCGGAGCTCCCCAAGGACCTATACAGGGAACGCAAGAACCCGGCGAGGAGCCCAGTCAAACCCCTAGCCAGGAGCTCACTAAAGCGCCTAACCAGGAACCTACCCAAGAGCCCACCCAAGAGCCTACCCAAGAGCCTACCCAAGAGCTTACCCAAGGGCCTGGCCCCGGAACTCCTACCCAAGATGCTCCCAAGTCAGATCCCAGCCCTCCAACGGCAACCGAAAACAGCAGTGACACCATTCCCACAATTACAGGGTGGCCCGAGTCAGTCACTATTTCTCCCGTGCCAACCGAAGTGGATCAACCGAGGCTAGAAAGCGAGGACGATGGCGAGGACGACGATGACGACGATGGCTTTATTGCCGCCATTATTCCTTGCAAGCTTTGGTTTTTCAATGTAAGTAGTAACAGTGAATCTCTTCCATCTATTCTATTAAAATCAGGCTGTTAACATTCCTCGTAGGTTTGCCCCAAGTTTAACAATATCGACTTTGGAGGCTGGAGGCTACCGTTGCCCCCTGGTGTTTACCCACCGTAGGATATATGCCCTCTCTCCACTTGATGGTCCTAAGTATTGTGCTCTGTTACTTACCAAATGCCGTCTTCCGCAGGGGTCCTCCGCCAATTAAACTGCCGTCACCCATCCAAATCCGTGGGAGCCTTCCCCCATGGCCCCGGTTCACGTAAGTCTTAACCGCAGAACGAACCAAACGTCGTAGAGTATGGTACTAAACAAGGCTCCTTGCCATCTCTGGGATGCAATAGTGTTGGTCCAGACAACCTTCCCACATTCCCTCCAGAGCCCGACCCTACCAACTGCGAGATACAGACAGCTGAGCTCTGCTACGCCACAACTTCATATGTCGTGTCGACACTAGAGAACGGAGCCGTGGAGACAGTCTCGTCGGTTGTGCCTCCACCAGCCTGCACGAACATACAGGGATGCGTAGTGAAGGATGCGGATGAAGAATCCACCGTGACCCACACCGCAGAGTGTCCCACTGAGACAGTAACCGACGTCGTCATAACCTGCAGCGGCACAGGGACCACAGCCTGTTCAACCAAGACAGAGGTTGCCAAGACTGGTTGCTCCCTTACTGCTACTACGACGACAGTATCCTGTACGCCAGCTCCTAGCGGCGGCAACACTCGGAAACGGGATGGAGATGATTCCGGCCCGTTCTGCCAAACTAGAAGCGGCTACTCTATCTGGCCTCGCGATGAAAAGAATCTCGATGAAGCAAAGGCTACTTGGGATCAGATGATCGCGATTCTTGGGGACGGCGGCTGGATAGAAAACTTGCAGGATCGCAAGTTCACTGTGGACTTTTGGCACGCAACCCTAACCGAAGACGAGGCGCAAGCCATTCGTGAGATGCCAACTGTAAGTCTCTTTGTCCCCCCGAGTTCGAGAGCTAAGGCTTTCCCGTGGGAGTAGCTGCTGACAAGATCTTTTCGTCTCCAGGTCTCCGGCGTATATGCTGATTGCACAGAATGCGAATATGATCCAACCACGGCGTGGGTCTACCAGAGGGCGTTTCAGCGTATACCCATATCCAAGGACCCTGCTGAGAAACGCCGCTTCGGTATTGAGCAAATGGCCTATCTCTCTTACCCCCCCTCTAAGAACAGAAAATTCGAGAACACATATGTATTCGACGATAGCGCTGGATCCGATATCCCTGTTTACATTGTAGACACGGGCGCTCAGTTAATGCACTCTGTATGTATAAATAGGGTGGCGGATGCAGTGAGATTGATCCGCCGAATGATAATGATGCTGATCCGCCATTACAGGAGTTCATTGAAGGCGACAACATAGCCGATAAAGTCAACTGGATGTTTGTCGAGCCCATGGACTTCGATGGCCCGGCCCGCAAGGACGATTCGGCAACCCGCGTCGACGGTTATTGTGACCCTAGCCTAGTAAAATGCAAGACCCATGGCACCTCCATGCTAGGGTTCGTTACCGGTAGCTATCTGGGAGCCTCCAAAAATGTCCAACCTTGGGTGGTACGCGTGCCGCGAAAGAGAGAAGGCGGGGGCGGCGCCACGCCGAATGACTGGTTGAGGGGTGTTGCCATGATAAATGAGAAGATCACGGAGAAGACCGAGGTTACGCAAGCCATCGTATCCCTATCCTGGATGTTCGGCGTCGGGGATATTGTGCCTGATTCACGGTTGAGGGAGTGGCAAAAGAAACTCGAGACCGAGATTACACAGCTCATTGAGAAGGGGGTGTTTGTGGTGACGGGGTCGGGCAATTCTGCCATAGTAAGTTCGCGCGAAAAGCTCACTCCGTCTTTTCCCACCAGTTGAAACATGCTAACACCCGCCTGTCACCATCACCAGATAAAGGGGTGGCCTGCACTCTTCGGCGCTAAGGAGGGATCAATGACCGTGGGGTGGCCACAACCGCAGTATTACATTAAAGACCTCCTGGTCGTTGGTGCTGCCAACGTGTTGACTGGGGATATATGGGGCGCTTCCGGCGTTGACGTGGAGAAAGGACTTCCGCACGTTTACGCGCCCGGAGAGAACATCGTCGGCGTGGATGGGGACAAGAGGAACTGGGCCTTCAAGGACCGCGGTTCGGAGTATCGGATCACCGAGGGAACTTCTGTTGGTGAGTTTAGGCACTTTTAAATTTGTCAAGAAGACTTGGAACACGTTACGCTAATATGCTAATACTCTGCCGTGGCAACAATGTAGCGACTGCGTACACCGCCGGACTCGCTGCTTATTTCCTGAAAATGCATCAACTTGGCCGCCTTCCCCGGGACAATGCTGGGAATCAGCCCGACATGAGCCCAGGGGGACTAAAGAGGTTCATACTTGACAAGGCGTGGCCCCGGGTCAACAACCCGAAACTCGGACCTGTTAACGGCATATGGAATGCGGTAGACGAAAGGACTGCCTTGCCGGAGGGCTGGTGTCCTTACGAGAGAGCAAGGGCGGCTATGCGCATATTCCGGCGCCAGGACCAGGGCGATACCTTTGTTCTGCCAGACCAGTGTATACTTGGGTCGGATCCTCCCACCGGGGATTCCGGTAATACCGACGGCGACGGCGACACTGGCAACACTGGCGATGCCGATGGCACTGCAGGCGCCGGAGGCACCTCGACTACAGCTGTTGCGGCGCCCGCCCCGACCGGCTTCGAGTGCACTGAGGAAACGGCAGACAAGTGCGCACCGGCAGTTATCTGCAACGGAATCCAGCGCAACGGCTGCGTCAACGGAAAATGCGTCTGCGTCATGCCCGAACTCGAGTGCACTGAGGAGACAGCAGACAAGTGCGCTCCGGCAGTCATCTGCAACGGAATCCAGCACAACGGCTGCGTCAACGGAAAATGCGTCTGTGTCATGCCCGACCTGCCGACGACCACATTCGCCACCATCACGACATCCAGAAAGCTCACCGCCCCTTCGCCGGACGTATCTAAGGAATGCCATATCCACATCCGCGAATTGGGTTGGAGCAGGGCTCACAAGGTCAAGGTCTGGGTAGACGCTCATGTAAACGGCGAATTCGCCGGAGAAAGCGGTGTGCTCTCGACCGAGTGGGGAAACTATGTAACTTGGGCTGGGGATACGTCGAACCTTCCGCTCCCTCTTGAGATCGAGTTCGAAGGGTCACCTGCTCGGTCGAAGCGAGACAATTCTGAATGGCAATCATGGGCCCTTTTGTTCAGATCTGGGCCGACGAAGTGGGATAGTTCGCATCAAGATGAGAGCCAGAAGCCGTTCTGCCGAGTTGGAGGATGGGATAACAGTCCACAGGAAACTCGAGAGGGTTCGGCTGACTCGGCCGTAAACTTTAGGAGTGGCAATTGGCCGGTAAGTAGAACCCCCGGAAGCAGGCTGGCCACAGGAATGACTCTATACTAACAGCAGGCTTTCTTTCTTTTCTGCCTGTGAAAGATAGAACCGACAGATGGATTGCTACTGGGACTGTTGGCCGCTCTAGCTCGCTGTTGGGCCGTGGGACTAGCCGAGACTGACCGTGCTTGTCTGCCTTTTGATATATCTTCATATCTTCATTCGCATTCTAAAACGATCTGGGGATACGTGTACTTAAATTCTTAGGAAATAGGGGTTACATTTACTTTTGAAACTCACGCTCTGCCTCGCCGCAGTGCTGGTATGGGACCTCAGTCAGGCTTCGCGCATACACTCGCTGAACCGACAAATTGGTTCTTATTGCTCCTTTACTAGCATGTTCAAGAAACCGAGGCAGGTCCAATAGCGACATAAGCCTCTGTAATTTCCTCGGGAACCTGGTTCGTAATAATAAGTACTCTGTCGCGATCGGAGGGTGGAAGTTAAACTCTTTAAAGAGCACTCTGTAATCTCACCAGCGAGAATCCGGAGCCGGAGAGGAGCCGGAGAGGACCCGCAACGGACCCGGTCTTGGGGGCAGCGGCCCCGCTGATGTCGCAGAAGCAGGTTGGCGCATCAAGATCAATGCAGCCGTGTGCCCTTATCATATCAGCTTATCAGCTTATCGATAAGCCCAGCTCCAAATTTTATTTCCAGGCCTCGTTTCCAACCGAGCTCACCAAGCACGACTCTCTCCCTTCAACCACCTTCCTTTGAGCCGAATTACCCCGAAACAACGTTCTTTTGTCCCCTAATCCAATCAATCGTTTTCGTTTTCGTATTCCTCTTACTCTCCATTCTCCGTTCCCCTTCGCCCAACAAAAACCACAAGAAACCATGTTCGAAAACGTCTGCAGCCTTCCCCTCCCCGGCGACGTCTTCGCCCAAGCGGTGCACCCGACCGAGCCCGTGGTGACGGTAGGCCTGTACAACGGACGAGTGCAGTGTTTCCGGCTGCCGCCACCGGCGAATGGGGGCGGGGCCTCGAGCGGTGGGGAGGAGGAGGAGGATATGGAGACGAGCATTCTCTCGGACGGGAGGGCGACGATTGAGAGTGTTTGGGGGACGAAGAGGCATAAGAGGAGTTGCAGGGCTTTGGGGTATTCGCCTGATGGAGACCGTGAGTATATTTTTTTCTCTCATTCTATTCTCTCATTAACCTATCTACAAGTAATTGGGAGGATATTGCTTTCGCTAACCGGATTCTCTTTTTCAAGTCATGTTCTCCGCAGGTAGCGACGGCATCGTAAAGCACTTCTCTTCCACCACCGGCCGCGTCATCTCCAAAGTCCTCGTCCCCAAATTCGGCAACCACGACGACGCCCCCTCGATCCTCCACGCCATCGACCCGCAACACCTCCTCCTCGGCACCGACGCCGGCGCCCTGCACATCTTCGACCTGCGACAAGACGGCCTAGCCGCCAAGCCGGCGCGGACGAGCTTCCCGCACACGGACTACATCTCGTCGATCGTGCCTCTCCCGCCGCCGAACGCGAGCCAAGGCAGCAGCCCTGGAGCCGACCCCGTGTTTCCCAAGCAGTGGGTTACAACGGGAGGTACCACGTTGGCCGTCACAGACATGCGATCGGGAACGTTGGTGCGGTCAGACGACCAGGAGGACGACCTCCTCTGCGCGACGTACGTGGCGGGGATCGGACCCAAGAAGGCGGCCAACAGGGGTATCGTGGCCGTGGGAGGCAGCACGGGTGTGTTGACGATGTGGGACCGCGGATCGTGGGATGATCAGCAGGAGCGAGTGATTGTCGACAGCGGACGTGGCGGCGGCGACAGCATCGACGCCGTGGCGCTGATCCCCGAGGAACTGGGCTACGGAAAAAAGGTCGTCGCGGCGGTCGGGGATGGGAGTTTGAGGCTTGTGGACCTCGTGAGGAGGGAGGTGGATGTTACGGCTACGTTGAGGCATGATGATTCCGAGGGGGCGGTGGCGGTTGGGTTTGACTGTTTTGGGAGGATGATTACGGCCGGCGGGGCGATTGTGAAGATTTGGGAGGATTTGACAGAGTTGCAGGGGAACGGGGCGGAGGATGATGAGGAGGAGGAGTCTGATGAGGAAGAAGACGAGGAAGAAGAGGAAGACTCTGACGATGATGAGGAGGAGGATGGAGCTGAGGATGCAAGTGGGAAGAAGAGGGCGAGGGAAGAAGATAGTGATGAGGAAGACTCGGACTCGGATTCGGAGGAGGAAAGGGATAGAGAGAGGAGGGAGAGGCAGCGGAAGAGGAGGGAGGCGATCGCGGCGAGGTTGGGGCCTATGGGGGCGCACGGCGTGTTGAGGTTTGAAGGTCTGGATTGAGGGAGAGGGAGAGGGAGAGGGAGAGGAAGCAAGTATGTGGACGTTTTTTTATTGACACATGGGCGGGCGTGTTGGCACGATTCTGGTTTCTGTCAATTCGGAAGTACAGAGCCAACGGACGGCTGCGGGCTGATATATAGAAAGAGATGTTGATACCCCGGGTGGAAGTGGAAAGACTGATAGACGAGAAGCTGGACTAGCTGCTAGTTGTACAAAATTGAAGCGTTACGTCTGGATGTTGTCTCTCTCTTTGTGGTAATGTTCCGTCAATTGATCCATGACTTACCTCCGCGGGAGCTGCCGAGTCCAGATTGTTGGTTTCATTTCTATTTTCATGATGCTGTTGTTCAGGCATGGATCGCAATGTAAAAAAAATATGTATTAAATATATCCGAGAAAGAAGAGTAGTGGTGGGCAGCGTTGCTCTTAAAACCGCCCCCCCCCCCCCCCCCCAAAAAAAAAAAAAAAAAATACTCGTACCCAACATATTTGTAGAGGCGTGAGGCGAATAACCAAAAAACCAATAACAAGGAACAAGCCGAACGGATTCGACTTGGTTGGCAAAGTAGAGAAAGAAAGAAACAAGACATGAACCGTCCGCGCTTCCCCAGCACAGAGCAAGACGTTTCCCCGCTAAGGCGGGCCCACCCCGTCCTTTCTTCCCAATGGAAGTGAACTAGCCAAGCCCGCGTGCTTCCCGCCGTTCACAACGGACACCTTATCCTCCACCACCGTGCCACCGTGCTTCAAATTTCTCATTACCCCCGGAGTAAGGGGGGACGTAACACATATTCCTTTCGACATCAAACACGGATCGATCTCAAAGATAATCGCGCCTATATCCCATCATACTGCCAGGGTGGGGAGGGCTAAGGACGGGCATAACTGGGTGGGACGGGGAAGGCGGCCGAGGGATCCAGGCGGGCACACGCTTATAGTCATAGGTATGCATAGGGACAGGTTCACGGACTGGACGGACCGGCGGAGCCTGATGGACGGATCGGGATCGGGATCGGCGTCGCTTTGGAGCTGTACATGTCGGCCGATATCTATGGGAGACTGCGCCTCCTTCTCTCTCGTTAAGATCAAATTTCAGTCATAACAAGAAAAGAATAAAAGAGGAATAGAATTCCGAACAGACGGGACTTACGACATCGTTCCCTCCAGCGTTCATATCGGTCCCTGGAGTGTTCATATCGATCCCTCGAGCGTTCATATTGGTTCCTTGAGCGTAGATATCGTTCTTCCGGGGTTTCGCGTCGTTCCCTCGAGCGTCCCACGTCGTTCCTCTGAGCTTTCGTATCCTTCCTCTGAGTCTTCGTCGCTGATAGAGCGAGCACCACCTGCAGGACCCTTATCAGCACTTCATTTTGCGAACTTTCAGTCGTCTGAAATAGGCAAGAGGCCTTACCGGAATTCCGGTTATTCGTGTAGGCGTGGTCATTCCAGCGGAAATCGAGGAAATCGTTGAAATCGCCGGGGACGTTGAAGATGTTGATGTCACCCTCGCCCTCGTGGATGGGCTGTACCCCACGCCCTTTATTCTGGGCGTTTGTACGCACCGTCCTGTACCCGAGCAGGAGCAGGGAGGCAAGACCTCGAAGAGTATCCTTGGGTCGAGACCTGGGTCCAGGCGATCGTCTCTTCATTTTCCAACTAGCTGATAAATACTAACTCGGTGGATGTGCCAAAGGATCGGAGGTTCACTTGAGGTTGGGCGATGGAAGGTCGAAGGATAGAAGGAGGATACAAGATTGGGGCCATGTATACTGGAGGATGTAAAGCGCACTAGTGTTACGCCTAGTATTCAAGTCTCGCTTCTGATAAATGTATTGTCTGTGTCAATGAGGATGATGGGAGGAAAGAGGGATGTGCCATGGCCTTGAAGGAGTCGGGAACCAGTGCCGTTCTTGTTCAGAAGAAGCTTTCCATACCCGTCAACCGGAGGCTTGTGTGACCAGCCTCAGCCTCAGCCAGACACAGCTAGGCATCACGGGCACAGGCACGCAGAAATGATTCTCCACCGAGTCTCTGCTCTTTTTTATTTTTTTATTTTTATTTTTATTTTTTTTATTGGGCAACGGCTCTTGTGGCTGAGGGCGGTCCCGTTGCAGGAGCTTATGCACTCCTCCTCATGCTGTTCCTTTTGTCGAGTCAACATTGAAGTTTCGTTTGCTTCTGGGATTTACGGATACCTGAGTACACAAACAACCTTTCTTCCCCAGTTGGAATACGATCTCCTCACGGCGAACACTAGCAGATTAATGTTGATACCCCGGCTACCTCTGTAGAAGTGGAAGATTGATAGACAGGAAGCTAGGCCAGCGGCCAGTTTGGCGGAATCGAAATGTCGGGTCTGGATTGACTTGATCATGGTCTCTGATGGAGGAGGCAGTGTTTCCGTTAGTTGGTCGGATCTCGCAGGTTAGCACTGAATTACTCTTGCACCAATCCTGGCAAATACAAAGTGCGCAATGACATAAAACATTGAACCTTGCAGCCTTGCCACACCAGCCTTGAGGGCTACCTGACATCCACCGACATTCTGCAAAGGTACAAAGGTACCTATAGACTTGTACATTGTCCAGCTTGCTTTAGAAGAAGCTACTGAGTTGAAATGTGTTCTGGTTTGGATTGTGTTTTCATGATTCTGCCTTATACTATCTTCTTATTACAGCAGGTATAAATGGATAGGGCCAAGATGGGTTATCCTCTATGGAGTACAAAGTACCTAATTTACTGATTTACAGAAAGGAAGCAGAATCTAACTGAAATCTACATCACCAATATCTCAATTAACTCTTTTTCCTACTATTACTGGTCCTATCTAGATTAGCAGTACCAATGGCATCACCCTTAGAACGAAGTTTGAGCGAGCTGATCCTTTTGAGAATGCCACTTTGTTGTCTATGGTGGTGTCGCCTCCGATTACTCAGGATAACTCAGTTATCGGAGGAGGACTACCATGACAACTTGATGCGTCTGTTGGACCCACTGGCGAGATCCAAGACGGATAGCGTGCCGGGGACGGCTTCCGACGACAGAAGCGATTCTCTTTGCGCAAAGGCCAGACGGTTGTTCTGAGAACCACTGTACCAATACTCGAAGAATATATATCGAGTCGGTAGGGCTTCAGTTGCAACCAGCTCAATTGCTGGCTGCGAAAACTTTACGAATTCCACAAGACCGGGAGAGGATGTCGGTTCCCGAACCTGGGAAATTGCTCGCTTGTTTTCTCTCCTTGCTGGGTTTGTCCAACCCCGCCGATACAGATGGAGAGGGTCAAATGTTTCAACATTTAGTCGGATCGGGGTGGATTTTAAGCTCACCACCCCAAACCTCTGGTTTTATTCCGTCCTTCTCCCCCATTATCAATCATCCTTTTCTTTACATCTACATCCCGAGATGCGGATCTTCATCGCCCTTTTGCTAGCCGCCATGGCCCAGCTTGCCCTCGGGCACCTCCCCAAACATCGCTGCCTCATGTATCTCACAGGGTAAGTCTCATTTCATCAATTCGCTCTCACCGCCAACAATATACTCAAAAACTTATTTTTCGAATTATTTCCAGACAACATCCCGTGGTGCCGGAATACCGCCTCACCAAACATATTACCCACGTCGCCCTCGCTTTCCTCAATTCCAACCTCTTCAACGAGGATCAGCCGCCCGAGAAGTGGCCCATTTTCGCTACGCCCGATGACCTGAGGGATAAATTCCACCCGGGCACCAAGTTCATCGTTGCCGTGGGTGGCTGGGGAGACACGGCAGGCTTCGACATCGCTGCGCGGGACGAGGAGTCGCGGGAGAGATGGGCGAGGAATGTAGCCAGGATGGTGGAGGAGTTGGGGGCGGATGGGGTCGACGTGGATTGGGAGTATCCCGGGTGCGTCTTTTGTCACATCTCCCCAACCGTTATTATCATTATTATTCATTTTTTTCATTTATTTTTCTTCAACAAAACTAACATTCTTTTCCTTCAAAGAGGCAACGGGGAGGACTACAAACAAATCCCCAACTCCCAAAAAGCCTGGGAAATCCCCGCCTACCCCCTCCTCCTCCAAACCCTCCGCACCCACCTCGGCCCCACCCCGCTCATCACCGCCGCCGTCCCCGGCCTCGAGCGCGACATGCTCGCCTTCACCCCGACCACCGTGCCCCAGATCCTCCCGTCCATCGACTTCCTCAACGTCATGACCTACGACCTCTTCAACCGGCGCGACAACATCACGAAGCACCACACGGGCGTTCGGGCTTCCAAGGCCGCGCTGAGGGCGTACATGCGTCGCGGGGCCGACGCGTGTAAACTGAACCTCGGCTTTGCGTTCTACGTGCGCTGGGCGCTGACGGAGGGGGCGTGCGAACGGGGGAAAGAAGTTGGGTGTCCGACGGGGTTGATGGAGGATCCCGTCACGGGAGGTGATCTAGGCAGGGCCGGGGCTTTTAGCTATCATGATGAAGTCCCCGCCGATTTGAAGGACTCCTATGAGAGGGCCCTAAGCGAAGGGACGTACGATGAGATCGGTGGCGGGTATTACTACTGGGACGAGGAGGAGAAGAGGTTCTGGACGTTTGACACGCCCGAGGCAATCGCACCCAAGTTCGAGGTGCTTGTGAGGGATTTGGGGCTGGGAGGGGTGTTTGCCTGGGGGTTGGGCGAGGATGCGGATGAGTTTCGGCACTTGAGGGTTGTGGACCGGGAGATGGGGAGGCTTTGGAGGGATCGGGATGAGGAGCGGAGGGAGCTGTGAGAGAGGATGTGAGTCAAAAGTGTGAGTGGTGGTTCTTGATTTCACTGCCTTCTTTTTTGAAGATTTGCCGTTGACGAGTTAACTTGATCACTGTTTTCTCGTTGGATTCGTTTTCGGTATTAGCGGCCAGAATCAGACGGCCGGATCTAATAAGAAAAATAAAAATAATTCCCCATCATCAAATGTTGCGCCGATTCCAAAAACGTGCATGAAGGAGAGAAAGAAATAATAAGCGACGGGAAGTAAAAAAAGTATCCGAGGGGTATCTTCAAAAAATATAAGAAATGACTTTGCTTCTCCTTCCGCAAGTCCAGGTCCTCCGTTCCGTCTTCCCCAAGGCATTCATTGGCTTCCCTTTTCAAAGGGGCCCCTGCAGTGTCTGGAAGGGCTAGACATTTCTCCCCGCCTGTCCCCATGCAGCCACGCGGCTAGTTACCCCAGGGCCTGACGCCACCTACGTATCGTAGCGTCAACCGCCCGCGTCAAATTGGAAGCCCCCACCAGTTTCCGTCCCCGATCCCTCGTCGTTGTGTCGCGCATTGCTTTTTCCTTTCTACTCTTTCTTTTTTTTTTTTTCACAAGGGACGGCCGGGAAGGATATGACGGTTTCGTTTAGGCTGCAGGATAGGGTGCGGCGCTAGGCTGGGGCTTGTTCGCCTCAAGCTGGACATCGGCGGGAGCAGCGCTTCGGTTCTTTACGGCGTCGAGAGCTTCGAGGGCTGTGATACCCGTGAAGATGGCCCTGTCCAGGAAACGGTTGTTAGTTCCACAATTTTTTCTTTTCTTTTTCTCTTTTAAACCCTTGGCAAGGGAAATAATTTTCTCTCCTCCCAAATAATACATACCAAATGAAAAACGCAAAAGCAATCCCGGCCTGAAACGTCCTGCACGCATTAAACTTGCTGCAGGAGCGCGGCACGCCCAGGTAGGCGGCCATGGCGACGGCGCCGGCGAACCAGAAGATGGTGGAGACGGCGAGGAGGGCTAGGCCGACGAGCTTGTGGAAGAATTGGGGCGCGAAGCGCGGGGTGGCGAGGAAGTAGGCGGCAACGAGGAGGGTCCAGATGGTGTTGAAGATGGAGAAGGCGACGGAGGAGGGTGTGAAGCTGCGGAAGGCGTCGGCGACTAGAATTGTGCTTTGTTAGTTTTGGTTCTCTTTTCTCTTTTATTTATTTATTTTTTTATTTTAACGTACCGTAGGCGAGGAGGCCGAGCTCGAGGATGGCTAGGGCGGCGAGGACGATGAAGGCGATCGAGACGATGGGGAGCGCCATGGTTGCGGTTTAGGTTGTGAGGTGTGCGACGGAAAGGTTTCGGGTTACACTGGTCGTACTGGTTGGGCGTGGGCGCAAGAGAGAGTGTACAGATTGAGGGCGACAACAAAAATAAAAGATTAAATTCTCTTCTTTTTTTTTTTTTTTTCTTCTTCTCCTGCGACGAGGCGAGTGTTCGATATCCTTTGCACGGAGCAAGTTAGAGGAGAGTAACAAGAGATCGACGTAGACACAGATGAGGGTGGGAAGGGCGTGCGGGGGGATTGGTCCGTTATATGGTGGGTGGACGAGGAATGATGTAGGAAACGATGTGACCGGAGACCGGGAATGGTGGGGAATTCGATTGGGAGCAAACCCAGGAACTTATACCTTTGTATAAAGGAACGGCGGACAGTCAACGGTTTGAGAGTCACAGGTGGGTGTGGGAAGCGGAAACGCAAGGAGAGCCAAGGAAGTGATGGGGTGCCAAGACTGACGAAACTTGGGTGGGCGGAGTTAATCAAGACCAGGATGATGGAGGGTGGATGGATGGCGAGATGATTGCGACGACGGGGACCGGGGTGGGACGGATGGGATGGGGATTCATCATTGATGGATTTGATCGGCGGGTCATGGTGGTGGGTTCCGGTCCTGCCCTGGTCCTGGGCTGGTTCAGGCCTTGTAGGGATAAGGGATTGATCGATGGCCACAAGAGCACGAGGAGTCATGAGAATAGAGTTGGGACAATGGAAGATCGGTGGTGATTCAAAGTTTGGGAGGCTCTTTCTCGTCTTACTTTGTCCTTCGTTGCTCTTTCTTCCAGTCGCCGTTTGCGGTACGATTGTATATTGTATTACCGTACTTTGTATCTTGTGTACTTTGTGTTCTTGCAAACTGTTTCTGACATTTGAAAGTGACAAGTTGGACAGTTCGAGCAAGTATTACTCATTGACAGTTACTCACCGTACTTCGTACTCCCTCCGTTGACTTCTCCTGCCCTGAGAATCAGATGCGATCTGAGCTCCCCGTGGAACAAAGTCATATTGATGGACATATCAACTCATTTTGACAGCTGGTGGCTGATGGCTGGATTCAACATGTCCCACTTCCCACTTACTCCCGTCCACCACCATGTCGTCGTCCACCTTCTCTCCATCGCCAGCGTTGGCCACCCACTTGTCAGATATCAAATAAAAGTCGTGGCCCGTATAATACGTACGCGACGTGGACCAAAGAGCTGGACCCCTATTGATCAATTGCTGCCCAGCTCTCTCTCTCTCTCTCTCTCTCTACACAGCCATGCTGGTCCTCATCCACGCGAAGCTTCGTCACCAGATTGCCTAAGTTGCAGAACATGCTCATCCTAGAACCCAAAAGTATCCCCGAGCTATGCCAAAACCTGCCGCGGCACGAGAAACAAATGAAGCCAGTATTGCCAAGCAAAACGCAGCCGAAAGAATTTTTTCCTCTTTTTTTTTTTTTTTTTTTTCTTCAAAAAAAATTAAACATGTCCATTCCGTCAAGCCGTCAACGAGGATCTCTACGCCCCGCCCAGCCAACCGCCTGCGTGGCGCTCTTGAGTCTTGCGTCACAAGAACCACAACGGGACCCAAATTGGTTTGGTCTGGTGCCGCCAGAGATGAGACGGTTACATTGGTTACAGGTCAAAAACAGACTCGGCCGGAATTGGTCTGGGTTGCCCAGGATGTCTATTTTGGTGCCTAAAAGTGGTACAGTGGATTAGTTTAGCAAAGTCCTGGTAGTGTGCAGTGGCTTTGCTGACCTGGTCTGACCTGGTCTACGCATTCTGTTTTCCGAAGTGCCGAGGGGATCGTCACTGGGCAGGGCGCATTGCAGGGGGATGGGCCAGAAATGAAGAAAAAGAAAAAGGGAGAGGAAAAAAGAAAAGTGCTCGAATACCAAGACGCAAGCAAGCCTCAGCGTTCGTCATCTGCTTCCACCACTTCCATCTCGGCTTCTTGGCTTCGCACTAACAACGACCCCTCGCTCTCTTGCCCTCACTTGGGATTGTTCATTACTTCGTAGATATTTTTCCCGGCATCATGTGCGGTTTCGCAGATGGTGATGGCTGCACCTCGGTCTCTGCAGCACTAAACTAGCACCGAAACTATCATCGCATCGAAAAACAGTTTATGAAGTACTGCTGATCTAAAGTGTGCCCATCATCATGATGTACTCTATATTGGGTCACAAGGATGCCCGCCTCTCCATGCATGTCCACCCAACATTTAATTTCAACATGGCAGCGCACCTACTTTCCCTGTACAAGATTTGTCCTCTCGCCGACGATTTCTTTTTGTCAGGGACCAGACAATCATTGGTGTTTGAACTGTTCCGCGTAACCCGGCATTCCTCCATAACCCGTAACCTGTAACCCGGATCATGGCATGGATGGCACCCTCTGATATGCGGCACTCTTCGTCGATCACGAAGGGGTTTCGAGTTTGGACGATGATGAAAAAAGATTTCAGACGAGCTCCATTGTCCCCTTTGCAAGTCACTGAAGGCCCATCTCCTACAAAACCCCTAGTTCCTGCTCCCAAGTACGAAAATATTGCACACACTCTTTTGCTGAGAGTGGAACTGGCTCCCTCCCTTGGCCACGACGGCGCCACGGTCCGACTTGGCAGTACGAAGCACACTACTTCGTACAGAGCACTTGACAGCACGGAGTACTTGGGATTCACGTGATATTTTGAGCTCCGAAGCTTGAGCCCTGTCTGGCCAGGCGGGGCAGCCGGCACTTCCTAAGAACTTAACTACCCAACAACTTCCCAATTCAATTATTGCAACGCTCGTTCGACCAGTAAAACCACCTCCCTTTTCCAACTGCTAACCTAAATTAAGAATGGCCTGTTCGTGGAGAGGCTGTGCATGCATGCAAGCACGCTGCAAGTAACTTCAAGAGCTCCTGTTCAATTCTGTCTCCACACCGAGGTTCTGTCGATTCTCCGAAGTAATCTAAATTAGTATCCTGGCATGGAGAAGCATGGGGAGCAACGACAGGTGTCAACTGGTTCTGGATCCGCCTGCCGAATCGTTGCCGGCAACGCGTTTAACCCCGGCAGGGTGCCGGCTGTTGAGATGGGTCCTGGTAGAGTCCAACCGCGTTGCAGTAGTAGTGTAGTGCTCTCCGCTCCGCACTCCTGGTCTTTCTACGCTAGCTCTGTCCACGATCTTCGCAGCTCATTAGTCCAACGACGATCCATGACCCTCGAGGACTGCAATGTAATAGCGCTGCAGGGCTCAAGCAGCGTGGGGACGGTCCTACATGGAAGCTATGAGTTTCGCCGATGTCCTTCGAGCTGTGTCCTACGAATAGCAACACCGAATGAACCTTGGCTCGATCCAACAACTGGGAAAGATGAAAGGACTCAGGAAATATCCTTGCAGAGGAAAATCGTAGCTCAGACGACTGGAGTTGATCCCCAGGTGATGGCGTTTGACCCAAAGGCTGCTTGGCGCGCCCCGTGTCCCAGCTCTTAGATTTCCGGGTTTTGGCGCATGAAGAAGTACCAAAGTAGGGTTGGGCGATCACGATCGGACGAGTCTCAGCCGAACTTATGGGAATAGGACAATGATCTATTACGTTCGGCGGAGACGAGCACTGGTGAAAGGGGGTATTCAAGCTCCTTCGTAGTGTGCATGCTTGGCAGTCTTGGATATAATTTGCAGTACTTTTGGCGCCGCCGATATTTCCGCGGTTGCGTTTGTGGAAATGTTCGTATTATGGAGACTGACGAATAGAGATTTTTTTGCGAATGCGAACTCTTCCTCAGCCGCAGGCCACGCATCGCCAAGTGACACCACCCTAGATGATATTGGTGAATTTCAAAGAGAGTCCCATGATCTACCACCTCGGGACAGGATCAGAGAGGCCTCCTGGCACAGGACTGTCTTGACCGAGGTTTTTTCACCTCTTTGAGGCTGAAAAACAAAAAGGAGCTGAAGCCATCACACTCCATCAGCTCCTCGCCAAGTCGGGACCAAGACCCAGCTCGAACTTGGCGAAACATCATGTCAAATGGCCCACCCTAGTCCTTGGCCTCTTAAATACCCTCCTAGTCCCTTGTTTTGATTCATATCGTGACGCGCAAACACACAAAGACACACAAACGAAAGGAAGCAACAGGAATCCTTCACCGCTTCTCGTTCTCCATTCCCCCGGACCTAGGCCACCCTCCACGGAACCGGAATCGGGTTAGGACAGCTCTGGGGTCCGGATCGGGAAAAGTGGGGCCTGCATCGGGTCATGCTCCATCCACCATCATCTTTTCCCCATTCCTCCCTCCGCTTCTCTTCCACCCTTCTTCCATCGGCCTGTTCGGGTAGGTGCGGAATCAATCTGCATCCGATCCTTTTCGGTCAGAAATGGGTCGAGTTGCACCAAGCAGATGCAGCGGATGGTTACTTTCCCCACACAATCCCCCTCATGACGACATGATCACACGCACTTGACCCTTCTTTACGGATAAGATTACTACTGAGTGATTTTAGTTTACTTCGCAGTATACACTAGTATTATATGGGCAGTTTTAATGCGCAGGCCACTTTTCTAATACTTGGAAAAATCTGATGAACCTCGAAAACCTTTTCTGTTCGCCAGAGTACCCCGCGACTATACCGGGCACCAATCAATTCTATGGACGCACTTATCTCTGCCGCAAAGAAAGGCCATGAAGCAAATGTGAAGCTGCTTCTGGAGAATGACGCTGCGATCGACGCGAAGGATGTCTCATGGGGACACCGCTCAGCTATGTCGTTGCGAACGGCCATGACGAAGTTATGAAGCTGCTTCTCGAAAAAGGACGCCTCGATCAACACAAAGGATTCTCAATGCCGGACCCCACTTAGCTATGCCGTAGAGAACGGCCTTCAAGCAGCCGTGGGAGACGCACTTCAATACGATAGAGAGCATGGCGTCGCTCGCGGCGACTTACCATTCCCAGGGCCGGTGTGGTGAGGCCGAGCCAATAAGGAACCAAAACGCTAGAGCTGTCGTCTTAAGGTGGGTCCACCCTCGTCGTTATCTTAATGCCTACCGTGCTATGGAGAAAGGAAAATTGGAGGCGAAACATCGATCTAGGATCCCAATTTTCAGGACTGTCGAACCCTTGTAGGCGCCCAGTAGCAGCAAATAGCTCGATTAGCTGAACGGCCCGAAAACTAACATCCCTGTCCCGGATCTTGACAATCTCAGCTCCCGCACCCTGGCCCTCGTCACGCCGGTTCTAGATGCTGCCGACAACACCTCGTTAGCTCCACGGAAATGGCCCTACACCAAAATATAAGTATGGCTCAGCCGAAGCTTCTACACAGCGAGCGAGGCCTCTAAGCCCCGATGTCGTGTAACCCACAGCTTGGCCATTTGGTGTTCGCGTACTTTCTTCCTATAGGCCAGACAGATTGTCACAATGTGATTCGGACAGCAAATGTTGCCTTTTGCGCTGATTAAGCTTCTTCGACTTTGTGCAAGGCGGTCGTTGGGCAAATTGCGGACTCTGACAAGGCTTGGTTGCCTGTTTTCCATTCCCCGCGGCTGTCCTTTACATACCAGAATGCTTCCCACCGTCGCACTCTTACAACCCTTTGCATCGGTCTGGCTTCGGGTGTATTCGTTGTAGCTTGAGAACACCTTGATAGGGCGATCGTCCGGAAGCTGCTCCCAAGATGGCCGAATCCTTGGCTATCGCGACAGCCGTTGTCCAGTTCGTGGATGTCGCAGTTCGACTTTCTTGCAAGCTGAGCTGGCTTTGTTCAGAGCTCCGAGACGTGCCACAGTGGCTACATACTCTGAAAAGCGAGCTCGACCAACAGATCGCCGTTGGACAGTTGTGTCAACACACCTATGCCACAACTTTAGACCTCCCGGCCCTAGGCGTCAATAGCGCCAACGGGAACACGGCACCGTCATGGGGTCCCCTCGAAGACTACCTGCGCACCATGGAGCAGCTCAGCGCCCTGATAGAAAAGGTCTCCCACGACAGTGCCACCGGAAAGATTGAGAGAAGCTGGAAATCTCTGAAGGCGGTGTATCACCGAAGAGACATCACAATCCTGTGTGAGACACTGGTGCAAAAGAAGGGCACATTGTCCCTGTGGCTGACGAGTATAAACGCGTAAGTTCCCCATAGCGGCTTGAGTGTTTTCGATAGTGATTGACGGAATGAAGCAATATGTACTCGGAGATCAAGGAGGCCGTGAAGCAGATTGCACCGGGTGTCGCTAAGGCAGTGGACCAAACCACGGGGCAGCAAGTCCAACTCGACAGGATGAGCCAGCAAATAGACAATATACACAATCTTATGCGAAACAACACTTCGAGAGAGACCGAGGTCCTGGGGATTGTGAGCGAAACTAGTCTAACGGTCGGAGCCCTCATACGAGAATACCAAAAGGTTTCCCTAACAGTAAGCCTAGCAAGGTCATAGGGATTGGGTGAACAAAGACTGACATACCCAGAAATGCCATAAGAATCACAGCACATCGGCCTCTGAACATACCGAAAGTGGCAGCTCAACCTCAAGCTCGAATGGCGTGAATCGCTTATCCTTGGCCGACGCGTCTGATACTAGTATGGCGCTCCGTTGGCAACCTTGCACATGCAGGACGATCAACCAAATCACACAAGTAGAGCCAATACGGAATATCCGTCTCAGAAAGTCAGTCCGGCGACATCATCAACCCTACTGCCAGAGGTCGACGAATCAGGAGCAGCGACTAGAGTTCCTGATAAGTATCGTCCTGCCGTCTTGGCTTCTCTGCTACATTCTTAACCTCGGCATAGTTGTTAACTGGGGTTCGAACATTGGCTGGACGATATCTCCAATTGTCCTTGGTGCCCGGAGAGTTGTTGATCCCGCCTTGTCACCGGGATTTCGCGCTATTCAGCACATCAAAGATACCTATTTATCTGATGACCCGCTTCAAGAGGCAGAAGCCTTCTCCCATATGAGAGCGTTAGCGGGCACACTGAGAGACCTCTTACGGAGTGGCGCTGCTTCTGCTTTGGATGAGGATTCTTCCGGTAATACATTGCTTTTTGTGAGTAACAGTTCAAGCACGGGTAGTGTTTTTGCGAGTCTAATATCTTTAATAGGAAGTTATTAATATCTTTATAAAGCTGCCAATGCTTGATAGACACATGAGCTTAGACTTTGCTGCCCTCGTTCGGTACCTCCTTGAGAGCGGGGCGAACCCAAACACCATCTGGACGAACCCGTGGCGAAATTTGGACTCAATCTCCTACTGCTGGGCGGAGCAACAAGAGCAGCCGCTACGGTACGACAATCGTAGCGGCACGGCGCTGGACCAATTTGCCTGGGAACTCGTACGGTCTTGTGGAGAAGGCTATGAGCAGGACGTTGGAAACACGATATACATGGACCTTGTCCATAGTGATGGATATTTTTCAAGACCGCCTGAGATCGATTTAGAGATTCATCCTTACTTCTGGTTCGGCATGTTTGCAATCGAACACCGGCAACTGGAGACATTCCCAGAGCAGTTCGAAGGTAACTCATTGTGGGTTCTTTTTCTTTTAACTTCAGACAAAAGCTAACACATATTTGCCAAGTCTCCGGTCTCGGCGAGGTTGCTAGAGCAGTCTTTCGGCGCTCGGAAATCGAACTGGAGCGCGCAATGCAGAGAGGCGACCTGGATCACGCTTCCCCAACTGGATTAACAGCTATGCATCTCGCAATATTTTGGCCTCAGGCTCTGCGGAGACTTATTGACGCCGGGGCTAACATCAACTGCGAAGATAGGCATGGCCGCCGCCCCGTGCACGTTGCAGTTAGTTGCGGTCAGGGAGAGGCCGTTTCGATGTTGCTCAAAGCTGACTGCGCCATTTGGACCCTGGGTTATTCCGGAAGTTTATTGCAGGAGTCGCTCTCGAAAGGCCGCAGTTTCGACCATATTACTGAGCTCGTTATAGATGCCCTAATCGACAGGCACACGCGCCTCATGAATCTGGCCCTATCAATCCTTCCACAAAATCTAGCTCTGATGAAGCGTTTCGTGGGGAACGAGCTTCGAGAAGACCTCGCACCATTGGTCTACCAAGAACTTAGCACACGAGGCCACGTCATTCCAGTTGCACTAGAGCCGGATCGTGATGGGAACGGAGTCTACGACACGGCAGATTCTTCCTCTAATATCCGTCTGACAGCACCTTTGGCAGAGAGACTTTGGCGAGGTGGATTCCGCCGTATTGACGACTATGGTCCGACAGGACTAACGCCAATTTTGCAGTCATGGTATATCGCCAATTTCGATATGATAACTTGGTTCCTTGGTAAAGGTGTCAGCCTATTCGGAATGCATCGTGAGACGCAAATATCGGGCCTTCACTTATTTGCAGCCAGAGTGGCCTACACGGGGGCGTGGCATGGTTATAATAGGGCGTCAACTGTCAATTTCAACGCTCAACATTACAAGCAGCTGATGCAAGATAAAAAGTTTACCCAGGACTCCTGCTCTTGTATGTGTTCTAATGGGGGGTGCACGCCCCTCTCAACTCTCATAAAGGGCGCGGCCAAGTACGACATTCGTCTTGAGTACGAGGAATTGCTGCCTTTTCTGGGAATATGGCAGGATAAGTTGATATACACGCCGGAAGAAGAACCAGACCACATCGAGAAACTGTGGCGAAGCATTTTGTTTCATAGGTTAGGACTTTTGCACACCTGTTGCTTTATTGATATTGAAGGCAACGTGGAGGTCTGCGGGGAGTGGCAACATCACGACCGGGGCAGTCGTCAATCTCAGTTATCAGAGGGAATTCTATCCAACCCCCAGCAAGGTTTGGATAAAGAAATAGTCGAATGTAGAAAGAGGATGACCAACTGCGGCTGCCCTGCCCTGGAGAAGCCCCTATGTGCGCTTTTCCGCGGGAGTTGTGATAGAATGGAAGGGATAGAAAGTTAGAATTGGCGAAGCAGAAAGAACTCGAGGTACATTCAGGGGGTAGCAGGCTCATGGGACGGATTGAAAGACTTTCCTTCTTTGTCTCATTAATTGGCTGCATTCTGCGTTTTGGACATTTAACTATATTGGAGAGCGACGTCCAGGCTTTCCCCCCACCCATAAGATCAAGGAAATCAAGTTGCTATGCAGCACATTACTTGACGTGTTCTTTCCGCTGCCGTTGGACCAGAAATATATACCCTATATAACCAAACCCAAAGCTTTGCCGCTCTAGTCACTAACAAAAGATCCCTGTTCAACATGGGCAGCGAACTGGCCGAGACCTACCTCTTCTTCGTAGACGACTCCAACATATAGATCGAGGCCCAAAAGTTCGCCGCATCTGGTACCAGCCACATGCTCAAGCTACTGTTGTACCAGCTCGTATTCGGGCCACGAGAGCACCTAGCCGACTGTCGCGGATCGTGGCCTCGATGTTCTTAACCTTCGGAAACTCCACGGCCATCACTACCTCCGTACCCTCTTCCGCGGCCATTCTCGAACTACTCTCAAGCCGGCTGATGTAGAACTGTCGACCCAGCGGAAACACTCCTCGGCGACGGAGTACTCGAGTACGTCCACGTCGGGGCCGGTAAATTCGCATACGATGATTGCCTGATGCCAGATCGACTCCCATGGCCTTTCTCCGCCGCGTGGAGAGGAAGTTTGTAAAGGATGTCTTCGAGTTCTAATAACCGGAAAAGACGCGCCTTGCCGAGCTTTTCGGTGACCTGGATAAAGATATCTCTAAAGAGATACCTATGCGGAGGAAGATGGACGCAGTTAATACTATAGCGGCCGTCGGTTGTTGCCGCGCTCTGTGGCCCAGCGGAGCTCCTCGTCCAAGCTATCTGGTTCGTCCTCTGATTCGTTATCAGCAGCCCGCTGTTATCTGATGATGTCATTGCATCGTGACACACGGAAGTCGCCGCCCCTGTGCTCCTGCTACCCCACCACATCGTGAATGTCTAACCAGGTCCATGTTACCCAACAGCCTTCGAACTTCGATCAAGTCGGGCAAGGGGACGACAAGGAGAATTGTGAAGCTGAAAAGGAACCCGGGAGTACCAGGAAGACGAAGCAGGGCTGCAAAAGCACTCCAATTGAGCATCGTCTCCTCGAAGCCATGCCAACCGAATGAGTCTCTCCCCCGCCTTACAAACAGCCAGGGTTTCTCTTGTCGATGACGACAGAGCCCAAACTGCCCGAGTCGGGGAGGCACGAGCTCCAAGTTTCCAGCATGACATGGTCGGGCTCAGGTCTGAAGCTAAACGATTAGATGTGGTTCCTCGATTTTAAGTTAGGAGCTTGACACCACCTCAGCTCATGCCGTCATCAGCCCAACCACGCCACCAAGCCATCAATCAATGCATGATTCAATATAAGCTGATTGCCAGGACCAACATTCCTTCCCCTCTTTCGCTCCCCCTCTCTCTAAAATAGAACACAAGACGAACTATCTTGAACACAATCAATATCCGATTAACCCAAAGAACAATTTAAATTAAAACAAGAAAAAACCAGGCAGAAGAACATACCTGAACCGACAATGTCTGACCCCGAAGTACACCGGAAGCTCGTTGAGGAGCATGCCATAGACGAAACCCCCATCTCCCCCGTGCGATCCCGAGACCCCTCGCGCCGAAACTCCCTCGAGCATCACCTCCAAACTCGCCCTTCCCGCGAGGAACTAATAGGCAGTGCGTTTCCCCCTCTCAGCTCTTCTCGCTTTTTCGTCTTTTGTTTTTCTCTCAGAAACCAAACCAGCGCAGAACCCGTTTAACCCGTTTCCTACCCATCCGAGCTCCGGGCGTTCTGGTCTTAGGGGGGGAAAATGGATACTGACACATGTTGTGATAGAACATATTCTTCTCGATACCAATGCTGCTCCTGCGATACAGGGCCAGCAAAAGGAGGTAACCCCCCCTCTCCCATCTCATCGAAAGTGCGAAAAGAAGAGGAAGAAGAAATGAGGAAGAAGCTAATCAAACGCTTGGCGATCCATCTTAGCTCGAGAAGAGCATGCGTGCCGACACTCTCAAGGGGAAGATTGCCCAACGGCCCTCGCCCGACAAACTCGTCAACGAGGGCGTCCTGCGCGACGATCCGAGGTCTGCAGAGAAGCGTTACGAGGAGGCCATCGAGGATGAGTACGCCAAGAGGGAGGGCGGTGCTTAAGGGCCCCGCGGCACCGTGTGGTCGTTGAGGTATTTGTATTTTTTATTGAATATTTGACGGAGTTATTTTGGGATTGAATTGTATGAGTTAAGAAGATGGGACATTAAATGTTAAGATTCACGATTGCTTCTAGACCCCAGGTGTGATTGACATTCGTACCTACGGTTGAAGGAGAAGAAGAAGAGAAAAAAAGGCGGAGAGGGAGAGAGAAGAGTAATAAGCCAAGGGACATGGACTGGGGTTTAATACGACGAAAAGCACGAGTAAACAACGTCCAACGTCATGGGTTATGGGAGTCGGTAACGGCGTCTTTCTTAGGGAAAATAGGTTTGCTACATCGATATAGCCTCTCGCCGTGCTGTTGCGAGACGGCAAGGGCGACGACGAGTGATCAGCTCGGACACATTGGCTTGGGACGCGTTTTGCCCGTGGCTAGTCCGTAAGGCCCCCAGTTCTCGGCTGCACTTAGAGACCTGAAGAACTTGGCACAAAGAGGAGCCGCATCGCCTTTTCCCGATGCCAACAAATCAGATATCAGTAAAATAAGCAGCGTAAATTGGAAACCGAGTGAAGAAGCAACTGTAACTTCCATCCACTAATCATACAACCAAGAAAGCCATCGCTCATAATCTCTCACCCATCATCCTCCATCTCAGGCTTCGCGGCCAAAACTCTTCATGACAAAAAAGATGGAAACAAAACGCCCCATGCATCATAAATCATAGCCAACTCCCTTGCTCTCCAAACCATATCAGTACAAAATATCCGTGTCGGATCCGAAAGACTTGGATCCCGGAAGGGAGCCCTGGAACCCCCCGTCGGAACAGGGGGCCGGGTTGGTTATGTCGATCGTTAGGCCCCCGGCCGCCGTTAACGCTGAGAGCTAGAACGCGACTTGGTCGAAGCAGTCTCCCGATAGGCCTGCGATCCGTACGAAGACGGGGTCGGGGCGAAAGGCTCCTCGATCCCCTTGTTATGCTGGACAACGACCGCCTTTCTCGTGGTGGTGGAAGTGGAAGTGTGGAAAGCTGGAACTAGAGATGTTAGCCTTTTTTTGGTTCACAATTTCTTGTATCCCAATATTTTTAAGCGGAAATCAAGACGAAGAAGTAAAAAAAAGGGTTTGCATGCGTTGGTAGGCACAAGAGGCAGAATGCCGAGAGATCGGACTCGGGAGACGGGTGAGGCTGAAAGGGCTGAAAAAATACCGGGGCTCGGTGTGCATGGAAGGACTTACCGGCAGCGTACTCGCGGTGCTCACGGCTTCCGGAGGAGTAGAAAGTCGACCCGGAGGCCGTGCTAGGGTAGGTGTTGGAGGAGTTGGAAGCCATTTTGGTAGCTTGGGGGGAAAGGATGGGTTTGGTTTTGGTGTCGGTGTAAGTCGTGATAGACTTTTTAATATGAACGGCTTTTGGAGGTCTGCGAGATGGTCTCTTGCTCTGATCTGGTCAGGAAAAGAAGAGACCAAGAATGAAGGGACGGAGGAAACCATCTTGATTTATACAAAATGGATATTGAGTCAGGCAACTCTGGAACGAGAGACGGAGAGGTACTAGTCACAATGTGAGAGAACGGGTCCATGGCCGAGTCTGGAGAGCATCTACAAGTAAGCCAAGTATAGATGCTATGAAAGGAATGAGCGATGCTACAATGGGAACAGTACATGCCAATGTTACTCTTGATAATCCGTGGGAAAAAAAGGAAAAAGAAAAAGGAGGCAGTTCTCGCTCGCTCGCGCCCCGGGTGGTTCGTAAACCAATTCCTAAAAAAAAGGGATGTTCGCATCTCTGCGTGTTGCACATATCTGCGAATTTTCGCGGCGCTTGGCGGGGCTGCGCATTATGTGTGTCCGTGACACCCTCCCCGAGTGGGTGGAGCACCACGGTGACCAGCCAGACACCTGCTTTAGCAATCCGGTCCAGTCCAAGCCGCAAATAGAGACTGCGACGGGGGGAAGTACAATCCAAACGTGCCAGGCACACAGGCGTCCGTAATTTCCGGACTGAGCTCGAGGGAGAGGATTAAAGGCGTGGATGCCTAGATACCCCAGGCAGATTTCCCACTGCCTCCTTACTTGGTCAGTGTTTTGGACGGCGATTGGCGGACTGCGGTGGAATGTTTCGGCGTCTTGTCGATAAATTCGACTTTTTTTTTTTTTGCGGGTGAGAACGGGATAAGCTAGGCAGAAGAGCTGGTTTGGGTAATTTTCAGATTTTGTATGTTTTGCACGAAGCAATTCGTGAAACAAAAAAAAAAATAAAAGAGGTTGGTAAAAATGAGCGTGTGATCAATGAGGAATCAATACAGCGACAGATGCAGATATTTTGGACGACTTGTGGGGTTTCAATTTAGGATTGACATGAAGCTATCGGTCCGGGAGACCCTGAAATCGTCGAAATCGTGATAATATCCTTGTTACTCCTTCTTCTGATGGACCCGCAGAAGCGGGAGCACAGCATAGGGCTGCGTGCGTCAAGGGCTTTGTGATGGTTGCGAGTACAGGCGGGGGCACCAATTATCATGTACCGGTGCGGTAACGGGAGAACGGCAGATGGGGAATATTGAAGGGGCGAAGCAATGGGACTGTGAATTGGGTACTGTAGGAGACTGCGGGAGGATGGGGGATGGGGAGGGGGAAGTGGACTCGGGGACTACAACATTGCTGCAGTGTCTCATGAACAATTGAAGTGTGTGGGACAGACAAAAGTCGAGTGCGCTGTCACTGGACATCAATTTTCATGCAGGAACACATTTAATCACGCCGTCCTGAGCGGGCGAGGGATGTGGATGCTGAAGGATGCAAGCCTTTCAGTAACTTTGGGTCCGATGTTTCCCCCCAAAGTGTGCCTGCTGGTGCCCATTATCTTGAGAGCTCGTTTCGTTGTCTCCAGGTCTCATCGATGGTGTTAAATCATGAAGGCTTAGAAAATAAATCCAGTTGGAAGCGCGGGTGGCCTGGCCGTATTGGCGCCAGTCGTACCTTTGTATAAGCTATCGGAAATTGAATTCTAAAAACTACATGTGTGGCAGTTCAAGGCGAACCCATTGCCACAGCCATAATACTGCTCATTTTGCAACTTGGGACAAGAGATACGCCTGCAAGTTCGAGAAGCTACTATGTGAGTCAGAGAGCGTACACAGGTACACACACGCACCTTGATCTCAGCATGCACCCACAGACTCGGGCATCCAGCGCCGACACGCAGCCTCGCCTAGCATCGAGCATCTCCGAGCGCTCGGTTCCGCAAATCCGAGCTCCTCCTCGAATGCCCCTCCTAACCCCTCCGAAGATGTCGGCGCACCCCGATACCTAGACCTTGATGCTCGTATCCTACCTTGTTCGAGTTTGCCTGGATTTCAACGTCGCTGCCTGGATGGTGGGGCTAGGAGCCGCCCAACCCACGAGCCCCTCCCCAGGCTCCCCTCCGCAAGCTCTTGGGGGCATCAGGGGTTTTCTTCTTTTTGCACGACTCCGTTGCTCGGTGAACGGCATGAGTCAAAAAATGAGGAGGTTGGTTGTGTATCCAGTATTTGGGAGAACGCGCCAAAGGGTAGTTTTGGTGATACCTTCGGGTGGGTTGGTGTCATGCAAGCCTGGCATCTTGGAAAAGCGATGGAGCTACTGCACGTTGATGGGTGGGTGGTTGCAGGAGGGGCGACTCGGGCACTAGGAGTAGTTTAGTTTAGATTGTCGGATGCACCTTGAATCATCCAAATGGTAGGGCTGATGGATGCCTGAATTACCCGGCTTAGTTGACCACTAAAGTCGCGAAGGAGCTCGAGGTCTTAGACAGCTCGCTCCCAGTGCCCCCGCACACACCGCGAGACCGGCAGTGGGTGGTTGACCCGCTTTTCCGACAGTCATCGCGATAGTGCTCTGCGTGGTTGGCAGCCCTCTGGCGTTGATAATGGGAGAGAGGAGATTGAACGGGATATTCAAGAACAAGAGGTTTATGTTTCCTCACATTTGGACATGGCAAGAGCGTTCGGTATCATTGATCCTTTTCCGTTCCAACGATAATGACATTGAACATTACAAAGGTACATCGTGTACCGATTATTTTCTTTGCGTCGGATGAAAATTTCCCAAGGAAAGAACTGATCAGAGTCAAAGGAAGGCACATTGTCATGCTGCTTTCCCCGGCAGGAGCGGGCAGGGCGGATAAACTAGTTTACTCTGCATGTAACAATGTACAACAAGTTGGAAAATCATCACATGTGATAGCTCGATTTCAAGATTGATACTTCACCCTTGAACGATTGACCCGTGCCTTCACGTCCACGTCGACAGGCCGGGAATAGAACAGGAGAAGAAAAGAGAAACAAAAAAACAAGAAGGCGGGAAACAAAGTCACGCGGCGTCGGATGCGATGCTATTCTAGGATTCTCGGTGGTCCAGACCGACTTGGAACTCGAGACTGGACTAGACCCCTTCGTCGACGACGTGTCATGGCTTGATAATGAGGCACGTATTAAGATCAAGCCAGTGGATGTGAACACACCGGATACGAGAGCGGGATCCGAGGGCTCACGCCTAATCCTAGGCCGAGTACTTTCGTAAGACGAGAGAGGAATATCCGATGTAAAAAGGAGAGATTGGGATATCAATCGACGATCTAACTTGACTCGGTCAAACTCGCATTTTTGGGTGTGAAGTTAAGTTTTGGGTTCCAAACTTCAGCACGAAGCGTGACTGAGTAGGAGCACGAGCATGGACATCGAATGCGCCCGGGAGAACTAAATTTAGAGAATAATCCGGCCGCAGGGTGTCGGCGTGTCAATTGATAATTATAGAAGCATTGGGCGAATGGGATCAAATGGCCTGACAAAGAAGTTAGGATAAGAATAATTGAGGTAAGAAAATCAAAGGATGGAGCTCACTAAATCAGTGAGGGTGAGTGATCTGGAGTGAAGGGAGTCTCGATGCATCGTCTTGGACTTGGACCAGGCCGTAGTTGTGTCGAGTCCAAAAGATCATATGAGCCTGGTCATTGATGGAAATAGAGTCAACATTCTTCAATTCAATCTCAATGTAGGCTGGGGCCACCGAATAGGACATGATTGGATATCTGGAACACTGCACGGCCGACCTGCCGCCAATTCGCCGAGTTCGGGGTAGCCTTACGGAGGCAATCAAGACAAGAACAACGAAAACCGCCGAGGGCAGGCGAGCAATAGGTTAGGCTCAGTGATATTTGTCTGTTCTAATAGATACTGCCTCGGCAGCTTGCGAGGGGCACACGGACACAGCCCAAGTCCTCATGAATGTGACGGCCACAGGCGTCGATGCTGGGGACTTCAAGGGCAAAGCGCGGGGCACCAGAGTGTCGTTGAGATGTTGTTGAGCCGCGGTGCCAACCCCAACCTCAAAGATTTCGTCCGAGCTACACCCTTCTGGCACACAGTGATGGCAGGGAATATGAGCATCGTAGGTTGTCTCCTAGGACTGGGTGTGGATATAAACGTGGTCGCCCTCGATGAGAACGAAGATGCGGAGGACCCCAGGCCAGACCTCATGCGTACTCGCCACTGTACTCCGCTTCATTGCACGGCCAAGAAGAGGTGACGGTATATTATCGACGTCTTACTACAGGCTGGAGTCGATCCTAATCAACGTAACGAAGACAGCCTCACGCCACGGGATCTAGCGCTTGAACGGCGGAACAGAAATATCATAGAAATGTTGGAAACTGTCGGCGGCAAATAAAGGTCTGTACAATCCCTACATAGCCGTAGTAATCTCTAAATCAGATATGTATGCTAACCATATCCAGCGAGTTTGGACACAAGGACAGTGGAAGAAATAGCCCCTCCGGTTTGAGTAGTAGTAGTAGTAGCTTCGAGACGGAAGAGCCGTCGACTGTATCGTTGGGCACCGGGTCTCGTCAAGACGCTGACGTTGTTTATTAAAATAATGCGAAGGGCACAGAACAGGTCGATGGGTTCTGTGAAACTTGTCAACGTATCGAAAACCATGTCTGCGCTGGGACAAGCTTGTTCATATGCGACATACTTTCCATTGATGAGCATTTGGAGCAAAAGGTATGCCGCCTCTGTCAACCGATGGCAGAAACCTACCCCTGATATGGGAAAGGTCAAGTTTACCTCACAATTTATGGACATGTTAGCTCCAAAAGCCTTGGTTTGATGAAGGTTTCGACGCGGAAACTCTCCCGCTTCCACCCGGATGAAGAGTCGCTGCTGATAGACCGGCTCTGCGTTGTCGAAGACTCATTGTCGAAGGCGACGAATCGGTTAAAACTGTTCAGCTCCAGGTCGTGCATAGCGTGTGCAATAGCGCCGATGTCACAATCGTGGCCGCAGCCGGCGAGGATTCGGCATCTGGCCTCTCGGGTGGAAGCAGAGCCCGGCCCCTTCGCCACCGCCCATACAGAAATATCGACAATGGTGTCCCGACAGAGATTCAAGACAACCCTCGTACTGCTACCCGGGCATCGAGGTGGTGGACGCGCGGACGGACATACCAAGAAGGCCTCATGTCACGAGGCCTCCTAACATTTACCGAGAACGAGGTATTTTACGAGTGCAATCGTCTCCATGCTCGTGAAGCAGTCTAGCCCCCTTCCGAAACGGCGGGAGCAAACGGCGATTCCACGACACAGATACCCCAGGACTGGACACTCTTCCCCCCCCCCCCCAAGAAAAACGGGAGCCGGAGGTCAACACCTGCTACATCTGGGATCGTGTCCAAGAGTATCCCTAGTGCAACCCTCACATACGAGTACGATATTCTCAAAGTGTTTCTCGACGTCATGAGCATGTTTCCGGAGCTCCCTATGCCGGTTCATTACCTCGCGGAATCTCGATATCCTGTACGAGCCCGCCCTCACAACGGGACACCGACAATCCTCAAGACTTTTGCCCGCGGCCTCTGCTGGAAACTCGGGGATCCCGGGTGAAAGGAATCCCCGAGCTGGCCCTGGACAGGCTAGAAGGGCGAGGTGGAAAAGCACTTCCCTCAAGTGGTCTTGGGGGCTTGAATGGATTTTCGATTGAGGTTCCTATTGTCCCTCGGGACAAGCCGACGAACACGTTTTCTCTCGCCGATTTCGAGATTAGACAAGTCTTCGACGATGGCGGGAGTGCCGCAAAATTGCTACAGGGCGATAACTGCCACTGCGGTTGACGCATACATTTACAATAGCGGCTCGGATTCCGAGCCCTGGAAGGCCGTCCTGTACGGCGGCGACATCGTATTCGGCGGCGCAGTCTCCCTAAGCAAAGACCCAGACCGGACTCAAGGCCTCCATCGTCGTCTAGTCGAGGAGCTCTGGGTAGCAATCGTGCTGCGTATCAGAGGCACGATAGGCTTTGGTCATAAGGAAAAGTCGGCGGCGTTCCTGTTCCATTTTGAGGTGGGAGCTCCCTGGGAGAGGATAGGTGTCGTCACGACGAACCTTGAGCATCGAAGACCGCCAGACGCTCGTACAGAATGGTGTGCGAGGCGACCTTTCTCATCAAGTAGGCATCCGCCGTGGTAACATTGCATATCGCGAAAGGGGACTTCGGCCCCCCGTCCTTCGCATGCTTCTGAGCGGATGGAAACTCTCGGTGAGTTTGGTCTTTTCACCGAGGTCGTATGCCACTGTGCCGGGTAGCTCAGGTAGTTTACATCGTCACATTGCAGAATAGGAACATGATGCATCCATTACTGAAGTCATAGTCCTTAATTAGGACAGAGTTTTGAGCAACAGGAAAGCTTCCTGCCCTGCTAACTTCAGTGTTGAATGCACCATAGGCGGGTGTGGCGCACCATAACATGAATTGACCAATCAATGGTGCTCTCAAAGGTGACACCTGCCTCCACTATACATAATTAAATGATGCAAGGCCAGATTGCACCTTCCCCAGCTCCCATTGCCCACGAGATACCTGATTCTAGTATGTGCCACCACTAAAATACAAGTACCTTTCCCCGTATCCTGGCAAGCTCTAGCACTAACCTCCACGTTACCCCAATCCAAATAGCAACGTGCTTCTCAATCATCCCCACGACTGCCACCTGTTCCACCTGAATCCCCCATCTCTCTCCCAGCTCTTCCATACTCACCGTTCATCAACCAAAGCAATGAAGCTCCTTGCTGGCACCATCGCCCTCCTGGCCACCGCGGCCATTGGCGTCCTCGCCGCCGACGAGGGCATCAAGATCGACGTCACCAACCCCGTCGAGTGCGAGCGCAAGACCAAGAAGGGCGACAAGATTGAAGTGCACTACCGTGGCACTCTTGCCTCCAATGGCGAGAAGTTTGACGCCAGTGCGTATCTCCTCCCGTGCCTTGACTCTATCGCGCAGTCATTTTATTTTTGTTTTGCTTTTTTTTCTTCCTTTCCGGAAGTGTTTGTGGTGCTGTGGTGCTGTGGTGCTGACGAGATAGGCTACGACCGTGGAACGCCGTTTTCGTTCTCCCTCGGCGCTGGCCAGGTGATCAAGGGGTTCGTTTTCGCTCACCTTTTCGAAATATCCGTCGAGTGGGTGCAATTGCTAACGGTTGGATAGCTGGGACGAGGGTCTCCTCGACATGTGCATTGGCGAGAAGCGGTATGTTCACCTTCATGTCTACGAACCTTCAGCTGGTCGCTGGTCCGTCGGCCGGCGATACACTTGTCGCATGGCAGTTTGCTAACAATTCTCTCGATATAGCACTCTTACCATCCCCCCCGAGTTCGGTTACGGCCAGCGAAACGTCGGACCCATTCCCGCCGGCTCGACTCTCGGTATGGCGTTTCGATGATTGCTGGTACAAGAACATATAAGGCTGACTCTTCTATTTCTAGTCTTCGAGACTGAGCTCATCGGCATTGCCGGTGTTCCCAAGCCCGAGAAGGCTCCCGAGAAGGCTTCCGACGAGAAACCTTCCGAGGAGAAGACTACTGAAGAGAAGGAAAAGGACAAGGTACGCCAACAGAATATGTCGGATGGCATGCTACCAGGCTAGTTCTAACATGCCGTGATCTTGCAGCGCGACGAGCTCTAGAAGAGCTGCAAGGACGACGTGCAAATGGAGGTTACCAGAGACACCATACGTATCGTGGAATGTAAAAAGGATGGCAAGGGCGGCGGGGACATCTTCGAGATTAACATAGCGTTTCACCGCTTCAGGACTTGGGGCTGGCTCTGGAACGGAGCGATGGCCAGGTTGAAAGGCATTCTTGATTGGCTGTACATCTAGCAAGACGGGGCTCCTGTTTAAAGTCGAAGCAACCAACGGATTTGGGATGGAGATGCTGATTCTTGCAGAACTACTGCGAGCCTGGTTTAATACAAGCACTTTGAACTGAGCACACATGTGTACAGCAAGCAGATACCAACCAGGGCGGACACACTAGCCATATTAAATTGGTGACGCGTATTCATGGGCGTGTCATGTCGTTGGAAGAAGCAAGATTTGTGCCAATACTTTATTTTCGTGATCACGTAGCTTCACTCGCTTGGTCAACGTTTCTTGTGATACTATCTGAAGGCGAGACCCCAGATCAGTTTGAGATTCAATTGTCTCTAGCGCAACCCATAAATCTGAAGCTCGATGCAATATGTAAGAGATGCTTGATGCGGTGTAATGTCGCGCCTTATCTGAGATACCCGCGCATCACTGGAATTTTGGTTCCTATCTTGTACCCGCGTTGAGCAATACTTCCCACATTAGCTCCTTCCCTGAGCTCCCTGCTCCGAAACTCGCCCTGAAAAGCAAACCAAAGCCAAATGTGCTCACACGATGATTTCCCCCTATAAAACACGACACGTATTTCCGCGAAACGGCCTAATCTATCTTTCCTTCCCTCTCCCTTCCTCTCTTTCTTTTCCCTCCTTTCTTCCGGAAAACACTCGAGCTGAACCACACAACATCATGGAATCAATCGAGTATGAAGGTCTATAATCAATAGTTTCCCTGGGCCCGACGGAAAATTTTGGACGCAGAGGGCCCAGGATGCGTTAGAGATCAATTGATAAATTTAGTACCGATTTTTATTTTACTTCTTCGCGAATAACTCACGAGACCAATTTGATATTCCCGACGACGCCGAAGGAGAAAGAGCGCCAGTACGAGCGCAAGCGCAATAGAGCCTCTCGACTCTAACTGGGACACAGAGTCAAACAGAACGAAGTCGCTTTTCCCCTCCCTCTCCGTAATGCCTACGCCCGCGACGTCCCAAAAATGGCCTCCAAATCCCGTCTCAACACCACCTGGTCCGCCCTCCTCTCGCGCCACCCACACCTCGAAGCCCTAATCGATGACCTCCGACCCTGGCTGCCGCCACTCAACTTCGTCACCCTTCACTACATCTATTTCGTCCTCCTGAGCCTCCTCTTCTCCGTTGTGTTCTGGATCTCCTCGGACGTCGAGGACCGCGAGGATGTCAGCTACGTCGACAGCCTGTTCCTGGTCGTCTCGGCCGTGACGAACACGGGGCTCAATACGGTTGATCTGAGCGCGTTGACGGGCGGGCAGCAGGGGATGTTGTGGGTGCTCATGACGTTGGGGAGCGCCATGTGGGTGTCGTTTTGGACCGTGTTGGTGAGGAGGCATAAGAGGGTTGAGAGGATGAGGTTGGCGAGGGTGAGGAAGGGATTGGATGGTGGCTTTGCGCTGGCGGATTTAAGGGGTGGAGGAGGGGGGGGATATGGGCTTGGGGGACTTGGACAGGGGAGGAGGAGGGAGAGGGGGAGTAGTGGGGCTACGACGTTAAGTAGCGTTGTGGATGTGCCGCCGATGATTTTGAGGAAGATCATGTCCAAGGAGAAGGAGAAGGTTGATGAGGAGCCGGATGTGGGTGCTGGTGGGTTGGCGAGTGGCGTGGGGAGCGGAGTGTCGGTTGCGGATGGTCACGGATCGCTGACGGCGATGCTTCATCACTCGGGATCGACCGGCGAGGATAAGAGTCACCACCACAGCCACAGCCACGTCCATTTCCACCCTTCCCCGTTTGATAATCCCTCCGACGACTCGTCCTCGCGCCCCTCGAGCAGCCCCCGCGCCTGGTTTAACTTCCGCAAACTCTTCCCCGCCAAAAAAGACAAGCAAGACGGCGACCGCGATCCGGCCTCCCAGCTCCTCCTCCTCGAAAGTACCGCCGCCACTGGCCCCGGCTCCGAATCCGAACGCCTCGCTCAACGCGACCACCAAGCCCTCAACCTCCTCGCCCTCATCATCCCCCTGTACGCCGTCCTCTGGGTCCTCGTCAGCGCCCTCATCCTCGGCGCCTGGATCTCCCGGCACTACGCCTCCGCTGTCGAAGAGTACGGCGGCTACGGCGTCGGCGCGTGGTGGGCCGGTTTCTTCTACGCCGGGTCGGCTTTCAACAACTGCGGCATGTCGCTGCTGGACGCGAACCTCGTGCCCTTTCAGCATTCGTTCCTCGTGCTGTTTTTGCTCGCGTCGCTTATCCTTGCGGGGAATACGGCGTTTCCGGCGTTTTTGCGGTTGATGGTTTGGTGTATGCTGGAGGGGTTGAAGTTACTAACGCCCGAGAGGTTGTTTGTCGCTGAGAAGGCGACGCTGTTGTATATTCTCAAGTATCCGAGACAGGTGTATACGCATTTGTTCCCGGCGAGGCAGACGTGGTTGCTTGTGGGCATGTTGGTGGCCACGATGACGATTGATTGGGTGGCGTTTGAGGTGTTGAGTATTGGGAATCCGGCGGTGGAGCGGATTCCTGTTGGGCCTAGGATTCTGGATGGGTTGTTCCAGGCTATATGTGAGTTTGGTCTGGGCTGATATGTATGAGCTGTTCTGAATATATGTACTAACAATCTCGAGCAGCTGTGAGAGGCACCGGCTTCTACGTGGTTCCCGTGTCAGAGTTATACACCAGCCTCCAGGTCCTGTACATGGTCATGATGTACATCTCTGCCTACCCCATCGTCATCGCCATGCGGCACTCCAACGTCTCGGAAGAACGCTCCGGCGCTCTCGCGATGCATGCCAAATTCGACGCTGTCTCCTCTTCCTCGTCCTCCTCCGCAACCTCAGACGACCCCGAACTAGGCCGTCTCCTCCCGTCCAGCAGCTCCCAACCCCCCCAAGACCTAGTACTCACTTCTCCCACTGCTACCGCCACACACAATAACCCGCTGCAGACCGCTCTCCGTCGCTTTACCTCCATCCTCTCCGCCAGGCCCCGCCGCAACCGAGACCACCACACATCCTCCCGCCCCTCCATCCTCGGCCAAAAAATCCGCCGCCAACTCCTCCACGACCTCTGGGTCCTCTCGGCCTCCACCATCCTCATCACCCTCCTGGAAATCTACGCTCCGCACGCCTCCGACTCCGACCCCATGGACCACGGCGACTACCACCGCCCGCCTGTCAACCCCTTCCACGTCGCCTTCGAGGTCGTGTCGGCGTACGGGTGCGTGGGCATGTCGGTCGGGTTGGAGAGGGCATCGGTGAGTCTCGCGGGCGGGTGGGCCGTTGCGAGTCGGTTGGTGCTTGTGGGGGTTATGTTGAAGGGACGGCATAGAGGGTTGTGGGTTGTGCTGGATCGGGTTACGGGGGTGGGAGGAGATGGGGGGGATGGTGATGAAGATGAGGAAGAGGAAGAGGGGTTTGAAGAGAATTGATATAGATTCCATATTTCTTTTGGGTTTCGGTTCGGCTTTACTGATCGTGATAGCAAAGTCGTGTTTTTATAGGAACTTTTATTGTATGCTATCATTTTTTTTTTTTTTTTTTTTTGCACATTTGTTTGAAATATATCAGAACTATGCAGTGTCTACCCTCCAGAACGCCCCATGCCATGCCATGCCATGCTATACTAACAACATGTAGAATCATCAATAATCATAAAAGCATCATCCAAAAAACAACTTCATCTGCCTCGGATCCCCCCCACCCCTCTCCCTCTTCCGCTCCCTCTCCACCCCACCTCCCTTTGGCCTCCCCCTCTTCTTTTTCGCGAAAGTTTCCATAGGCGGAGCTCGATCGGCCTCGGGAACCGCCGCAGCCGTCACCCCGTCCTCCTGCACCGCATCGCGGATGGTCTGCCGCGAGAGGCAAAGATCAATGTGTTCGTTGAAGAGGCGCTCGTCGGCGCTTTGGGGGCGTGCGCAAACGGGACAGTCCCAGAGCTCTTCGGTTTCTTCATCTTGGGGTTTGGGAGGAGACGGGGGTGGTTCTTCGGTATTATTTGACGTCTGAGGCCTTACGTCGTGATTGTCGTCGCCGTCGGCTTCCTCTTCGGGCCACTTTTCCCACCCGTCCGAGTCAAGTTCAGGGAGACGACGTTTCGACGAAGCGTCTTCTTCCGCCGAGGCCTTGGACCGGAGGCCGAAAAAAGCCGCCGTATCGGGCTTCTTGGACGAAACAAGATGCGTACACCGAATCCCCATCAACCGAATACAAAACCCATCCTTCCTCCCCACGGGACTCGCCCTGACCTCCTCCTCCAACTTCACCAACATCGGTAACGCAAGCGCATACAAATCATCGGCCTTCCAGACCACCTTCGGCGCAACAACCTGTCTTGTCAACACCTCAAAAGTATGCAGCTTGACCTTCAAAACGACAGTCCGTCCCTTGACCCCCGCCTTCTCCAACTCCCCCTCCAGATCCCCCGCTGTTTTTCTTAATCTGTCCCTCAACTCGCCCGGATCCTTGATAGCGCGAAACGTGCGCTCCGTACCGACGCTCTTGCGCACGTACTCCTCCGCAGGCTGGATCCGCGTGCGTCCCAGGCCCAGGTACGCGTGCATGAGGAACGAATACGCCTTTTCGCCGAAGAGGGGCTTCACATACTCGCGCTTCTCGTACACGTCCCCCAAGGTGGCGATCCCCACGGCCGCCAGCTCCCGTTCCATCACCCTCCCGATGCCGTTGACCTTGCGCGTCGGCAGGTCCCGCACGAACCGCATGATCTCGGCCCGTTCGTTGGGCAGCACGAATTGCCCGTTTGGCTTGTTCACGTTGGAGCAGATTTTGGCGAGACGCGCGTTGGGTGCTATCCCCGCCGAGACCGTCACGCCCGTACGTTCGTGGATCTCTTTCCTCATGCGCGCCACCACCTCGGCGGGATCTCCCCCTCCGCTTGATTCTTCTCCTTCTTCTCCCCTGGGATCGTCAGCGTGGGCAGCGCAGTAGGCAGTAATGTTGAGGTACGCCTCGTCGATGGAGGCGCTCTCGAAGCGCGGGTCGTAGTCGGCGAAGATGTCGCGGACCTCGGCGGCTTTGGCGCGGTATTTGGCGTGGTCGTTGGGGATGAGGATGAGTTGGGGGCAGAGTTTCGTGGCGACGAAGGAGGCCATGCCGGAGCGGACGCCGAAGCGGCGGGCGTGGTAGTTGCAGGTGGTGAGGACACCTTTGCCCTAGGAGAGAGTGTCAGAGAAATCGCTTCTTTCTGCCTCCTCTTTTTCAATCCATTTCTAAGGGGGAGGTATTGCTTACTACTGCGAAAGGCACCTCCTTCAACTCGGGCCTATCCAACTCCTCCACGGCCGCATAAAACGCATCGCAGTCGACGTGGACAATGTACTGCGAGAGGTCGCGCGTGGCCTCGAGCTGCTCGAGGAGAGCGTCGGCTTCGCGGCGGAAACGGGTCAGTTGAGGTTCCGTGAGGGTTCGTTGGCGGGCGAGAATACGGTCGATTTTCTCGGTGAGGAGCTTGTCGCGGGCTTCTTCGCGGTGGAAGAATTTGGAGCCGCGGGAGGCGTTGTAGATGATTTCGGCGACCTAGAGGACAGAAAGGTTTAGATCGATCTGTTTCGAATTGGAAGGGAAAAATATATATATATATATATAATACTTTAAAAAATAATAATAAATACACGAGGGGTTTGTCTACCTTTGTTTGGTCGACGGCATCTTGACCGGCTTTCGTTAGACTAGGGCCAAGGAGCTGGTATTTGAGGGTGTCGTGGGTATCTTCTTCCTTTAGAGCTACATCTTTCGCAGTCGTCTCGCCGTCCTTCGGTTTGTCCGGCTCCTCCAGCGCGGGATTGGTTTCATCGTGAAGAGCGGCTTCTGCTTCCAGGACGTCAAGATCATCGAAGTCATCGTCGAGTAGCTGCTCCGGGCTCTCTAGCCCAGGCAATTCGGGTTGGACGTTAGTGCCCATGGGTGGGGTTATAAAGACATTTCACGGAGTAGCTTTTTGTTTTTCCACGGAATTTGAAGGAGCGCGGAGGAGAATCAATTCACTTGAGGAAGACGCGTTTGCAGGTGGAGAGCAGAACCCTTGTCCGAGATGTTTTTCTGATCAAGTGGGGAAGGCAGAAGACGCGAGGGAAACACGAGGTCACGTGAATCGTTTGAGTGGATTCGTCTTGTCTTGGATGTGGTCCAAGGTCGGACAAATGAATCCATGAATTCACATGGCTTTGGACATTGCGACATTGCGATTTCTAGCCGACGAAGGACTTGAGGACATGAGCTTGATGCTATGATCCCCCTGGGGGCATGTGGCTCTCTTCCAATTCTTCTCTAGCGTATCACTCAATCCCCGTCCGATGTTAAACTAATTTCCGTTCTCTCCTCCTCCTATCAATCAATGACGTGACAAGCAGCGGCGAGCTCGGGAGTGGAAAAGACCAAAGCTTCGGTGGTTTCCGCCAAGACGGACACGATCATCGGATCCACCTGCCTACGTCAAGATACAGCAAGCTGATGGGGATATCGAGATATTGGCCCTCGCATTACGCCATTCACAATGGTAACACAATTAGGCCCCCTAGGATCTTATCACCACGATCAACGGACTCTGCAAATTCCAGTGTCATTGCTGCAGCACCTGCCCGCCCAGAGCCTCAACCCTGATGTCTCACGTACAGGGAACCGGATATGCTTAGATGCAAGCTACGAAAAATCATTTAGTAAAGGGTTACGCCTTCGGTGTGTATACAACAGGATGGGCTGCATCGTAGTGTCGTGGCAGTGGCAATGGCAGGTGCGAGATTCATGATGCCCTCGTCCCGCTCTCCCTGAGCTTCGTCCAGATGTACATCACCAACTCCGAGTGCTGATATCGGCGTCATATTATATATATTTATTCCAGTAATATTATTCCCCCCATTGCTAGCCACAACCTAATGCAAACAAAACACTCGAACAAACACAACGCATCACCATGCCCAGCCTGCTCCGGGCACATTCCCTTAAGCCTTCTTCTTGCTGTGTTTCTCGTGCGCTCCAGGCACCGTCCTCACCGCAATGTTGAAGTTCTCACCCGTGCTCGAAACAGCATGAACAACCACGTCCTCGCCAAACTCCCACTTGCCGCTCAAATCATTCTCGTCACGCTCGTCATACTCCTCATAATCCGCCTTATTCAACAACCCCTTAGCCCCGATCAACGCATCCCCGCGCCTCACATACGTCCCCTGCACCTCCGTAGTCTGATCCGCTCCGTTCCTATCCTTGTTGTAATCTATCCTCGTCTGCAGCACGTAGTGCACGTGGTCCGTCCCCGGGGGAAGCTTCAGCTCGTCCGTGCCCTCGGCCGTCGGCAGCTTCTCCGTGTTGGGCGTCGTGTCGATGCTCACGTTGAAGACTTGACCCGCCGGCGCTTGGGCGTGCACGACGACGCCGTCGCCGTACTTCCACTCGCCCGTGGACGCCGAGGCTTCTTCGTACGTGGCGAAGTCGTCCTTTTCGTAGCCCAGCTCGTGTAGGGCGCGCTTGGAGAAGGCTTTGGCTCCCGGGAGGGTCGTGTGCGTGCCGAGGACCCAGGTGGATTGGGTGCCGCCGGATTTGTCGACGTGGTAGTCGATGACGGTGAGGAGGGTGTGGAAGAGGGTGTCGGAGATTTCAGGCATTGTGTTGGGATTGATTTTCTTGCTTGAAACTGATGTCTTTGATATGGTTTGAGGTACTGACAATTGATAATTCAGTAATTTTGGAAATGTTTTTCAGCTCGAAGTAAAGCTACTTTGTGATTTTGATGCACTGAGAAGCTGTTTAAAAGGAAGGGAAAAGGAGGGTCAAGGGAATCATCTCCCGTTCTTATACGTCTTCAACGAAAGCATCATCGCTACGTCTTCGTTTCCATCGAGGTTTCTGCTCCGTACTCCGGTGGTGTGATTGAACCTCTCAAGCTTCCCGCTCATGCTATCCAGCTGCAAAAGGCACGCAAAATTCGTCATAGCTACTGGGCATGTGTCGTATAACCCGAGCAAAGGTCTTAGGATCATGATTTTTCTTTCTTGCTCTCACAGCTAACTCGCTAGCTCGCTACTACTAAACGCCCCCGTTCCGCCATTGCGTTTTTGCGTGTTTTTTAATGCTTGGGTCTCCCGGTGGAGTTCCCCGGTCCTGCGGAACTGACGGAGGCGACAGGAAGCGGGGAAGCAGCGCGCATCAATTGGCTCGCAATAAGGCTGATTTTGGTGATGCATGCCGTCACCTGCTTATCAGACCACCCTTTCCTACCCTTTCCCTTCCATTTCCTTCCCCAGTGATTAGACTCAATTAGGACAATGCTAAATGAGGGAAGGGGGGGAACGGCATCGAAGAGACGGGAATGGCCGAGGATGGGTTGGATTGACTTGGATTGACCTTGATGCAAGGGATGATGGGTGATGTCATTTGCGATGATATTGTCTCACGGAACTCGAACTGACATCATGGGAGATCGGAAAGATCCAAGCAACCGCGGAGGCCGGCGCGAAAGCTGTGGAATGAAGGTTGGGATGGTTAGACATTATTATTATCCACTGACGTGGAACTTGAGCTAGCTAGCTATCTAAGGGGTGGTATCTTGAGAGAAAGAAGAAGACGAAGAAAAATGAAATAGATCGTTGATGGATGCATCGATATGCGTGAGATGGATGATGAACGAGACCCGGCATTGAAGCTGGAGACATGAAATAATAAGTTGAAAATGGAAATGGAGAAAGGCACCGAGAAAGCTCAGCTGCCTTTCCTCCGCCGCCGACTCCAGAAAAGAAAAAAAAGATGCGCCAAACCTGCCCAATTCGAATTGCGTGATTCTTCGTAGAAAAGCCCTTTCCTCCCCTTCTATACCCAAAAATCATCACCACCCTTCCCCTCTCTTACAATCCTTCTCTCGGCATCCCTCCTACAGTCCTCTCCTCTTCCAGTTCCCATCTACTCCTCCTGCAACAAAGCAAACGTCCAATTCTGCCTCGCAACATGGTTCAACCCAATCTCCCCCTTCAACCAACACCGATACCTCTCGTCCACGTCCCCGACGATGAACCCCCACCCGCACCCGCGGCAGTTCTCCCGCTCCGCACAACTATCGATGCACTCCTCCATGTCCGACGCTTTCACCTCGCCGAGCTCCTCCGTGCCTTCGGTGTAGTCGATGCCGCAGAAGATGAGGAAGGATTTGTTGGTGCTGCCGGAGGGCGAGGAGGAGGCGGGGACGGAGTAGCGGGCGCGGTTGGAGGCTGGGCATGTTATCGGGGCGGGGGCGGGAGAGGTGGAGGCTGTGAAGGGGGTTGAGGTTGGTGTTGCGGTTGGAGTTGCGGGGTCCGAGGTTGCTCTGTGTGAGATGTTAGTTCGAAGTCGATTGGCATTAGAAGATTTGGGGGGAAGAGTTCTTTGACTTACGCTTCGGCACCTCCGCTCTTCGATTTCGACTGGCTTCCAAGTCCCACGCCCAACCCAACTCCGAGACCCACGATGATAACAAACGCCGTTATCAAAAGAGCCCACACCACTGTCCTCGACAACGCACAACAGCCACCCGCACCAGCCGCCCCCCTTCTCCTCCTCCTCCCATCGTCATCTCCCTCCTCGTCGTCATCAGAGTCATCATCATCATCAGAATCATCTCTCCTCCCACCCGGCCGCTCGATATAAGGAAACCCAACCGTAGCAAGCGAAAACCTCGCCCTCCTCGAAGCCCGCCTACTCTTCCTCCTCTTCTCCCTCTCCCCAGCGACACCCCTGCCAACTTCCAACGACCGCTCCGAAGGCGTCGGCGTCCCCTCGCGGTAAAACGTAAACTGCGAGGGATTCTCGTCGTCCGGCCGAAACACGTCCCCAGCTTTTACCTCGGGCTGAAGTCTCGCGTCCCTCTCTTGCCCCCGCGGCGTACTCGTGCCCTCCTGTGCGACTGCTGCTGCTGCTGCTGCTGGCCCTGCTATTACTCTCTGCCCTTGTTGCTGCTGTCCCTGTCTCGGCGCGGGATGCTGTTGTGCGCTGCTGCTAGCGGTCGCTTGGGATTGACTCGGCGTGCGACTCCGACGGGGCTCTATCCTCTGCGACTCGAACGAGCTAAACTTTGGCCGCTCCTTTGCCGTCGTCGTCGTCGCAAGTGAGCTAGGAGGCCGACTTGCCGTCGGCGGGAGGATGGCAGAGGATGGCGTCGGCGAGGGCGCAGCGCTGCTTGGTGGTCGTTTGAGGGCGGTGGGGGATTCGGCGGAGCCGATGTAGGTGCCCTCGGTCGAGGTGCTTCGTGTTCGGTTCATTCGATGGGCGAGGTGAGTGAGCACTGTTTTACTCGGGTTCCCTTTTTTATTTTTCTCTTCCTTTTTATCTTTTATCTTCTCACTCTTTCTTGTCTATTTTCTTTGTTCCATTGTCGAAAAAGACCCGAGGTGGAGAGATTCACGATGGGAAGGTAGGTTGCGTGATTTCCCGAGAGGAGAAGCGAAAGGGTGGTATCCAAGGGTACCAAGCAATAAAGGAGGTGAGCTGAGGTTTTTCCCGTGGTTCGCGTGTCGGGCCCGGCGCGGGATCGTCGCAAAAGCTGGAAAGTTCGACAAAAGCTTCAATTGGGCGGTGTTCCCGGTATTAAAAAAAAAAAAATCTCCCCAAGGATCTGGCTCGTGGAGAAAAGCAACGATCCCAACGACGATCTTGCCAAATCTAGGGAAATAAGAAAAAAAGGAGAGTAAAAAGCCACTTGGTTTCACGCGACGAAAAGTCGCAGGGGAAAGGGAAAAGAGATCATAATAGGGAAATCGATATGACCAGGGGACCGGAGAGAGAGGAGAGCTCATTTTGGCTGGGCTAACAAGACACCCCGGTCTCCCACGCGGCGCGAGTAAGATTAAGATTGCACATGGCTGCTTTCGGTAAAAGGCGAGTGCTGCGGGGTTGCATCGCCGTGTTTGCGCTCCGTCTTCGCGGCGGTCTCTATTGGAATTATGGGCCACAGCTGCTATTGCTCTCACTTGTAATTTGTAGGAGCTCATGCCAATCTCTCAGTTTTAGCACGCTGATGGGGGCTGAACTCAATAGGAGAGGGCCCTGAAAAGTGGCAGATTAAGGACCTGGACAGCACGAGTCGGGGTCTGCCCCGAATGAGTGCAAGCTGGCATCGGGATCCTTGCCCGGACAGGGTTGATGACCCGTTTCTGGATGCGACGTCGTGATGATGGCAACCCAGGAGCAGGGGCAGAAGGAGCGAGCGCGGTCGGTGTTCGGGATTTGGGCAAACGGCTGTTGGCAGCTGTGATAGGCTGAGCATGCCAGACGGACTCGAAGGACGAGAGTACAAAGGTACATCAACTTCGTAACAACGACATGTCAAGTTCATCAGCATCAAAATATCTTGGACGATGGATCACCGGAGTCGGCACCAGGAGGCGGAAGTTCTCGTGTAACTGAAACTCAAGGCCGGGCAAGTATATCGCCAAAAAGAGAAGTCAATATTTTATTGATGGTCTGACCTTCATTCAGGCCAACCTCCTTAACAACCTCCTACGGCGAGCAAAGACGACCGACCGACTCGGGTCATTCCCAAGCCGCAAATAGCACAGCCTCCTACTGATGACTTGTCTTACTGACCGAAGGCTAAATGGACGAAAGCACGGAACACAAGCTGCTAAGACCGTCCTCATTCCCAGTCGGATATCTATCTACCGGAGCCCCACCGTGGGATGGTGCTACTAAGTCGACTCACATCTTTGGAAGTCCTCAGTCAAGCGAATTGGGAGCGCTAATGCAAGCAATCACGGATGGCCAAGAAGAAGCGCTGCCCTTTTTTTTTTTCCAATTTCGGATCTGTCGGGCGACCCAGCAGCGGCGGACGAGGATTAAAATACCCCCTCTAGATCAAATGGTTATTACCCTTCCATCGAGTCGCCTCCGGTCCTGCCTCGCGATACATTTCGATCTCCAGCCCTTCCCGCAACCCGTTATCCTCCCCGACGCTCCTCTTAGTGGAGTGGACCATCGGCCTCCCCTGTCCGTCGCCTTTTCGCCATCCACCGCGTCATCGCTCACACCCCTCCACCTGTCGGGTGCCGGCGAATACATAAAGAAGTTCGGGGACGATCTAGGACACAACGCGTGTCCCGGTGGATCCACCGAACTCAACGGGTCTCGTAAGGCTTCGACTCGCTCTGTAAATGACTTGTACATCTTACGCATGTGGAAGGGAAGAGGCACGACATCCTACTAATCTCTTCGAGGTGAAACACGCCGCGATGTGTCTGCTGCGCAGGTGCTTTTCACGATGTCCTCAATGCTCCTTTTCTTCTCTCAGTCGGAATAACGCGCCCGTGAATTTCGAAGGTTCGTTCCAAATAGTGATCCCATCTTCTTGAATTCCCCTCTGGTATGTGATGGAAGTAGGTTCACGGAACAGGTGGGCTGTCAAAGATCCGAAAACAAATCCTGCTCGAAGCCATCGCACAACTCCTTCAAGAATTTCCGGCGTTCGAGTCCGTTGATCAATGAAAGGCGGTACCGGGAAGATGCAATAGAAGTCCCTATGTAAAGGGGACTGAAAAAGACGGGTGTGATAGAGGGCATGCAAGACAAATATGCCACAGAAAAAGAATGAAGAACAAGTCGAGCCCCATTCCAAGGTCCGGGAAATTGCAACGGAGGAGGTTTGTACTACGACATCTGAAACCACTGAGTAGAGGGAGAAAACAACCGACTAAACTGCAAAGGCTTGTTGAACTTGTAAGCGAAAGGGGGCAGGCAAGAAAAGAAGTTGCCACATCTCGGCGGCCTGGAACGTCTTCCCATTCCATGCGGTCCTGATCCCCACGACCTCGGCGCCGGACATCTTTTGACTGGCCGAGGACAGGCCACATGAAAAACCAAGACGTCTGGTCCTTTTCACGGCAGTTGTTATGCATCCCCTACAACTTCCGTGTGGCATTGGTTGATTGCATCTTTGTATCGGCAAAAAAAGGCGGCTAATATGGTGACCCTCATCTTCGCACTTTTTACGATGAAATTCCCAACGGGCTGGGCCAAGAATATCTGAGCCTCGACCTTTCATCGAGTGACGCCGTCCGACCAAAAATTTCCAAGAGGGCTTGATAGTCATGTTGGGTTAGGTAGGAGGCGTCACATTGTAAGATCTCCCCTTTGACCGGGAATGCTTCTACCAAGGGGCCGCTCTGTGTAGGCTCCCACGACTGCGGGAACGACCCGAAATGGATTCGGGAGGGTTCCCAAGGCGGGGCGGTCATTAGCACGCGGCTAACGACGGCGACATCCACTCAATTAGAGTGAAGAAACACTTGGGTAAGTGATCTTAGTGGTCTTTCTCGACTCGATAGTAGACATGGCCCAGTCGACGTCGGCTGCGGCATAGTACCACTTTGGCCGCGACGCATTGACGAAATAGCGACCAGGCCGTGTAGAATCGATATGGTTGTTCCTTCGACTGCTCATCTCAGCCACCGTATCGCGCAGAGGGAGGAAATCGCATACAGTGAAACTGTATCGGTCGAGTGATCTCTCTCCTCATCTGTTCTGGGAAGTGGGTAGTCGAGACACGGGCCGTAATCGCCGCGGAAAGGGCCGAAAGGGTGTGGTTGAGCGATATCCTCCTAATAACCCTAACTTGACGAGCCGGAGTTGGCCTGTTCCCTGCCCGCAGGCGACAGGACCTTCGCCAACTTTCGAGCGAGCGTGACGATTGGAAAGCGACCTTGTATGATGCGCCGATCGTGTCTCCTCCCGCATCATAGACGTCTGGTTGCAACGTCGCATTGTAGACTGGTGGAAGAAATATCACAGTACTTGGCGCCCCTGGGAGAGAGCCCACAATGTTGAAAGGTAAACAAGATGCCCTTTTGTAATGAAAAATAAGAGCAAAGAAGGAAGCACCGCCCACCGCGTCTGTTGCATGGTGGAGAGTGGTAGCCTTCGTCTTCAACGGTTCTAGACGTCGGGGAGTAAAAGGTCAACAGCCATCACCCAATCATCCGTGATCCCGGTTCCTATGCGATATACCCGCAACCGCGATGATGACTTTGCTCCGAAGGTGTTTGAGCATTGGGCTGGGTTTTCCGGCAAGATGACCCTTGAAGTCCGCAGTCAGCCGAGCACATGGCCAGAAAAAGGTTGTACCAAAGTCAACCGCGCTGGCACTTCACAATATTTCTCTTGCCACATTTTCCCGAGTGTAATAATCCCCGTGGCTGGATTCTGTTGGTAGAATGTCGGAAATGAGAGCCTCGCACTCTGGTACGAGTGTTGCTTCTCTGAAATCCTGGGAATTGTTTGATCTGAGGAAAACCGAAGGAACCGACGAGACGAGTGTTAGCGGGCCCTACTGTCTCCAGCCATTGAATCCCAGGGTTCAGGGAAAGCCAATGCGGGATGTCTTGTGTGTGTGTGTGTGTGTGTGTGGGTGGGTGTGTAGGTGGGTGGTGGTTTTACTTACACATCTCGGTTCACCGAATCTCACTGAACCCGCCAACCAAGAGAACCCATACCGAAAGACGCCCCATTTCGTCACAAGAAGTTCGATGTGTGAAGGCCAACCTCCTAGATTGGTTGAAGTGTGGTGTTAGAAACCGAGGCGCGGAGGCGGAAAAAGTGCTGCTTATTATGGCCTCAGCATCATAGACTCCTAGAACGTGAGGTTCCCGTAGAAACCGGAGACGGTCGAGGTATTAAAGTGCCGCTTAGAATCTATCTTCGTTGTCCACTTCTCCTCCTCTTGATGCCAATTCCAATCGCTCTGATAGCGAGAACGCCTTGGCATAGCCGCGGTCACCAGGGGAAGACCTGGTGACGTCTGTGTGGGTGTCGGATTGCCCTGGTAACACTGACTTCGTCAATGAAAAAAGGACGACACCGGGCTACATGGGCCGTGAAAAAGTCCACCCTCAATACTCGGGGTGCCAAAATAGCCTTGGCTCAAAGCCGACCTTCACAATCTCGTGGGCTCTCGCCAGTCGGTAACTGGGCGTCTTTCAAGTCGTGCAGCTCGAATCTCGGCGCCGCTCCGGGCGATTTATGAACGGCGGCTTCTGGGGTTTTCCAGTTATCAAGTCTTTCGGGGAAATCATCGAGACTGAGACTCATTTTGATGGTTTTCCTCCTGGCGATAATGGGGCGGATGGCGGGTGTTGCGTTAGACGGCCACGGCGGTGCCGCAGGCGAGAAGAAGGCGAAACGCAGCATCACACAGAACACCACAAGGTTTGCTGTGTCCAAAACGTTTTCTGTTTCTGTCACCACTTTCTTTAGGGAATCATAATTCCCGATA